CACAGAATCTAAATACATCCCAAGACCTCCATGGACCTTTGGAGAATCAGAACAGATTCATGCTACCGGCCTTACCACGATACACGGCTCTTTTGCGGTACCCCCATCTTTGAGGGTGTATTTCCTACCCTCCTATCTCACCACTTTACCCTACGCCCGGGCGGTTCATCCGCATGCCTCATCATCGCAAGTTCTCGCTCACTCCGAACTGACACAACTGCCAACTCTGTTACTAAACCCTCATGGGCTATCATTCGTGTCAAAATACTCTGCGTACCCTGGATCACTCAAGGCCCGGAAAGGTAAGAATATGCCCAGGTGGAATCGCATCGCTCTTAGGTAAGCTCGTCGATTCGGGGCCCCGGGGCCCCTAACCTTTTGAAGCTCGTATTCGCCTTGGCAGTGCTGCCTTGGAGACGCTAAGCTTGACACCCAACCGGTCTCTGTCTTCATTCATTCCATCTCTTGCCACCATATTTCAGTTTTTACTGCGTTGATCTTGCAATTTGGGATATCATGGAAAGGATGGTGTACCACGATCCGCCCCGACAGCCTGCGAGGCACCAAAGATTTCAAGGTCTTCGTTCCGCTCCTAGTCACTTCTCCAACGGGGACAGCGAGAGTCATCGGTTCCACACGAGACGCCGACACACAAAGTCACGCGGTGGTTGTATCAACTGTAAAGAACGGAAAGTCAAGGTATACCGACATCTTCGTTCTGACTTTCTGCTTATGGACCCGGTTTAAGATCTCAGCAGTGTCCGGAAACAAAGCCGGCATGTGAGAATTGCCTGCGAAGGGATGCGGTGTGCTCATACCGCGGACAAGACGACAGCATCGATGTGTTGGGGAACCATGCGACCGCCGCCCCTGTGAGAACGCTCTCCATGGAGCCCTTTACCGGCGATGACTTACGATTTTTCCATCATTTCCTCCTCGTGGCACGTCCTCATCTACCTTATGGAAGCGAGTCGTCTTGGATGACTCTGATACCCGCATACTCTCACGAGGTTGGCCCGTCCTTACTGCGCGGTCGCCCGGTTTAATTGATTTCAGTGTCCGCATCTAATGCATGCGATCCTCTCCCTCGGTGCGACACATTACACCCTCGCGGAGCACTCCAAGGCTGGCTATACCCAAATGGCAATCTCACACCGAGGGAAATCTCTTCATTTGCTATCGACCGCCCTTGCAAATGTTGATCGCTGCACAGAGAGCGATCTTGACGGGATATTGGCGACGTGCTACACCCTTGTCTTCCAAGCATATTTTATGCCTGATGGCTTGGCCGATTTTGCGGTAATGGTTCGCGGCTGTGGTATGGTCACGCAACATATCATTTCACGGTTCGAGGGAAGCAAGATGTTCGCTTTACAGACACCAGAGCAGGTCACTGAGCTGGTGGCGCCCTGGTTACCAGCAGATGCCCATCCAGATCGCCAAGTCATCAATTCCTTTATCGAGGACCTTGATAAGCTACAATCTTTCGTGCACGGAACTGGAAGTCAAGAATTTTTCGATGCCTTGCGCAAGCTCTATGGGGCTCTAAGCTCCTCAATCCGCGATGCCTTCCTTTGTTTGACTGGTGTATACGCCGTGTGGTGTACAATGGGAAATCGCGATTTCATGAAGTTCATTGCCAGCTCGAATCACCCGGTTCGGGTGCTTTTCTTGCACTATATTGCCATCGATACACTCATGCGTCCATTTATGCTTAATGTCCGGGCTCAGGAGCGGAAACACTCGGGCCTGTTCCTTGGTGCCGATGTCATGGAACAGTGGGCTTTTTCAATCTATCACAGTCTACCCGCAAACATGCGAGGCTTGGTAGTAAATCAGGTCCAGATCGTCAGCTTTGAGAGCCATAGATTCATGTTTCAGAGTGAAGTTGGTGGTTACAGAAATTTTGCGACCGGGTGAGATAAACGGTCTAGTTAGTACGGCGTCAGCACTAAATTTCATACAAATAGGCACATCCACTAGTTCGGGTGGATATTTTATCAGTGAATAGCACGGCCAGAAAGAAAGACGCCCTTCATATGGAAAGACGAGGATTTTATTGAAGATTTCCACGGTCAAATCAAATTGGAAACTCAGAAAACCTGACCTATTCACCTTCACACGCCCATACCACCCCTGACAAATTGGAAAGACTCTCCAGGTTATCAACTGCCGATCGAAAGAATTCGAGTCCAACTGCAAGGCTATGCCAAAAATCGCCCTGGGTGGTACCACCCGAGAAGGCTGATGGCGATGAGCATTGGAACAGCCTCAAGCACATACAAGGGCCATTCATGGCTGAAAATGTACGAGTCGACTCCGAGGGCGAATTCGACGACGCGATAAATGCTTCGAACCTGAGAGTTTCAGTGTCATCCTCCAAACGAACTGGCCATCACTCACCAAGATGAAAAACCCTGAGATATAGATACCCACGATGAGCTGCTTTGCTCCATCCGGGATGTCCTGGTCCCGATTCTTAAAATTGAAAGAACCGACGGTGAGAAGAAACGCAACGAAAGTGACCACCTGCAGGACTAACCCACCAATCAGCACACCAGTGCCTGTGTCTTTCTCTGATCCTTCCCAGTTCCCCGACGCGGCTATGCCACTTCCCGATGCTTGCACAAGACAACTGATAACATCCAACGTCACGAAGATCTGAGGAAGCCATCGGCGCTGCACGCGAATGAACAGAAAGGATTCCGGCTTCTCGCTCATTTCCCCCTCCGTCTCCGGCCAGATCAACCTGTCCATCAACATGTACAGACTGGCACAAACAAAGACAGGTCCGATCACAATGAGAGTTGCGCTGACGGCGTACAAGGGGATGCTACTGGTGTCTTGGATACTGCCGCAGCGAATGGCGTATGCAGCGACTTCGAGAAAAGCACCGATCAGCAAAGGAATGAAATGCCGGGCACGGTGATGGCGACCCGGACGAGGGAAGATCACGGTCATATACAGGTGGAAGAGCGAGGTCAAGAAGTACAGGATTGTGAACACGGCCGATGCTGCCAACGAAGGATTGTAGAAATAAATGCTGAATTCTTCGGATTCCATGGCTGTACGAAGTGGGTTTAACGGATTGTTTCCTTTGAAGGGAATAGATAGATCGTCTTTGCTTCTGGTAGAGATGAAGCCCACTGTGGCATTTCATAGATCTTTTATATCGTCTCCTCCGTAGGTATCCAATTTCAAAGTGTTCCTCATCCTGCTGTCCCTGGGGCTATACACCTCGGATTCCGATCGTGTTCGCACTCGGATGCCGACCTGCCAAGCCGCCAATGCCACAAGTTCGACTCTCATTAGTTGCCAGCGCCCCGGAATAAATTTGAGGCGTTGAATGCGAGGAATCCGAAAACATGTTATTACGGTCACGGAGTGTGTCCAATCACTCCACACTTTGGATACCTGTATGAACCATTGCACTCTATCCTCAGGTTGTGGATCTGAGGTGTTCGGGGTATCTGACCGCAACAGTTGGCGGCTGGAGGGAAAGGTTAAAAAAAATAAATGTGCAAAAAGAAATGGCGGTACCCGGATTCGAACCGGGGCCAACACAGCATTGTAGGTGCAGATTTCTCTGCAACTCACCACAATGTGGTATCCTACCCCTAGACCATACCACCTGTTTCATGTCGATCGCAACAGTTTAGTGCATGATGAGCCAATTTCATTTTGGCCCAAATAAGCGGCCAAATATCAACCACAACTTTCATTCGTATGGGTTACATCCTCTTTTCCCCATTCTTACATGAGTGATATTACATTATATATCATTCTGATTGTTTGAACGACATGTCGCTTGCTTCAATGAGTTTTGGGGGCCATTAGGTGCGGCTTGCACTGGATTTGTTGGATTATATATTTAACCGAAGGTGGCTGACTCGTTCTACAGAGCGCAACACTTCTATCTCTTTCGATGTTCAACCTTGTCAACATTCAAACATACATGAATAAAAAATTCAATCAAGCCCAGTAGCATAAATGTGACAACGAGACTTCATATAGGTATAATCAAAGACAATGAGGGCGCATGAAGGGCCCGGGAACGATGCACCCAAAGAACCTACTGTGTCTGATCGAGGGACGGGCAGCCTCGGGAGTGCAGAAAGTCACTGTATCTATGGACGAAGTCAAGAGCCACCCGAGGTCTCCAGGTGGGTATTTGATTTATTCAGATTTCATAGGCGTGGAGTACGACCTCGGGATAAGTGCATCATTGTATACAGTACGCCAAAGTGGCCCTCCGGAGTACCAAGGGGGTTTTCCCGAGGCCCCTGCAGCCCGAGAACAAAGATCCCTCGATGATAAGGAACGTAACAGTTCGATAAATACCATAGAGCAAAAGAAACAAATAACCCAACAAAATCTGGGATGTGCAAAAAAGAAATGGCGGTACCCGGATTCGAACCGGGGCCAACACAGCATTGTAGGTGCGAATTGCTTCGCAGCTCACCACAATGTGGTATCCTACCCCTAGACCATACCACCTATTTGATGTTTGGACGTGGCCTGTTTGGCTACTTGACCCTACAACAAAGTTGGACCATTCCTGAATGGACTCATGCCTTGATGCCTGACCAGACTCCCACCCAATTGGCCCTGGAAAGCGGGAAGTATTTCCCCCATTCACTCTACCTAATCCACGGCAGATTGACCTGAGGTTGTCAATCTCGCGCGATTATCCAGAGAGCGGCCACTGCCGTTCGATCATCGAAGTTGATGAGCGCACACGCTAACCTACGGCAAGGTCGAGCATACACCGGGGCTGAATGTAGTGGACACGATGTCATCAGAGCAGCATAGGCCCCAGAAAAGAAAAAGAACTGTCATTTCCTGCACTGAATGTCACCGACGCAAACAGAAAGTACGAGCCCCACGACAGCCCAGCAGAAATTAACTAAAAATCGAAGTGTGATCGGGATTCTCCATGCTGCAACTGCATCAGACGAGGAACGCAGGTATGGACTGTCCCAACCTCGGGAAGAAAGCCGATGATGCTGACCGGCGCTCAGGACTTATGTCAATATGAGAGACAGAAAGCGGATTGCCAGCCCACGCGGGGTAGTTCTGGGGAGAGCACCGTGGAAGCCAGTGATGACACTGAGATGCGGCGCGTATGTGCGAGACCCGGGCCCGGAAGCCATAGTGGCCTCGCGGACGAGGTGCAAGACCTTGGATACTCGAATCATGGCAACCACACCTCCATGAGTTTGCTGCGGGCCACAGATTTTCTCGAAGCTAGGGACACTGGCTTAACTGGCTCTTTGGTCTCGGATCAGTCCCATCTACGAACCGATGCCGACCGAAAATACAAATCTTTAGTCCGGCAGCTCCCCTCGCAAGCCTGCATCCAGATCTTGACCCAGACTTTCTTTTCCAGTATCAATTGGCAGTACGACCTGATCGACGAGCAGCCTTTTTGGAAACAGTTAGAAGCGTGGGGAACAATATCATACTCCTCCCTCCGGACGGGAATTGGCGATTTGGCACCGGAAATGCTTGTTTTCCCAGCATTACTAGCTCAAGTGCTTGCCCAAGCGCTTCTATTCCACCCTCCGCACGACGAGAGAATCGGTTCTCTGATGACCATGGCTGAGATGACATTCCACGATCTTGCAGCTGAATACAGTGACGCAGGGGCCGAGATACTCGAGACTCTCGGGAAGAATAGTCTCAAAATCGCGACAGTACAAGCACGTCTGCTACGGGCATCCTTTCTGAAAAGTAGTGGCAAAGTTATTGAAGCCTGGCATACACTGGGCGCAACGATTCGCGATGGCCAGGAACTCGGCCTACACACTGGACAAGCGGTGTCGACGCCATCACCAGATGGGATAAACACAAGTTTCACCGGCCATCGACTTTGGGTGGTATTGCATATCTGGGATGTTCACATGGCTGTGGTCCTCGGTCGGCCGACTGCCACCGATCTTCAGATTGATCGTTTTGCTAGCACGATACAGGACCCTGCAATACGGAAAGACCTGTTCTATCACTGGAAAACCGAGTCCGACAAACCTCGGCCTTTTGACATTATCCTTGCTGGATATCATGTTGCATATCGATACTTCAAGGATATCCACTCGATGGAAGGGAACCGCGCGAACACCCAGGACTATTTCTTGGTTGAACGTATCCACGCTGATATCCAGAAAAACCTAGAGCTTTTACCATCTTGGTGCCGCTTGAACAACCCAAACCTGATGTTTGATCAACTGCAGGGGTGCCAATGGTTACCTGCTGCCCGGGAAGGATTATCGTCGCTCATTCACCTCGTGGTTCTGACGCTTCACCGACCTTATATCTTCTCTGTCACCGATAGTCGCACAGAAGCCCTCAATGCTGGACTGTCTATTCTATCTACCCAGCAGCGTCTATTTGAGCAGTCAGAGCCGCATCACTGTAAAGTCTTCAACCCAGTGTACGCTTCATTTGATGCGATTGTTCTCATTGCAGCACTTTGTCTCGTGTTCCCCAGTGAGAACATCGAAAGGCGGACAGAATACATCGAGGCTGTGGAGAGAGGCTCGAAACGTCTGGGTATCATCGCTGAATCATGTGCAACGGCGAAGTCGGCACATAGTGTTGCCTGCGGCTTGTACCGTCGCCTCAGACATATAAACAGCGTCTCTGACACGCCCGAGGCTAGAGATCCCCAGAATTACTCAGATATGATGTCTCTCAGCAACCAGACAGCTTCTTCCAATGGAATATCCCCAGGGTTCTTATTTGGCGGCGTGTCGCCTCCGCGTCCAACCCACGACCTTTTCTTTGATCATCTGTCGGGCCCACAGCTACCATTTATTGATCAAACCCACGGAATACCATTTGACCCACTCACCGCGGAAACTACGGAGTGGAATTTCGAAGGTGCTTTCTTAGCAGACAGCTTCTGGAGTCGGATGAACGAACTCGATCATTAAATTCTACATGTTTCAACTTAGTTACTCTTGATGTCCGCAAACCAGGCCGCGATGTCCCCCACATTGCTATCAACACAGTCCGGTTGATCATAATGCTGGAAGTGAGAGACCTCGTTCTTCCAGATGAGCTTTTTCTGAGCCGTGGGAATGGACTCGTAGTGACGCTTGGCAGCCGCCGCATTCATGCAGTTGTCGCCGTGGATCAACAGTGCCGGCTTATCGAGCTTCGCCACACCAGGCACAGTGGTATAGTCGAAGTGATCCAAGTCACTCATCACCGCATACCGGTTCTCAAATCCCTTCAGGGTCCAAGGCCCGTACCAAGACCACACGACCGGCCCCGGGAGGCCCGCCAGCGACCCGGTCTCAGGGTCTGCGGGAGTCGGGTCCACCAGTGGTTGGTAGACCACCTCTCCGTTCTTCTCGTATGCATCACGAGCTTGCTTGGCTCTCTCCAGTCGCGCTTTGTACAGGGCCTCGCCCTGCTCGGGAGTGGGCATTTTCATCGTTGCAATATCCGCACCAGGGGTCCATGCAACACACCCAGCGCAGATCATGTAGATGTCTGTCTCGTGGTCTCGATAGTATCCAGAAACAGATGCCACTCCCGCAACGCGGTCATCATAGGAAGCCACATCCAAGGACTCGGGACCACCCTGGCAGATTCCGACGAGGAAAAGTTTGGATTTATCGACATCAGCGCGTGTGGATAGGTAGTCCAGTCCTGCTACCATGTCTTCGTTTTTCATCTTGGGGTTCTCGAGTCGGCGAGGTTGGCCAGTGCTTTCGCCGACGGTTCGAGGATCGAAGATCAAGGCCGCATAACCTTCATCTGCGAGTCGGGTCGCATATTGCAGCGGTGCTTGCTCTTTCACGAATGAGTATGGGCCGGTGATGACCACTCCGGGCGGATTGGTGACGTTGGTGGGACGGAAGAGGATGCCACTGATGGTCTCCCCATGAGAGGGATAGGAGACTTTTTCAGATGTGTATTGACCGTGAGAAGGCATTTTGGAATATGTGAATGAGCAAGAGATGCCTACGTCGGCCTAGATATAAGTGTTGGAACCTCATCGGACTTATGCACCACCTTAGCTGAGTTGAAGTGACGCATGGGACCCAATAGACAGCACACACCAAAACCACTGCCAATGAGATGCCAGCCTCACATCTCTCGCAGCGTCGCCGTTTGCATCGCCAGATTTATCGCCGATAAAGCGGGTCGGGTCGCGCATTAACGCCGATGGACCAATAAGAAGCGCCCATGAACAGTACACATTGTTGCGACGACTTGCATCTTAATATTTGGACAAATACTAAACAGCACTTACACACAGAAAAGGCTGTTACCCAATTGATCGTGCGATGCTGATTCCAGGGCTCGATTGGTCTCTGCCAGTCTCCTTCCAACGGCTGCTTTATACAGGTCTACGGAGTTGATCTTGTCTTCTACGCTCTGCGTCATTCCAAATCACTGGTCATTTACATTCAGGTCATTTGCCCACACAGATAAAAGAGAGACCAATCTCGATATGATCGCCAAAGTGCCGGCAGATGCGAAAGTTCCCCAGGGGAAGGGCTGCCCAGTCAGTGGCGGCTCCCGGGCGCGGGGGCGGGGATGACCAGCCCCACTGCGAAGAATTTTCATAGAGCGCAGGGTGAGGCCAGCATCGCTGTTTGCCATGGCTTCCGATCGGCCACTACCTATTTCCGGGGCATGGGAGACCCCGGATGCCTATATTGAGGCTCTCCTCTCCTTCTCGACCACATCGGTGTTGTTCATGAACTTATGTGGTGGCGTGCACATGGTTGACTTTTTGACCCGCGAACCCGATCTCTATACAACAAGTCTACCGGAAGATTGGAGACAATTCTTCACACAGCATGACATTCAAGATATCATCCGTCTACTGCTTCGGGAGGATGTCGAGCCCTTGCGAGGCGCCACCGGGCCTGCTGTAGATCAAAGCAGCCGGACGTGGAATGGAGGAGCATTTCCTCCCCAGACCCTCTTGGAGTATATTTCCAATGTCCGTCAGCTGACGCTCCAGCGAGACATGTGTAATGCATCTCCCAAGAGCGAATTGCCCAAGCAAGTCGCGATGCGCATGAATCGGAAGAAAGTACATGAGGTTGAACACTTCTCCCAATATGTCGCATCTCTATCAGAGACTGTCCACCAGCGCCGAGGCGAACCAGTCTCTCATATCGTGGACTTTGGGTCTGGACAAAACTATCTTGGTCGGACGCTGGTCAGCCCGCCATATCACAAACATATCATTGCAATCGAACGCCAACATCAATACATCAGCGGAGCCAGGAACATGGATGTTCGAGCAAAGTTGGCGAAAGATCCCAAAGCTCGAAATGCGCAGAAAGAGAAAGACTTACCTTTACCTGATGGGAAACGCGATGCCCAGAGCAGTATTCCGGAAGAGACTGTGTCGGAAACGACCGGTGCTGATAAATTGACCATAGAGGGTCTGCAGCTCGCAGAGGGCGACTCAAACCTTGACATGTTGGGCGATATCAGCCTCACTCCCGGCGAGCTACTTGGATCGCCCACCAAAACTCCACGCCCAGAAAAACCAGTGAAGCAGGACGCCGATGCACGCGGTACTTTGAGCTACATTGAACATGATATTCAAGACGGCTACTTGGAGCCAGTTGTCGATCACATCATTCATCCTCCAGCTGAACATACCGACGAGAAACCTAGAGGCACCAATTCCAGATTGATGGTTGTCTCTCTTCATTCCTGTGGCAACCTCGTTCACCACGGGATTCGATCTTTGATTTTGAACCCCTCAATTGTAGCCGTCGCCATGATCGGCTGCTGCTACAATTTATTGACAGAACGCCTCGGTCCAAACAAAAACGAGCTTCCTGTCCTCCAGTCCCTCCACCCTCGGCTCAGAGAGGCGGGAGCATCATATGATCCACATGGATTCCCGATGTCTCAACGCTATGAGAACTATCGAAGCCCTGGAGCAACAACAGGCATGAAACTGAACCTTACAGCTCGGGCACTAGCCGTCCAAGCCCCATATAACTGGACCCCCAAGGATATCGAAGTATCCTTCACCCGCCATTTCTTCCGCGCTCTTCTCCAGCGCATCCTTCTTGACCGGAACGTGATCCCCAAACCCTCTGCGCCAGGAGACCCCCTTCCCGAATCAAATTCAGACGCAAAACCAGACTCCATGATCATCGGCGCGGTCCCTAAAGCTGCCTACAAGTCTTTCAATGCCTATGTTCGCGCAGCGACATTAAAGATGGCTCGGGACCCGAACTATGGAAGCCGGGTACAGGAGCATATTGCTACCATGACCGATGAGGAGATAGATGGCTACGAGACTCGGTATGCTCATGCAAAGAAGCAGATGAGTGTCGTGTGGAGTCTGATGGGATTCAGTGCCCAGCTTGTGGAGGCTATCATCGTTGTGGATCGGTGGCAATTCCTCCGTGAGCAAGAGTCTGTCAAGGACTGTTGGGTTGAGCCGGTGTTTGAATATGGCGAGAGTCCGCGCAATCTGGCAGTTATTGGACTGAAGAAGTGATTTCACATAGAATAAACACACGCGCCTTGAAGCCGGTCTTCCTTTTTCAACTCATTTCCCCGTCTCTTTTCAACTCCTTCCTCTCCAATATATTCTTTCCATCATCAAACAATCAGTATACAGACTTCTCCCGAGGTCGAAATTGAACCGAAGGCCCTCCGCGCCCCGACGCAATCCAAGCCTTCAGCTGATATTCCGGACTCCTCTCGACAAAACCCCTCCGATCAGCGCAACACACCGGATTGAGACTGAGATGATCGCCAGGGAGACGCATATCATACCGAAAGATCGTTCGCGCAATAATCAAAGACAACTCCACCCAAGCCATATTCTTGGCCACACACGTCCTCGGCCCAATACTGAACGGGCAAAACGCGACTTGCGCAAGCTTCAGTTCCCGCTGGCGCTCCGAGCTCTCGTTACAACCTGTCTCTAGCCACCGCTCGGGCTCGAATTTAAATGGACGAGGATAATACCGCCGGTCATGGTGTATCGCATAGATCGGTGTCCCGACTACTGTTCCCTCGGGAAGGTGGTGACCATCAACATTGATACCGCCTGGCAGCACACGACGTGTGGGCATACCCGCGAATGGAGGCGACAGACGAAGAGTTTCGGTGATACATGCCCGCAGGAAGGTGCATGAATTGAGTTGGGTTCCCATACGGATGTCGTCTTCTTCGTTGAAGCAAGAGCGGAGTTCTTCGGTAAGCTTGCTCAATGCTTCCTGGTTGTGGACGAGGTGGAAGATGGCAGCACTCATTGCGACGGCAATGGTGTCAGATCCTGATATGATATTAGATGGATGCTACCCTGGGAAATGTCGGACCGCCATACCGGCAACGATCAATTGCAAGGATTCCGTCCATAATTCTCTCTCGGTGAATGGCTGACCGGTCTTGGGGTCTTTGGCATTGAGCATATAGTGGAAACAATCTTTTTGGGAGATGTTATTCCCCAATTTGGTGCGAGCTTTCGCTTGCTGTCTGATCCAAGCCCCGAATGTCTTGATTGGGGAGAGAAGGCTTGCAAAGAAGATGCGATCCAGCTTATAGCGCCACAATTTCGATTGAACAAAGCACTGCAGAAGTTCGTCAGACTGGAATGAAGAAACCAAACGTGAGAGACCTACCACTGCATTTCAGCGACTGAGTGTTGTGGTGATCTTGGCAAAAGAACGGAACTGGTCTGATTGAAGCATATCAAAGCTCTTGCCGTAGCAAAGATCGCTGATGATGTCGAAGGCCACATAATCAGAAAGCGCCGCAATATCCTTGACCGGTCCTCAGTTCTTTTCTGCCTCGACGAGATTGCCATTAGACGCGCCCGACGATTCGGCATTACCAAGAAGCATATCGCAGAATTTCTTCGTGTGGAGCAAGATCCGATCCTCCACTCCCCTCAACGCTGAGTTGGTGAAAACCTGAGCTAAAATTCTCTTCTTGAAAGCATGAGACTTCTTGTCAATGCTGCTGATAGTATTGGGAGCATGGAGACTCGCGCTCATGACCAGATACGCATCGTCCTTCCGAACATTCGCCGTCGTCGAATAGATCGCAGCCATTCCAGTATGCGTGATGACGGATATGGAGTCCGGGCCAAATCTAACGATGTCACCTTTTCCCGTCAACGTCAGTGCATTCTTGAGTGGCGTTATTCTCTACCATACCGTATTGTCGGTGCCCATCCCGGATGACGAGATGGGAATCGCCTCTCCAGACATAGAAGGCAGCATACCAATTGGTAATGGCCGCTAGCCAGGGGCCTGGATACTTTGACAGTGGATGGAAACAAAGCCTGTACACGATCTTGTATATGATCTGTGAATGCGTATAAGCGGCTGCGCTACAAAAGATAGGGAAGTTTCAAGGTTAACCTACATATGAAATGGCCATCAGACCAGCGAATATAAAGACCAGCATGCTGCAGATGTGGCTGGTGACTGCAGACCATTAATTGTCCGACATCACGGAGAATATCTGCGCGAATGCTATACCTATATAACGACTGAAGAACCCCAAAAGAGATGCAGTTGACGCAGTCGAATACGCCGAAATTACCGTGATGGGTACCAGACAATACGATATTACGGTATTGAATATGGAATAGATTTCGATAGCGAGATGATCGACGAACTTGCCGATCACTTGGCAATTCATTGAGCCAATGGAATGTTGGAACGCTACTGCAGTGAGCCCCTTCAATGGCCGACCAGCTGCATTTGATATGTCTCGGAACAGTGCATGGAGTTCCTGCTGATCGGTGCAAGGTACTCCGTACAACAATAATTCGGGGGAAGCTTTCGACTTCGAAGTTACATCCAAGTTGGGACAGACTGCGGGTACGGAGTACTACAACGCATCGAATTGATTGTTGAAAGAAGACAGGACCGAAGAATAGCTACAGCAGGGTGCAAGCCCCCAAGCATCATCTATCCTTGCATCGAGGGCTACGGGCTCATGCTGTTTGCTTCTCGAGATCGTGCGCTTCTCGACTATCCAACATCAATATGGATTGGGGGAGAATGTTTCAATTTTCAGACGAGCGACGCTTTGCGTTCACCATTGTGTCCCTTTGTACCATCTCTCTCACCGTGTCCCTCAGCTCGACGTCGCTGAGCAATGCAATTCCGGTGATCACCAAGCAATTCCAGGGCACAGACACCCAAGCCTTTTGGTCTGGCACCGCTTATCTACTGTGCTCAGCGGTATTCCAGCCTGTTTTTGCCGTCGCGTCTCATTATTTTGGACGAAAGCCACTGGTGAGTGGAATGCAGTCACATCCGGGCTAGAGGACCAAGCTAACCGAAACCATAGTTTGTCTTTGCCATTCTGTTCTTCGTGGCTGGCTCTGCACTTGCTACAGGCTCAGGATCATTCGAAGTTCTCCTTGCTGCCCGTTCCATCCAGGGATTCGGCGGTGGTGGATTGCTCACCTTATCGGAAATTCTGATTGCGGATCTGGCGCCGCTCAGAGAGAGAGGCAAATGGATTGGTCTCTTGAGCATGATGTGGGCGATAGGGTGTGTCTCTGGACCGATCGTGGGTGGTGCTTTAGCTCATGAGAGTACGTTACTTTTAGATTCCGTTGACTTTCCGAGGGCTGACTGAATTTGTTCCCCCAGATACGTGGCGATGGATCTTTGCTATCAACCTCCCGCTTGCCTGCGCCTCCCTGACATTGATAGGCATTTTCTTGAAACCTTCTCACATCGGAGTGAACTTACACAAGGCTGCTGGGCAGATTGACTGGATTGGGTTTGGTCTTTTCATCCCATCAATGGCATCTTTCTTGATTCCAATCACCTGGGGCGGCGAGATGTTTCCCTGGAAGAGTTGGCACACACTGGTACCGTTGCTGGTTGGAACTATGGGGTTGGTATCATTCGTGACATATGAAATATGGATCGCCAAGCAGCCTTTCCTCCTAGGAAGCATATTTCGAGATGGAAACTCAAGATTGATCTACTTGCAGACCTTCATGCACGGCCTGATTGTACGTCGAAGACCCTAACATTTGCACACCAGCACTAACATTCGACTTTAGGTCTGGTGCCTTCTATACTATCTTCCACTCTACTACCAGGCTGTCCAGTCCTACTCGCCGCTGATGTCTGGCGTGGCCTTGCTACCAGAAACCTTCACAATCAGCGTATCCGCCGGTCTGGTGGGTATGCTGATCACCATCACAGGTCATTACTACCATGCGCTTTGGGTCAGCTGGGCGATCACTACGACTGGTGTCGGACTACTATATTTACTCAACACAGACACAGCCGTTTACAAGTGGGTACTCATAAATCTCGTGGTGGGCCTAGGGACAGGGTCGCTGTTCACCAGCACCAACCTGGCCATTCAAGCGAACAAAGAATCAGAGGAGATGTCGCACGCTCTCGGCTTTTTCGCATTTTTCCGCACATTGGGACAGTCTATCGGTGTCGCCATTGGGGGAACAACCTTCGATAACATGTTCCGGCATAAAATGAACGCAAACCCTGCTCTTTCTGCATTGACCGAAAAGCTCGGCACCGGGGCAGCGGCGCTGGTTCAGTCTTTGAAAAGCATCCCAGATAAGGAACCTCGAAAGCAGGAGCTGATACAGATATATGCCAATTCATTGAGAATGATCTGGCCCGTTTTGTGTGCCTGCGCCGGAGTCGCACTGTTGGCTAGTCTCTTTGTTAAGAGATATAGTCTAGGATCAAGTAAGTGAGGAACCGGGGCTATGAATCGAGCTCAAGCTTACAAAATAAAGGAAAATCCGATTGCGATGATGAAGCTGCGCCTACTGGATTGCAAGATTCCACTGACTTCCTGGTGAAGATATCCGATCCTGATGAAAAGGAACCACAAGAATCTCACGTTCGCACTGTACAAGACGCCAAAATCGAGTGAATATAAATCGAGCTAGCTTCCGTCGAGAGACCTCCAATATCGCTAGGAGATAAAACTGAAAACTTCCAATTCGTTACACTCCCTTTATCTGCCTCGCATCCCGCGGTAGTCATGTCGAATCTTGAAAAATACAATTTGATCATGCCTCACCTGGCAGTATGCTGCCAGCAACAAAGGTATCAAATCACTTGTCCCTGAGTAAAAGAGTTCACTAAAAATAAACACACTAGGCTTTCTGGGCAAATACACCCGCGGAACACTTTTTATTCAGGCCGGGTAGGCCTTTCTAGTCAACAATAACAGCGAGCCTCATTGAGTCGAGGAGATTTCGTGCCGCATTAGAGTGTCCATATATCCCACCCTCAAACATCTTTGTCGCATCCTTTCCAATGGCCCCGGTCAGCAAGGAAGCACCTCCCGGGTGCTCGGTCACAAAGTCTGAAACATCATACACAAATCCGTTGATCACGATTAAGTTGCATCCAGTCCTTGATTGCTTTTGATACTCTTCCCAGTGCATGACTGGCAATTTTTCATGTGGCAAACCCCAGTCAATCATCTCGGATTCTTTCCTCAGTCTCTCCTGTTTTCCTTGAATTCGCCCTTTCCGAATCTCATTGGATGGAAAGCGTCTCAAGTTCGAGGCAAATCCAAGTTGGCTACACAGCCATATCATCCACTTCGTTGGATCGAAGTCATACCACCGAACCCCATTCCGGTAGTCGATCGGGAACTCATGATGAAAGTTGTGATACCCCTCTCCGAAAGTCAAGAAAGCGGCGAAGAAGTTATCCCTTGGGGACTTGGTGCTTTGGTAAGGTTGCGAGCCTATCCAATGAGCAACAGAGTTGATACAGAAAGTACCTTGCTGCACACCCGATGTGCCCAAGCATCCTGCAAGGATAAATCCACCGAGATAGTCACCCCAGCCTAGGCCACAAACGGCGGTGGGAAATACATAGGCCATGAGAAGTAGCAGCTGCCAGTAGTAGCGGCGCTGCCATTCCACAATCGGATCGGATCGCAAATCACTGATGTCCACGCGGCCGGTGGCTTCAGCGCTGGATGGGCTTCGGTCTTTTTTGAATATGATCCAGCCAATGTGCGCATGGAAGAACCCCTTCTGCACACTGTATGGATCCTGATCGGTATCGACGTAGCGATGATGGGCTCGGTGATCGCGACACCATGTTTTGATGGCGCCTTCTCCAGCCCCGGCACCAATTACTGCCAGCACCAGCTTCAGATACCAATTGGCGGAATAGGATTTGTGAGCCCACAGGCGATGATAGCCTATTCTTGGTCAGATTTGGGATTCTCTTCTCTTCGACTGGGTACTCTACCAGCTGTGATGCTGAGACCTCGTAGGAATGCATATAAGACCATGAAATGGATGGTCTGTCTGAAAAGCGGGACCCAAAAAAGACTAGGGAGCGTCACCAACGGAATTCCGAGCACAAAAATTGCCAACGGCCATTCTATCGAGGTTCCGCTAGGGCGAGTGGATTTTGCAATTTTCGGTGCGAAATCACGGGTGTGTACAGATGATAATTTTTGGGCAGGGGCAAGTTTGTTGCTTAACAGCTTTGCTGCAACCTGAATCATGCTGGGCACAACTGAAAGCAGGTCCGGGCATCGCGGGTCGGATGGTCACGCCCTTTTCTATCTGGAGGCTACGAATTTACCCAGTCTGACTTTCCGGGCTCGGAGTGCATGTATTGTTTTTGTGCTAGGAGAGGCTAGCGTTGACATGTTGCTAGCCGGCAGATTAGACTGTTGGCTTTACCAAGGACATCAAAACCTAAGTTGGCATTGGGTTTGTACCGCATTCAATAAAGACGCGGCCCCTTGCTGATTGTCATCGGCCCGGTGGATTGGTAGGAAACCTGATTGGGTGACAGATCTTGGGTCCCGGGGGAAATACACGGTTGCCCGCGTTGGGGTACCGGTAAGTTACAGGACAGGTACGAGACACGTACGAGACACGGGTAAGCCGCCCAGATACCGCGCACAGGGGGCTCCCCCACCTTGTGATCTATATCGCGAGCTCTAAGTTTTTATTAACCCATGCTACCCCGTTCATGATCTGTCATACCCCAGTATATGGAGTAGTGTACTTGCAAGACCAGTGGATCTAAGCTCTACTGCATAAACTCACGCCGCAAGTGAGGTGTCCGCAGAAAACTTGCCGTTGCACTGGGCCTGCTAGGGGCTCTTTTCGTAGCTCTGTATTCCGACAGATCCATACTCGGTACGGAGTACTCGGCACTGAGTGCGAAGTAGAGTACGGTGTGAGGAAAACTTCATGCAGAGCACTTGTTTTGATTATCACACTTGTTTTGTTTACTTTCTCTTTCGGTAGTTTAGAATTCTGGGTCTGAGCTTTCTGGTTTCCTCCACAACCTCCCTTATATAGGATTCGCTCTCGTGGGGTGTCAGAATTGGCATTGTTTTCAAGTGAAAGCCCTATCACATTCGTATATCTTCCGTCACCATGAATAGCACCAACGCCACGGGCACTGTCACGCTGGGCCTACCACCACTGCACCTCTTTTCTTTCCCTCCCCGTCAGCTACACAAGACGGCGACTCCTCTGCCGCCCACCTCGTTGGCAACCTCGAAACTCTTACGACCCATATCAATCAACTCAACAATATTCGACTTATCTCTCGACCTTCAGTACCCTCTGACATTTGCAATTCTATATTTGTCCGGAGTCCTATTTCTGAATCGAGTCAACGCAAGCCGGAAATACAAGCCATGGGGATTTACCAGAATATCCATCTTCCGAGTAATAGTGATACTTCACAATGGTCTGCTTGCACTTTTCTCCGCTTGGACATTCTATGGAATCTGCCACGCAGTCAAAAGTTGCTGGCCACAAGATGGACCCAATTACTACGCGCAGTTGGCAGAAACCATGTGTGGCACTGATTCCAGAATGGCTCGTGGTGAGTAGGGAAAAAGCTCACAGGTCCCCGGAAAACATTAACCAGTTCGCTAGTGTTGTCAGAAAATATGAATACAGTTTGGGATGAAGGAGCTGCCTACATTGGGTGGATGTTCTACATGTCCAAGTTTTACGAAATCATCGATACGATGGTGATACTTGCACGCGGCAAGAAGAGCTCTGTCCTGCAAACTTACCACCATGCCGGCGTGATCCTGTGTGGATGGGCTTCAGTGAAATACGAGTCTCCAGCATTTTTAGTTGGAATTTTTCTCAACTCGGGTATACATACATTGATGGTACGAAAATGTCTCCCCATTCAAAGCTCAGAATAGCTACCTCCGAACTAGTTACTGATAATTCATTTCACTCTAGTATTCTTACTTCACGTTCCAGTCTCTTGGATTCAGGATCCCCATGGCCATCAAAGAATCTTTGACTAGTCTACAGATCGCGCAGTTCTTGGTGGGCTTTGTCTGGGGCTACTGCTACCTTTTTGTGAAATACACTGTGCCCTTCGATTTTACGCTTCAGGCGCAGGATTTGCACTCCGCCATCGAGTCCAATATGGTATCGATTGATGCTCCCACCTCTTGTCTGAGTGACAGCGGGGAAGCCTTTACAGTCATTCTCACAACTGCCTATGTGTTGCCTTTGCTATTGCTTTTCGTTCGATTTTTCCTGGCTTCTTATACCAAGGTAAAGAAGGCGTGAAGGAAGAAACCCCAAAGACACCTTGCTTGCAATTGACCACATACAAAATGCTCAAAATTCAAAATCTTGTGTTCTAGTCCGAGAATTAGATACCTGGGATTTAATATCATCTCAATATACCGAAATAACCACAAGCAGCCGGCATATCCCATATGCCAGAAATTACTCTATAAAGCAACACTAATCAATAAGCTTGCCCGAATATGCGAAGAGGTCGAAAATCGTACCAACCAAGTTCATTTCTCCTCGAAAGCATGCTCAATCTTGCCCTCATCAGCAATATGATTGTACGGTCGATCGTAGCGATTTTGCATATCTTCGTTATGTTTTCTGACATCCTCCGGCAACTCTTCGTGTTTCTTCCCTTCCATGTTGGCTAGATTGGATTGCCTGCCATCCCGAAGAGTAGGATGGGCCTTGTTGGATGGGATTGGGTGGTTTGACGTGCTTTCAAGGTCGCATGAGCCCTGTGAATCGTGTTCATTTGCCTGGAAGAATTTTTGACTGGTATCATGGACGTAAAATCGTGGACGGGCACCGTTGATCGCATTGCGACCGAGGAGTATGGAGGAAATCGGCTTCCGGCAAAGGGCCGAGGTTCGCCAAACGGAGTTCATTCTCGATAAAAGTCCGGGAAAACACAAAGAATTCGACTCAAATAGATACAGGAAGGCAAAGTGTTGGAGACTCAGGGTGCTGAGATATTTCTACACAGAAATGAGTATAAATCAGGTTTGCCTCGGTGGTCTAATATAAGTTGGCAGCGATGACGTATCAGCCGACGTCCACGCCTTCTGCGCGCACTTGCAATGTGATCGTGTACCTCAATACTCGTGCTTTTATGTCTCCTGTTTGTTTCGAGGCTCATATAGCAAGCTTTCACATGGCCAAAAACCACCAGAAAGCGGTGCGGCGTGGCCAATGGCTGAAATGAAAACCTTTGCTGCGATTAGAGCATAACCATGTATAGCTCTTGCATTGGATTCGAAATCCGCCATGCAGACATATTCATTATTATTAATTTTAGCGGACACGTCCATATTTAGAGCCAATTCGCACAGCAAGTGAGCTCCGAGTCTCCCCTACCGCAAAGAGAAAATGCTACCCGTTTCATGTCTTTTTTGATCATTAGCTCCATAGTGCATCGACTGATGCTCAGGTGAAATTTATGGCACGTAAGAAAACTCGTTGCGATTAACAAATATTCTGCTAGTCATTTTGCATAATTGTAACAACCATTGCAATCTGGATACAAAATCAATGGTCAATGAAGTTAAGAAATCTTGCTGCGGCATTGTAATTGTAATATCCACATGAGACTTGTTGAAATCTCGCTGCCTCGGTATTTGCAGAATTTTAGGACAACAATTGTTGTCGTTAAAAAAAGAGCAAGCCCCTGAACATGTCTATCTCTGAATCCTTTCGTGGGCGCGGCTCAACCACAACCAGAGGGCTGAACTATATTCGTAGAGCAGTTTCCGGTTTAGGTTGATCGATGAGCAATCGAGCAACATGAGACAGGGTCCAATTTAATCTATATTGTCTGAATGTGACCCGCAGTGGCTTCTTTGGAGTGGTTTTCGTGTTTCTGAAACACCGTTGAATTAAAGGAAGATGGACAGGGCGGTTAGCTCCAAAATGGCTTGGCAAATCGAGATTCATACTTGAACAGAAAGCTGAAGGCGCAACTAATACCTGTGCACTCCCATATAAATAGCAAGGATACTACGCTGCTTTGATGGCTTTGAGAAGTACCATTTCGACACTGAAAGCACCTCTCTTCACTCCACAATCCCGATACTTCCCCACAAACCGGAATCCCGCCTAGCACCATGCTTCGTACCACAGCCATGATAGCCCTCATGGGCATCGTGCAAGCACATACTGTCGCCTGGACTAGAGGCATGCACTGCCTGGGAGGCCCCGACCCTTCCACCGAAGATCTCAACACGAACACTGCCGTGGCACCACTCTACGACCTTTCCAAAGAGGACTGGTGGTTCCAACATGACCGAGGATGCGATGCGGCGCCTCCTGCAGAAGGCGACATCCTCGAAATCCCCGCTGGCGGGAAGTTCACTGTCGAACTTGCCCACAACCGCGCACAGACGACCCTTTCCTACGATGGAAAATTCACCTCTGCCTGGCCAGATGGGGAAGAACACCCAGAGGACTGGTCCGGACCAGGAGACCCAGCGGACTGTATTCAGGATGATGGCGCCATGCACACAACCAACCAGTCCACTGCCGCTGGGACTGCATTTGCCATCAGCTACGAGGCCAACATGGCTGATGTCACCATGGAAAACTTGGCAGTATTCACGGTTTTGGAACAGTATGCGCGTTCCCAACTGTGTCAAGTACATTTGCTAATCTGGTTCAAGCACACCATGGAAACGAATCGCTACCTATGAGGCTCCTATCGATCTCCCCCCCTGCCCCGAAGGAGGATGCACTTGCGCCTGGCTCTGGGTGTGTTTCCGTCTTGATATTGTACTCCAGTCTTCTCAACGCTAACATTGGTTTCTGCACAGGTTCCCAATGGCTGTGGCCAACCGAATATGTAATGTCTACTCAATGAGATCGAACTGGAACTCGGCACTGATATGTCAAAATGCAGGTACATGGCCGGATATAAATGCAATGTCACCGGATCAACATCATCAAAAAAGATTGCTCCTGCGCAGGTCGCTACATACTGCGAAAACGATGCGACGAAGTGCGTCGGAGGCGCAAAGCAAATGATTGCATTCAATCGTACGATATCAGGGTCTTCCTAATTACCCCTGAAGGCATCGCTGATCGCATTAAACAGAAAAAAGCGGTAACAACGTCGTTGTGCCGGATGGAAAGACTCCAATGTACAATACGGCGTGGGGATGGAAAAATGGTACGTTTCAATGATCCATCATGACATTCCACCAAGCTCGAGATTCTAGAATTGACAAAATCAGGTGCCCAAAACGACATTTTTGCCTAAGCCAGCCCAGTCAAAGAAAAAATGTACTATACTGACCTCTAGGCTCCAGTTTGAACCAGCTTTATAGCAGATTGACCATGTGCTGGAAGTTTGGTCTTTTAAAGAAAAGAAGAAGTTACAATGTACCATATTCTCAGATCAAAAGCTGGTCTCTTGAGATTATATTGCATACCAGATTTTGAATTTAGTAACCTTCCTAATTACTTGACTGTCAAAGAGGGAGGAGGGAGGAGAGAGGAGAGAGAGGGTCTTCCGTCCCTCCGGGAACTTCAAGCCTGTTAATATTCTTCTATTTTCTTTTTGATTTCACTCTGCTCTTCACTTTCTCTTACTTTTCTTCTGGCTCTTCCATCTCTTCCATCCCACCAACATATCTCCAGACATCCCCCCCCCCCAACACACTTTCATTGCATCTCCGGTCTCTGCTTTACCCGCTCGAATCTTGTCTTTCACGAAAAACCCCCACTACTCGATCATCCACCATGGGTGACGAGCCCAAGGCTTAGAGGCGTTGGGCCTCTGATAGCTGTCCCAACGTTTGGAACATCCTTCCATTGGATAATTTGAGAGCGGAGCTCCTGCTGGATTGCACAGGGAAGACGATTATACGATGATTGATTCACAGGAAAGGGACGGTTTTAATTGGAATCATCGAAGGGGTTGGCTTTTTGGCATGGATAAACAAGAGAAAGTCCGCTGGACTCGGCTGAAAGTCAACACTAACGGAAAAAAAAAACCCCCCAAAAGGTACACGAACCAACACCCAGACTTCTCTGTTGGGGACAAAGTACTAACTACTGCGTATAGGGAGCGGTTATAACATGGACGCCAATGCTCAGAAGCTTGGCTAATGATACACAGGCCTATTCACTGTGCTAGAAAGAGCTGTCCGTCTACGGTGGCCTGTCGCTTAGATTTACCATGCGCCTGCAAAGTCCACCCTGTTATCAGTGTGAAGCATCTAGAGCCGACACGGCTCCTATGTTCATGATACAGCAAGACGACTTCATGCAGACAGCAGACGACCGTATCGCCCAGGCTACAGGCTGCGAGGCAGAGAGTGCGAGGGGGAATTTGTAGTGGTGGCCACGAGACTTCGAACAAAACGATGAAGTCCGCGGCAAAACTGGGAGGGCAATAAAAGCCCGGCCGACAACATTATTCGTGGATAGAGTAAGGCAATACTGCTGGCTCTTTTCCATACTTGACATGATTCAATATCAGCTCACGTCGAGCCTCACGATGGGAAAAATCTGCGACACCACCCAGACGGCCAACACAGCTATCGCCACTGGGCACAACACTATCTCTGTCATTGAGTCTGTCATTACATCTGAATCGGCTACGGAATTCAGACCAAATCTTGCTTCTGGCGTACCGCCGAGTCCGACACCTGCGGGCCGCTTCTGGGCTAGACTTGATGATATTGCAATTCCAGCGAAAATCATAAGACCCTCTTTATTGTACAGTCTTTTCCAACAATTGGAATTCCTCCTTTCGTCGCGTGATGTGTGCCTTAAGACCAGGGTGGGCAACATGAGTGTGCGCACGCTGGAACCATGCGCCTTCCTCTGGAATGGTGACTGAGAGATCGTACTTCATAATCACATGGCAGAGAAGTATCTTCTGCATATAAGACGCAAAAAATCTCCCCGGACAGGCTTGTGAACCGTGACCAAAGCTGAAATGTTGAGGCGATGTTGATGTGAAGTTGTATGATGCCGGGTTTGTGGAGGAATCTGGTTTTTGACGGAGATTGAAATACCGGTAACCATCGAACTTGTCACCATTCGACCAGATGGTATCGTCGATGACATCGCAGGCAGAGACCATGATGGTTGTTCCTTTGGGTATAATCAGACCGTCAGGCAACACGACTCTCTCCAGAGCCTTTCGCTGCATGAGAACTGAAGAAGCGTTAGGGAAGGTTTCCCGGGGTGTGCAGCATGGATTAGTGAAACTTACGGACGGACTCGGGATGCATACGCTGAGCCTCCTTCAGGACACTGTCCATGAGCACGAGATTTTGTAAGGAGTTCCTGTTGAATCCCTCTTTCCCAACTTCACTGACAATCTCAGCACGAAGATCCTTTACCAGTTGCTTGTTGCCCCAAACCGAATGAAGAACATTAGTGAATAACTCAGCCCCTCCATCGTATGAAACAAGACAGAGAGCAATTAACATGGATGTCAGCTCATCCGATTGTCCTTCAAGCCTTTGATGTAAGAAACTAAGAGGGTTCTTAGGATCACTGTCCAGACCTTGCCCATTGAGCTTTTCATTCAAGGGCTCCAAGAGAGTGTTGATGTGTTGATAAAGCGACTGAAGCTTTCGACAATTTGGGAGAAAAGGCGCAGCGAAACGCTTTGCCCATTTGGGGAATGCTCGAAGTTCATATCCTGCTAAGGCTGACAGTTCGACATACTCGGCGCTTGAATTCACCCACTCCGGGTTCCGATAGAAGTCCTCATCATTGATAAACGTCCTCGACATTATCTGGGCAAACATCTTCCACACAGAATCCTTCAACATATACTCTTTTCCGTCTGTTTCAACCGTTAGCTCTCATGTCACACCAGATTCAGCCTTTGGGGCTATGGAGCGTTACCGGGGTCGTCAGTCCAGATCTGACGAAGTGCATAGTCAGACTCCTCATTGAGGGGCTCAACAAATGTCCCTTGTACGAGATTAGATTCGTGATTCTTGTCTCACGCAAAGCAATTCAGGGGCTCACCTAAGTAGCGATTGAGCGAGCTCTTCGTCACGGCGTGCAGAATTTTCTCGTCGCTGGTCATTGATGACATTGGCTCAAAACCGTGCACGCCACTGTCAAGTTTCTGTGTTTTTGTCAGTTTTCATTTCTATCAGGGGAATATTCTCCTCACATCGGCAAGCGCCGTGATAAAATCCAGTCGCTTTTCATTGCGAAGCATCTCGACATAGTTGTGGGTGAGAATTAAGCGATAACTACCATCGGTATAGAGATAGAAAGCATCTCCATACTACAGAAATAAAACTCAAAGTTTAGCATTTTGAGATAGATCAAAGTAGAATGTTCACTTACCTTCTTCGCGCAAGACCTAACAGTGCCTAGGCAGTCATCTCGGAATCGCTGTTTAGCTTTGCCATAGCCGAGCTCATACCATCTTCTGCCAATTACGGGAAGGCCAGAAGGGTTATCTAGCCCGGTAAATTTCCACCAGAGGCATATAGCAAGGACGACCAGTCCGTAGCTAATGAAAGGCGAGCTGATTTCCGAACTTTGATATTTTGAGACTGCAGCTTGCAGATCGAAATGCATTTTGGAAGCCGCCCTAGGCAATGGAGATAGCTTGAATGCTTATCTTGAGTGCCAATGGCAAAGTGCACTGTTTGGGCGGAGGAAGAGACCCTGGACTACTTGTGCTGCTCGAGAAGAAGGGTTAGCTGAATCGGTGGGTACGCCCCTTGGGGACTTAATAGCCCGCGAAAGACCAATGACGCAGCCATGCCCCGTACCTACATCTCTCTTTAGGGCTTAAGATCTGTTTTCGATCCAGTACGCATATATGCATTTGAAATAGGTAAAATACGGAGTCCAGGCGGAGCAAATAAGCAATATCAGACGCTTTGGACTATCGGTGGTTGTTGTGATCTGCATAAATACATACATGTCCAGTCATACTTTGGAAAGCGAAGAATGTGATAGCGGTCTGTATTTGAATAAACATATGAGACATAGCCAGAGACATATACCACAATTGATTTGAAGCCCTGGAGGTCAAGCCAGGATCTTCCAGGGATGAAGCTTCCATTGTGCTACTGAAACATATGCCTCAGGCACATAACCCATTGGCAACGCGGCTAGGGCCCCCGGGTATTTTGCGAAAACATACTGCCCCGGAGTACAATGACATTGTACTCCGTACGGATTTTTTTTTTCGTAATAGCTAGAATACAGTAGCTCGGTGAGCCCCTAACAGGGCACAGTGGTGCTGTACGTGGGAAAATTGGGGTCGCAAAACCACTATCACGAATCTGAAAGCCACTACGGAGTAGCTATTCTTCAGCTGCGATCATTACCAGATACCTCTACTATAGAATACTCTGAGCCCTGTATATTTGAAAAATGGATTCATGGATTAGGGTAGAGTTTTTTTATCGCGTGAAGAAAGCTTGGACCCTCAAGAAATCCCGAGCTGCGGTTGGAGAGATTTTTTCGAATTCGATTGGCATAATTTTACAAAATCCGTCTGGGAATATTAAACCAAACGAAAAGGAAAATCAGCCAATTATATCATGGGTATTATGTGTATCCACATCCGGCTATTTGGGAATTTACTCCGTAGGGCATATGAGCTGGGCAAGTGGATACCTATGCAATAAATACCTGCATCGTCACACAGCTGGCATTGCAGCGTTGTACGAAGTCGGGGTGGCTTATCGATCAGCCAACGAGCCTTACCGACTTTTGAAATACGTAGTCAAAATTATAATGTACGCAACCCCAGCGAAATATGTGGAGAAAATTCAGGCTGAAGACAGGGATGAGGTCCTCCGCTCCCGTGAGTACTGTGGGTACCACATCTTGGCACACTTTTCCCGCTGCTGAGCTCGAAAGCCCATACCGCAGAGTATGGAAGATTTCAACTCGAACAGCTCCGCAGAAATCCCAAAAGGCCTTCTTTATCTAATACAAGCTACTATACACATTCCCAGATCCGCAAAGTGGCAAAAATGGTTGTTATGAGTAAGAATTACCTAGGGGCATCTATGTACAGGTGGACCCTTGAAAATCATATCCCTGCAAATTCAGCTTCACATTCAGCTGGTAGTCTAGAGGGAAGCCCAAAAATGTACTACATGTTCCGTTTCTTAATTAGTTTGTACGGAGGACGCATGCGGGCTTTTGGGAAAATATTGTACGGAGTACTCCGTACCCAAGAGCAAACACTGCAACACAGGGATCTGTGCAGGTATCCGGACCATCCGGAGATCTTTGATGTGCTGCACGAATCACAGATTCCTCCATTCTATCTTTTAATACTTGTGTACGGAGTAATGTCAAATAGCATTGTCGGAAAATGGCTCTAATAGCGCGCATGGTGGCTAGATCGCAATACATCAGCCCAAGTATTTACCGCCAGAGCCTACGGTATGTACAGGGTACTCCATAGATGTACCTAGATCCATGGCTTGCGATCGATCTATCATAATTCTAGGGTGATCCTTACCCCTCAGATGTCTTCTGCCCCGCCTAAAATTCCAGTATTTCAATTTCACACTTCCTAATTAGGTTTGTCTTCCTCGATCACACACCATCTCCGTGCTCAAAAGCGCTTGAAAGAATTGGTTACAGTTACAGTCTCAATAGAAAGAGAACCGCCTTCTCTTGATCTGACTCTTCGTACAACCTTCACCCCTGCATTTTTTGTGGAATGCCTAATTAGGACAGCTCCTTTACACCATCAACGCGTGCAGCGGAAACCACCGACCTCGATAAAATTCATTACTAAATTTTCATCATGGACATTTCTCAGCTGATTGAGTCCATTAATCAAGTCACATCCTCCGGCAAACTTGAGAACGTGGACCCCCAACAACGAACTCAACTTTCTGAAGCTTGCGATCGATTGAAGCGTCAATGTGAATCTCCTGTGGACAAGACGATCAAGCTTCTCTACAGTGTAATTTTGAAATCCCCAAATCTAGTCCTCAGACCGAAGGCTAATGGACTTCAAGTGCCACCAAGCTATTGCAATTCGACTTGCTGTAGATCTTAAGCTTTTCGATGCGATTGTAAAGCGCGCTTCCGAAAGTGAAGATGGCCGAGTGCGCGTTGGCCAGCTTTCCGAAGACGTCAAGGCGGATCCAAAATTGGTTGGTATGTCTATTCCAACCTTTCCTACAGCCAAACCTGTTATTGACGAGTAGTAGGAAGGATCATGAAGTTCCTTGTAACCTTGGATATCCTCGAACAGCATACCTCTGATACCTATTCCACCACACGTTTCACAGAAACCTATGTTTCGACTTCGTGGATGTCTGGCGCGGTGATCTTTTTGTATGTCTTCCCTCGGAATTTTGATGTGACAAAACACAGCTAACATATTCAGCACTCACATGTTTCTGTTTGTTGCCAAGCTTCCGGAATATTTCGAGGCAAAAGGATGGAAAAACCCAGATGATATCGAGGATTCCCCTTTCAACTTTGCGCTCGGGTCCAAGACCGGGTATTTCGGGTACATGTCGTCCAAGCCTTACTATCAAAATGCGTTCGACACGGTCATGGCCTCACCCTACCGCCGCGATGAAAAGAGCTGGACAGATTTCTTCCCCGTTGAGGAGAAGTTACGCGTGCAGAGTCCTTCGGATGTGCTTCTCGTGGATGTCGGAGGCGGTCGGGGTAAAGATCTCCTTAGCTTCCGCGAGAGGTTCCCCAATTTGCAAGGAAGGCTTGTTCTTCAGGATTTGTCACATGTAGCCGAGACAGCGGAAATTTCCTCCGAGATCGAGGCCCAGGTTCACAACTTCTTTGACGAACAGCCAGTCAAAGGTGCAAAGGCGTACTACCTGCGCACTGTGCTTCACGACTGGCCTGACAAGCAGGCCGTGGAAATTCTGTCGAGAATTCGTGAAGCCATGGCCCCTGACTCTGTGGTCCTGATTCATGAGAAGGCAATGCCGGAAACCAACATCCCATGGATGGCTGCAATTGGCGATATGACTATGATGACTGCTTTCTCGGCGGCAGAAAGAACCAAAAACGAGTGGGAGATTCTGTTGAACAAGGCGGGGCTCAACCTCACTGGGTTCTGGAAGCCTGATGGGACCACTGCGCAGCAACAAGTTATCATAGAGGGCTCATTCCATCCATGCAAGGATTGCTAGACTCGCGGGGTGAGTGCATGCCCACGTGCTTGACATTGGAAATATAAGCATATATACCTGGTATCTCTCGATAAATCCAAGATGGCTTGAATGATAAACGAGTTTTGACCGAGAGAGTCAAGATGAAAAGAAAGGAAAGCGAAGAGAAAGAGGAGAAAGACTAGAGGGTAATAAAAAGGAGAGGAGAGAGGAAAATAAAGTGGAGAGAGATGGAGAGAGATGGGGAACTAATTGCAAAATTAAGAGGGTATAGTCTCTCATAAGAGATTTGAGTAAAGAGTCTAGAATACGGAGTATCAATTTTGAATTACAAGCTACCGTGTCTATGAAAGTTTACTACCTAGATAGCAGCTCTACTGTGATCAGTTGGTAGAAGATAGGCCCAGGTGCCCAAGGGCAAGTTCTGGTTCTTGATACTTACGGCCTTGGGAAAGCTATGGATCTGCCTGGTATCTGGTTGGAAGTTGGAGGAGAATAAGGACAAAATATAAATGATGAACATGTAGTGTAGAGTTTTCAGTGAGCTGCTTGGTCCTTAGACCCTGACTTATCAGGCATCAATCTTCTTTAATTCGGCTTCGATAATGCCTTTGGTGTACCCATGAGGCAGCCAGAAGTTCTTGATCTCCAATCCGACTGATTCTAGAAGCTCGATCCATCGTTGACGAGTTCTCTCAATTCCTGGACACCATACCATGACGACCATATCAATCAATGTCTCCTTGAGCCCGGCATTTTGGTCTGGCACAACGTAATCCTCGATCAAGATTTTGGAATATCCGCTCTCCATAGCAGCAGTAGTGTGTTTTAAAATTGTTCTGCAGTGATCGTCGGACCAGTCATGCAAAATATGCTTGAAGTAGTATGCACGAGCACCTATACCCCTTGTTAGACAATGAATATCGAGGTTAGGAGTATAACATACCTTTGACTGGCTGGGGATCAAAGAAGTTGTGTTTGACTCTCTGAATATCGCCGTCAAGGCTTTGAATATCCTCGATCACAGAAGGCAAATCTTCAAGAACAAGCTTTCCAGCACCTACTGGGAACTTTTCTTTAAACCCAGTGAGCTCATGGCCACGATTCCCGCCAACGTCAACAAGCAATGGCCGGTCAGCCAACGACCCGTTCAATAATTGTGCTTCAACGGGAAACCAGTCAGCCCAGTGAGCACGCTCATCTCGGGAGCCCTCCATGAAAGTGTTGAAGCGGTCAAGTGCATCTGGGTGCTCAGCTAGCCAATCCCAACAGGTACCAGTCGTGTTGTAGGCATGTTGAAATGGACCATCATTGGGGTCTCCGGGATTTTGGTATCCAGACTTTTCAAAGAATTCTGGCGTCTTTTGGATAATGGGTAGGAAATCCATGAAACTACGCTTTATGGTTAGATCAAATGCTACCGGCAGCGGAATTGAACCGATCAAGCATGGAACTTACAGTGAGTTCACTGTCCCAGCAGTTTTTCTCTCCGTCATTTGCCTTGACAAAGCAGTGGGCTCATATTGACCGGGGCCAACTTCGGCAGCAAAGCCGTTGCAAACTAGAACACGCATAATGCGCTCTACAGAAGCCTTGTCAATGCGGGAATTCAAGTCGATGCGAATGCATCATAAACCTACCAACGAGCTGGGTGTCTGCATTCTTGGGCGCAGCCAATTCTTTGCATGTGACAAAAGACGTGGTTTGAGATAGAAGAGAGAAAACACTCAGATCATTGGCCGATTTCACAGCCATTAAAACAGCCGGCTAATCGTGGCATTGATTAGCACTGAAATTAATCAATTGCGAATTGGGTCATACCGAAGCGAATAACTTGTAAATCGCATCTGCGGGGTTCTCGAGAGCTCCTACAAGACTTGTAGCATTCTGAAGGGCTTCGCGTCGCGCTATTTCAGTCTTGGCTTCTTTGTACGCATCAAGGGAGGCCACGAGCTTCGCAGTCAGACTGGAAATATTGGAGAATTCCTGAATCGTCATCTTGAAGAGTACGAGAACCAAAGAAACTTAGCAAAATTGCAGAGTCGATTCTGTACCAAAGAAAGTGTAGCGCCTTTTTAGCAGTGTAGTGGAATTGAGAATCTTTTTATTTCTACTTAATAGTCTCCACGATTTCGGTTGTTTCCACTCGACATAGACCTAGGCGGGTGCAGTATCCACCATGCAGTGTTATTACCCTGATACCCGTGAACGCTCTAATATTATGAATCCTCTTTTTTAAAACTGTCATATTTGTATAACAGCGTGGCTTGAAGCAGGAGCCACGCACTCCGCGACTAGTGGGATCCTCAATTCCCGAGAAATGCATTTGTTATGTCTTACGTTGCGCCTGATCTGTGACAATAAGTAACTTCGAAATAAGAAAATATTTCGACAAATGCGTATATATCAAGTGGTGATTATGTATGTTTGCTAAATAATGACGTAGAGTGTCGCATAGACAGAAAGCAAAAAGTTGAGGTGTATCATCGGAAGTGGCGGTCTGTCCGAAAATCAAGTTGATCTTGATCATTCAACGCGCGCCTGGGCTATGCATGGAGGGGCACACATAGGTAAGGCAGTGGGTAGCTGAAAATGCAGCGATCGGCATCAGCTAGGTTCCTCTACAGGGTTTGGATACCTAAAAGCTAAAACCGACATAAATCAGTCGCCTGAGAAATAATAAAATACAGTACGGAGTACACCATAGTACATAGATGGAAAAGGATCTAGACAAAACGGATGCATCGCCAAGATTTACATCGACGCAAATGTGGATACGAATCTGTACACTTACTGTGCTAGGTCTCCATGCATTTCACATGTACGGTGCACCTATCACGATGAGTGCCCAGGGGGTCCCAGCCCTGGAGGCGGGGGCAGGTCAGCCCCGGCGCCCGGGGGTGGGGCGGGTAGATTATTGCTATTATCGGATATGATACCGAAGTGGGACTAGCGTATATAAATGCCGTCTTTTTGTACTGCTTCGCAGAGTACATATCGAGACGAATAGATAGGTCTGTTAGCGATGGGGCCAGGTACTAGGTAGTGATGACTGACAGAGTGAAGAAGATCGAATCGTCTCGCTTTAATGAGTGGGAAAATGAATAACTTAAAAGGGTAAGTGAAAAGTGAAGACTTTTTTTCGAAATTTGGGTGGTGACAATTGGAGGTATTCTTGCACTTTTCATTATATTAGGGATATGTATGCCTAGTACCGGGAAGAGCAACCTTGGAACCTTTGTCTCATTAATATCATATTAAGTGGTTGCTTGGATGCTTCGAAGTAAAGAAGAATGATGAAGTAAAGAAAAATGACGGACAGAAAAAAAAAGGAGCTATTTACTAGCATCACAGATAGTGAGGAGCAAAGGCGACATGTACACAAGACTTCCGACCTGACCTCGGGAGGTCTGCCTAGTTACCTAGGTAGACTTAGAATCCTCCGAGGCTTCTGTCAACTGCTACTGAGACCATTGACTTCCAAGGTTAAGCATGTATTTTTCAAGTATGGGGTAGCGCAATTCTCCCATTAATAGGTACAATATGTCATGCTTTAAGTTCCTGTGCTTGACAGAGCCACCTCAGATATACCTAGTAAATCTCCGACCTCGGGACAGGCTGAGGCTGTTTCACTACGTTATACAGTTCACTAACTACCTACATAGGTAGTAACCTTATATTTTTGGCCCCCAATTCAGCTTGGCTGAGTGATAGGATGTTAATTCCGGGGAAGGGTAAGTATTATGGTCATTGTTTAAGCGAGATATCGAAATATTATACCTAGCCCATTCCAGATGAATTCCGTCTCGCTGGTCAAAATCGCCATCGTTATTCAAGGCTCCAAGGTTGTGGGTTGGTTCGTCAGCATAAAGTAACACCTGGGCGGCAAATATTCAATATCATTTCGGCTCTTCGGCTCACCATGGAAGGCCTGGACGTGAAAGCACAAGGAGCGATCGCGGGCCTATGGGTTCTGTGTCAAGCGTACGGGTCGGAGCCTAAGGCAGCGTGAATCCCACATGTTGGGTACGTAGAGCACTGGTGTACGGAGTAATCTTTAAAGTCTAGGCAGGGAGTCCCCTAGCTAGTGGCATATCGCTCGCAAGCAATCTAGATAGTGGCGGCGTGATTAAGTTATACAGATGCCATCAGGCTGTGCGTTTTTTTGATGGGTCCGGTGTTTTCGACACATCTTTCTCAGAGATTTACTTTCTCTCAAAAATGCGATAAAAGGATAACACATCTCAGCATGCTGAGCGGCTGGGTGATCTCCAATGGTTCTCCTTACATGGTGAATTGCCTCTTCTCTACGTACTCGAGGAGGATTACCTATAAAAATCCACTGATTACTGTAATCATCCCATCTATGCATTCCGCACAACGTCATATAATCCTTTCTGCAGGATATGACGTGTCTACAGAGCTCATTGGTGAAGCATGCATACACAACTAACTCTTGGCTTGGAACAATAAAAATTGTTGAGGTCTGAGGTTCAAGGTCGTAGTACTGTATTAACAATTCTGGGGACGTAATTGGTCCAACACAGTCTAACGAAGTGTATACATCAAAAACTATAAAAAGGTCCAAGAACTTTGCATGCATTAAATGTCCCTGAAAAACATGAAGGCCATATAAAATCAGGCCCCGTTAGCGGCTAGATCGGCTTGCTTCGAATCTATCAGGTTTCAGCTTGAATTAGTGGACCCACTCAACAGACAGCCACACGATCTTGTCATTCAGCGAGTAATTTGAAACAAATGCCAACATAATGACTATGTAATATTCAACCACCGTGAAAGTAATTCTTGACAAAGATATCTAAGGATAGTGTGCCATAAATAACAGAAACAACTCTGATATCGAGAAAACATTGTTCATAGCTCATCATACATGCGCTTCAACCTATACCATAAGCATGGCATCGGAACGTGGAAGGCGACAAAGGCCGCAACTGTACGGAGTACATGCAGGATGATTCACATAATTCTATGCCTCAGCTCAATTGCTCACTGCTCAGGTGCCACTTGTTACCATTTGATAAGGTCCACGACTACTCAGGAATAGGCTGAAGAGCACGGCTTTATCTGTCATGAGCCTATATACACACTTCACGCATAGACCATCGAGACCCAATCACCACCATACTTAGGTTGAATGGAGAATTTGACAAACTGAATGAGACTATCACCCATGAAAGCTCAGGTCAATTAGTTTAGAAAATGGGACTGAGACAATATCCGTGGAAGAACTCCGTTACCTGAAAAATACATGCGGTTTACGATAGGCTAGTTTCTATGAAAGGAGCCACCGAAGAGAAAAGCAATGGTTCTTGCACCCACATGATCTTTGTTGATCAAGTAAAATGGGATCAACTCGACGATGATGTCAAAAGCTTGCCAACGAAAATAATCGTCTTCGCAATGATTCGACAGAAACGAAACCCCCACACGTATGCATGAATAGAGGGTAACACAGCGTGCCACCCCTCTTCCAAAATGACGCTTAAAGCAGTTCGACATGCATACAACCATCTGTTGGGCGCGCGAATTTGCCTTATCCCTTACACCGCTATCCACGTATCATGTGTTGCCGTCCACCGGTGCTCTCTATACTCCTGCCTATAAAGGTGGCCTGATTTCCCCGCTGTGAAATGATGAGAAAGACAAGAACAGGTAGATAAATCTACTGAGCAATCAATCCGACAAGATGGTGAATCAAAAGAACATTCAGGGAGATGTTTGGTATGTTAGCCACCAATGCCTCTAGGGTTCTCCGATGTGTAGTGATTACACATTGCGAGAGCTAGTGGTTGAATTGAAAACTGATGAAACTAGGCCTCGTCTGCCAAAGAAGGCCGAGAGATTTGTCTTCTTCCGAATTACCAATGAGAAGGAGTTCAAGAAGGCCCTACCAACGATGGCTGATTATATCACCACGGCCCACGCAGCCTCCCAGAACCGTAATGACATCTTCAAGCAGAAGGCCGATGGTACCCTCAAGGGTCTCATTCATTTAGTTTCGATGAACATTTCCTTCTCGGCCGTTGGCCTGGCTAAGGTGAGAACTAAGAAGCTGATTACGCAAGAGATACTGAATCCATGCTGACTGCAAAAAGCTGGGAGCGGAGAAGTTCAACGATGAGGTCTTCAATGGTGGTCAGTTCAAGGACATGACTGCCCCTTCGAGTGGCGAGTCAGAAGAAGATCACCAAGGCCTTGATCTTCAACAAGAATGGGCTCCTGAGCTGATGCCCAGCGGTGGTGGCATCGACGGTTGTCTCGTTGTGGCCGGTGATAGCCTCGAGAGTATCGATAAGTCAATCAAGAAGACATTCGATTGGGTTTTCAACATCGGAAACGAAAACCAAAGCATCGACAAGGTCTATACCAAGGTTGGCAAGGTCTTTCCCGACCATCTTGAGCAGTCAGTCTCTCGTAACTCTGCCTCGAATAAAGAATGACTGCTGATGGTGATTGCTCTAGCTTTGGATGGGTCGACGGTATCAGCCAGCCCATTGTCCACGGACTTGATGATGTCGTGAAGCAGAGCGGTGGCAAGGGAATGAAGCCGGTGAATCCAGGGTACGTTATAGCTTTATCATGTCACACTGGCTGGAACTAACCTGACTTCCAGAGTCATCATTGTCGGCGGCGAAGGTGATGAGAGCGACCACCCTGAATGGGCCAAGGATGGTAGCTTCATGGTCTTCCGTATTTACGAACAGCTGGTCCCCGAGTTCTACCAGTACGTCTTTCTTGCTAGAAGGCCACCATCTGCAGACTTGTTCTTACGAAACTGACCTTTAATCACAGCTGGTGTGCTTTCAACTGCCCTACTGGCATTAAAGAGATCATGGAGGCACAAGCAGAGCAGAGGCCTATAAGTTGGTCTGACGCGGCAATGGATGAAATGGGCCTGTTCTCCTCGCGACTAATTGGTCGCTGGCCTAAGGGTGAGTCCCCGGCGAGGATACTTCCGCTTGATTTTATCTTCTATTTACTGATCATGCGCGATCAAATAGGTGCACCGATGGAGCTACACCCCAGCGATGATCCAAACTACGGCCTCCACCAATCCAAGGACCCGGAAGAGAACAAGAGACTTGTTGAAATGAAATTCGGACAAGAAGGGTTGGACCGATTGAAGACAATTAAGATCAAGAACCTCACGGATGAGTTCAACTACAATCCAATGGACCAGACCAAGTGCCCCTACGCCTCTCACATGCGCAAGACTGGCCCCCGAGATGATTACGAAGAGTACACCAAGCATGTCATGATGCGCCGTGGTATCCCTTACGGCGAGTGGTGCGAGGATGAAGAAAGAAATGGTGGTGTCACGAAGGCGGAGCGTGGCCTTCTGTTTGTCTCCTACCAAAGCAGCATTGACAATGGGTTCCGTACACAGCAGAAACGTATGTCCTCCTTGTCATGGGATATTCTACTTTCTAACTTTCAGCAGGGTGGGCCAATACTTCTGACGGCCCAACAAACTTCGCGAAGCAGGCCGGAGGGAACAGCCAGGGAATTGACCCTATTATCGGTCAAATTCACCCGAATCTCCTTGCGGAGAAGAAAGCTGGCGAGTTCAGTGCCAAATACGCCACTGCTCCCAAGATTGACTTCCCCACGCCGGTCTATGGAGAAGTCGCACCTCAGGTCTTCGATAAGTCACTTGATTTGGCCCGGTTGTGTGTTCCCCACGGCGGAGAGTACTTCTTCACTCCTTCGATTTCGGCCTTGAAGGACTACATTCCGAGCATCTAGGTTTACTATTAGCATAGGCCCGGCCTGATACGTGTCAATACATCTTCAAATCGTTTATAAACATACTTCCAGCCCGCTCGAGCATAGATTCCAAAATCTCAATATAGTGCAATGCAATCCGGCTGTAACAAAGGCTACGATAAATTTTGTATATTACCATTCGGTCGCATTTACACTGCAGGCTTCTTCGAGTCCCTCGATTGTCCCTTAGGTATTATTTCCTTTTACTACTTGAGAACAAGGGAATGATAGGTCTGTGTCACTATCACCTTTTTGCTAACATATGTTCCGTAGTTCATCACTAGACAATGGACACGGAGTACTGCTGGCACTTGGCCTATCTTGCCCACTAAATGCGACCGTGACAATGGTGAGTGGACATCAAAAAGACAAAAACATACAACAGTGAGGATTCGCTGGTGGTCACCCACCCAACTACTAACTCACCGGCGTGTGGCTTAAGTACGGCTGAGCGGACGGGAAGCCCTGTTTTCCACACCCTGTGGTCGTATGTACTGGAATCACACTCACGATGGAATATACCTGTCTATGTAGAAATCCAGACAATTCAAAGGTCGAAACTCCCATAATATCCCGAGGTCATAACTCCGCACTCCAAAGTTCACACACTGGGCGCACACAGTTTCCAGGGGCCAAAATTGACCCACGGTGAAAATTCTGTTTGTAAGGTGTATTTGGAATGGGCGCCGATCTTCCGTGGACACGATTTGCGTCGATGTGATATTCATTAAGCAAGCAGGCGGGCTGAAGGAGCAGTGGAGCTGCGGGAGCTGGCGAATCCCGGGACAACAGTGGCGAAACTCGGTGATTGGCGCCGATCGTGAAATGCACTCATATGCAGAGCACGGTCAGGGATGAAGAGCATTGCAAAGAGCCGTGCAAACAGGTGAACAGGGTACCCATGCAGAAGGATAAACCGCGCTAAACCACACGTGGACAAATGAGAGAGTAATTCATTGTACCTGCAGGCCCGGGAGGTGCTTCAGTCTGATATGAGGTGTCCGTACGAGGTCAAGACGAAAGTCTAGACTTGTCGCTACAGATGCATGTGCATCTGCAGACAATCGATCACCAGCCCCACTAGTATCAGTACCCGTATGATGCGGTATCGTGGAACACTTCGGTGCGAGTCCGTAAACAGTCGGTGTGACACGCTTCGGCACTCGCAATCTATTGTACAGGTCAGAATGTCTGCAGAATGACTGATGGGCGTAATTGAATTCGCTTGGCGCCGACAGCCAGCGCTCGTTCGGGAGTGCTCTCAGGCTCTGGGGCCATGAGATGGTCACCACATCTCTCGTCTAACAAGGCCGTAGAAGAGCAGCACCTGGATCGAAGATAACCCTGCCCAGTCTTCACATATCGAGATGTCTTCCAGTCAAGATGGCGTTCCGTTGAAAATAACCGTCATCGGTGCTGGGATGGCGGGTCTCTCATCCGCAATAGCAATATCCGACATAAACCCGAGCCACCAGATCACCGTATTGGAGTCCAATACTTCTCTCAGCGAGTTTGGTGCAGGACTTCAACTATTCCCAAACAGCACCAGGATCCTACACAAATGGGGTCTCGGTCCAGCTCTGGAAAAGGTCGCCTGTCAATCTGCCCGCCTATCCGTCCGCAGGTGGGCGGATAATACCGAGCTGTCCTTCAACATGAACAACCCTACGAGCACATGGCTCTACGGCTGGCCTCAATCTCAGCTATATCGGCCAGACCTGCAGCAAGCGCTGTTCGAGCGCTTAGAGCAGCTGCCCAACGTGTCCGTAAAATTTGGCAAGCCCGTCAGGTCTGTCGACCACGAAACCGGCACCATCCATACGGCACATGGGGAGATCTTCGAAGCAGATCTCACAGTCGCAGCAGATGGGATTTGGTCCCGGACTCGGCGATGCTTGCCGGCATCCAAAGATGTGACCCCCACCCCAAACCGGGAACATCACTACCGCGCTGTGATCCCACGGGAACGAATGCTTTCCAATCCCATCACGGCACCTTTGATGGATTCTGGAGAGTCAAAGTCATGGGTAGGACCTAACGCATTCGTGTTGGCGTATCCCGTTGCCTCGGGCAAGCTTTATAACCTCGTTATCGGTGTTCCACGGCCGAGCGAAGGAGTACCCGTGGGATCATGGAATCACCCGGCCGACCTCGAGACCATGCGCGGACTCGTATCCGAATGGTGCGAGGAAGTGCGAGTCTTGGCTTCTCTCGTTCAAGACGGCGAGTGTGTCTCCTGGACATTGGGCGAGGTAGGTCCGATTTCCAGCTATGTCAGTGCATCTGGAAGAGTCGCGCTGGTCGGGGACGCGGCGCATGCTCTTCTTCCTCATGCTGCACAGGGGGCGGGCATGGCAATTGAAGATGCGGCGAGTCTAGGGGAGTTTCTGGGATGTTTGCGGTCGGTGGAAGACCTGCCGAGGGTGACGAGTGCGTGGAGTCTGTTTAGACAGGCTCGCGTGGAGCATTTGCGCAGTATTAGCTGTGGGAATGCCGTGGATATGACATTACCGGATGGCGAGCTTCAGATCGCGCGAGATGCCAAATGGAAGGCTATTCGCGACACGCAGCGGGCGCAGTTGGCCGAGCTTGGGCTTGAACAGATCAAAGAGAAGATCATTCGAGAGAGGCCGGCGCCCGATCCAACCTGTAAAAGCACATTCGAGCCCGGGGGCAGAATGTGGGTGAATGGGTTTGATGTGAGTGAAGAGAGTCGGAAGTTCTGTCGCGAGCATTTGGAAGTTGTATAGATTTGCTTTTTCCCCTGGTCTGAGAGTCATGTATAATTGGACTTTGAACATCTCATTTCTCGTAGAATGACTTCCAAGTTGTTTTCCTAAATGCATTGATATGTAGCCATTGTAATACATTCATGCCAGCAACTGAGCCTGCTCCTTCACCAACTCCATCGCCTTCATCCATAGCCCAGGCCCAATACTGACCCTTGCAACGCCCAACTGTCGAATCTCCTGTGGTCCCAAGAATCCTGGGATCAACAGCATCATAACATTCACCATTCCATTCAGCTCCTTCACCAAGATCTTCACTTCCTCACTCGACACTCCCCTGAGCTTAGGCCCACCCCAGACAAACACAGTGCAAGCCCCAGCCTCCAAAAATGCCTTTCCGCGCTCAATCACCTGGTCCAGCGTGCCGCCCTCTTGGGATAGCACATCCGTTCGAGCATTGACTACGAAGTCTGGAACTCCGGCCTCTTTCGCCGCCTCAACGACCGTCTTCACTCGCGCGACGGCGTCCTCCAGCGGCCGCAGAGTACCGGCAGCTAGGTCCATGTCCTCGATGTTACAACCCACTGCGCCCACTGCGATGATCTCCTTGACCGCCGCGGCCAGGCTGGGGAGGTCTTTGCCGTACCCATCTTGGAAATCGGTTGTGACCGGAAGGGCGGGGTTGGTTTTGCGAGCGGCGGAGACGATCATTTCCAGCGCAGCCAGATTCTGGGCCTTGGTGAGGTTATCGTCGTCGACACCAATGGACGCGGCAATAGCGAAGGATGCTGTAGCAATGGCCCGGGTGGAGGGCAGCGAGGCTATGGTCGAGGCAGTACTGGCGTCCCAGACATTTGTCAGGATAAGGGGATCTTTGGGGTTGTGGAGAGCCCGGAAGCTCTTGGCAATGTCGTTCTGAGAGGGCATGTTTGCGGATTGCGGTTGATTGGGAATGAAGCCTGGGGTGGAGAGTATGGGCGCGTTGAAACCGCAAAGATGGTTTCACTTTGGCTTGACTTTTATGTCAACAGCTTGAGTCTCGGGCAGTATGTAGCCCCGCATTTACGATCTTTCAATATGGTGTGATGTCCGACACGGGGCAGTGAGCTGCCAACTGATCCATCGCCTCCTGCATCAATGTCCAAAGTCTGTGCATTTCCCATACTCGCCCTTTCACTCCACCCTTTCACTCCACCCTTTCACCCCACCCTTTAACCCATGCTCGATCCACCCAGAGTAGGTAGACTTCTAGTCGAGTGCCCTAGGTATTGTTTTCACCCGTTGGGCTACGCCGAACTCAGTCACCTCATCTCTGCCAGAAATCCTGCACTGCCATTGTCAAATGGTGAAATTGGGAGGTCGGGTTCTTTGCTCAAATCTTGGGGACTATCGCAAGGCTGCATCATATCCACACCCCAAAAATGAGTTGTATCTTGGTGACCGAATGAAAATGCCCGAATTAACGGCATATCACAAATAGCATTCAAAAGATGAAATTGAAGATCACGACGGGTCTGCACTAAAAATGTTTAGTAGTTTGTTGCATGGGAAAAAGCAAACAGGCTGGGAACATTCTTCCCGCGCGACCCAGCCTCAGTGTCCTCTTCAGCTGAACATTGATGTACATACTACAGGACGCCAATGTCACCTGAAGTTCATTTTGATTGGATGAAAATCCAGCCACGCTGATCAATGACATCGGGGTCCGCTATCAAGTGGAGCCTGTGTCACCTAGCACGCAGCCCCAAAGCGGGTGATGCACGAGCCCGATCTCACAAGTGTTGACTGTGGGCACCCGCCTTTCCCATTTTCACATAGCACGCTCAGTGATACTCCGTACATCAGATCGCATTACGTAGTAACTACGAGGAACCAGTTCTTTGAACAGTTTACGTGTTACCTATAGCCAGAAGTATGCCAGAAGAGACCGAGTGCCCGGTTGAGTGCATCGAATACCGTTTTGGTTGGACTATTTATACCACGTATGTCTTTTGATTCCATAGGTTGTATAAGGCGCGTCACCGATAGGCCTGCATCTCGATGAGAGATTCAATCCCTAGGTACCCAGATATCCATCAATCCAATTTATTCGTCGTCGCAGCAGGTCCAGCAGCCCTAAATCAAAGTGTTAATACCAATCTTCTCCAATGACAAAGGGGGGCTACAAGGAGCAACACATACGCTGGAAAGCTGGGTCTTGGAGGTACCAGGAGGGCACGAGTAGTCGCTCGCGCTATCCTTGCAAATGTTCAGGCAATCGGTGTTGTCGGCCTGCGAAAAGTCACTGGTGGCAAAGGCAAGGGAGGCCAAGGAGAGAACGAAGATAGAGTAGAATTGCATCTTGGTGGCTTGGATTTTTATGGAGGATCTTAAAAAGTCTTGCGTGATTTAGCTTAAGATTTCGTTCTCACGGTAGTTCTCATGATATTTATAAGATTTGAGTTCATGGCCAAGACCTTCAAACTCCATTCTCCATTCTTTATTGCATTGACAAAGATACATAAGTGACGCTCATTTTGGTAAGGAGTGTCATGCAAGGGACACAGTACTCAACAGCTCCAATGTAACCCGTAGGCCCTGAAAGATCTCCAGGGGATGCAGCTATGCACATACCCCTCATACAGTACTGGTTACAGTATATTCACGCGCAGAGTTTTAGCATTCAACTTCGATTACGAAAGATCTGAAATGAGTCACAAAGCATTTCGCTATATCTTTCATGTATTGGAAGTACGTACTTTCCAAGGTAACATCTAGGAGGATAATCGCGAGGACAATTGGTTGCATTCGTCGATGTATGAGACATCGAACCAAACTAGATGGGCAAAGGTCTGTTCTCGATCCGACTTATGCGTCAAGATCTTCTTTCCCCCTGTGGCTGGCTGACAATCCACCTGTGCGCAGATGGCGGTGTAAGCGCAAATCGGAGTCCTGGAGTTTTTGATTACTTTGCCACTGCGTAAAGAGTACATGATGCGTAGACTCCTCTTCTTTACAGCAGCTCCCTTCACCGTCTGTGGAGGTGTCGATTAATTGAATTTGGGTACTTTCGAGCCTGGATTCTGTAATCCATACTCCGCAATCCATATATGAATGCGAGATTTCTAGAAGGTCCTTGCTCAGAAAGCAACGCGAAATGCTGTTTTTACTTGTTCAAATTGAGTAGAATGTGCAAGACCATTGTTTTCGCCTTGTAAATTAATTTTGGCTTCAAGATTTTCTTTTCCAGCCAATTTAGTGATTACAACAACCAAGATCAATGACGCGTTCTTCATGGACTTCCAAGGTTTGAGGTCAAAATCATCGCTTAAACTTTAAACTTTAGACTTCCAAGGTTCGAGCCGCCCCCGCCCGCCCTTCAATTCCACGGTTTGCCCTTCGAGCTATCTTTTCGCTAAAATGACGTCTGGAAATTATCTTAATTACATACATACAAACATGCCTTGGTGAAATCAAGAAAAACTAACAGTAGCTATATATAGTCAACGGCTGTCAGAGCACCGATGAGGACTGATGTTATCGTGTGTTAGGGGGGGGGGGGGACCCCTTTTCTTTTGGTGATATACGCTAAAACCCGACGCAGATGTTTGGGGACGACTGTGAGACCAGATTTCACACCTTCAGGCTGAAACATTTGTCGATTTCCGCTTTCGCCATGCCATAGCCCTGGTGAAACTCCCCATGACGTGAATCACCAACGGGGATTTCCTGAAGACAGACCTGCAGGCATTGATACTGTCTCCGAACCAGGGATGCAAGCCGCTCGCTGCTCTTGGCACAGAGTAACCCAGAGTTTGGACACTCGGATACCATCTCTTGTAATTCGAGAAGCGCCATTGACATGCCCAACAAGACGCCAAAGTTTTGAATGGGACAAGAAGATAACTTGAGCATTTTGGTGGCAAAGTCTGAAGGCCAAAGGGAAAGAAGACCTTGCAGTCCTTGAGGGACGGGAAGCGATGCTTTCGTGATCATTTCCAAGCCAAATTCAATGATTCCTCCGTTTTCTGCCGTGTTGGGCTCATCGGCACCTGTCACGACCAGATCTTCTGTCTCAAAGCCCGACTGAGCCCGAAGAAACCTCACCACAGCACAGCCGGTCGTGTCGCTAGTTCTCCCGGGGGCATACACAAATGATTGCAAAAGGCAACACTGTGTGAACCAGAGTGGGAGAAGGATAGGCAAGTTGAGATTGGTATTGTCTCCCGAAGCTTTGGGGAGTGGGTCGCGAGAAAGCAGAGTTCCTGTTTCGAAGTTCTCGCTAGGGTCAGCGATGCTAGAATCGCAGCTGTTGTCTGATTCCTCCAGGCGGTATGGTGGACTGGGTGTGGGCCTGATGAAAGAATAGTAGAAAGGAGTTCGGTCGGACCCCAGGGTGTTGATCCAAAGTTCAAGTGTTTCGAGTTCGCCCTTCGTGAATGAGCCGTACATCCTCCCTCCCCATCGAAGCTCTTGCACTAGTCTGCTCTTCTGGCTGTCTCCTTTATATATCCAGGGTTCACTTCTGCTCAAACAGCGTATGAAATCACGTCGCCATTCCTCAGAAGTAAAAGCCTCGGGGTCAAGCCAATCAGTCAGCGAACGCTTTCCAAGCTTCACCCGGCTGCCACAATGCAGTTTGCGGGCAGCCTGGATCTTGGAGTTGAATGTTGTAAGAACCTTCGACTCCAATCGATCATGAGAGTCATCGTTAAGACGTTCAAGAATATTGGTTACTTGGTTGCCCTTTTGGAACTGCCACTCGCTGAAGACATATCCTGCCTGGACTCTCTTCCACGCGACGTCAGCAGCCACATCACCCTCGGTTCTGGCAACATGTTGAATGTAATCTGCAACGCCCTCCATCGCCATGGCAGCGTGACCCGAATGGCTGTTGTCGATGGAAACATGAAGGAGGAAGTAGGATGGATCCAGTGAAACTTCCGGCAACTCCTTTGATGCTTGTAAAGTGTCTAATTGCAGGGCTTCAAAATGCATATTGAACCCGAGAATCTCGGGCAAAAAGTCGAGCGGGAATAAAGACACTAGCAACTGCGCCACAGCCGCTCTCCAATATTTGAGATTTCCCAGGTTGTATCGAGGATGCAGAATCGCATTTGTTGTTGGCGATGGTAAAGCAGGCTCGAAGTTTTGTAAGAGGTCTTCGAAGACCTTGACGTGATGTTGGTCGCGATTGCCATTCCCGAGCTCTTCTGTGAACACCAGCCATGTCTGCTTCACGATTTGCCTCAATGAAAAGGGCATCTTGATATTGTTCAAGTGCCCGAGCCAGGCGCCGTCGACGAGTTTCACAGGTGCGATTTCTCTCAGCCAATCTCCGGCTGCCTGCCGGTCGGGAAGAAGCTCGCGTGAGCCTCCAGATTGTCGCCGACTGATATATTGATGATATTGATTGGTGACATCATCTTGCTGACTCTGGAGGAAGTGGGCTAATTTGGTCTTGTCGAAGCGTTCAATTGACAGTATATTCGTGTCGGGCGCCTTGGCGTAGTCTTCCAGCGCTTGCGACAGTAGGACTAGGAAGGTTTGTCGTGCCGTAGGTATTGTCTCGGAATGTTTCTCTAGGTTCTGAAGCTTGAAGTAAAGCTCTTTGTAGAATTCCAGCTCTTTCGTGGATTTCCATTCTGCATGTGATTTGAAATATTGATGCGCCTTGAATCGTTTGCGCCCCGGGGCAACTGGACTCTCGGAATTTGAGAGCTTCGGGTGGGAGGTGAAGAATCTCAAATAAAAGAAAGTGATGATGCAAATAGGGAGGAGAATGAGAATGCCGGAGAAGGCGACCCGTCGGGTTCCAATGACCAGATCCAATTCAACAGCCATGGTGGAAAGATGGCCTGGTGTATTGGAGAGATAGCTTTTCCTTCGTGTTGAACTTTTCGGAAAGTATCTGGTAATTTGGATAATTGCGGTGATGATGGCGCTAATAGAGATAAAATGCTCAAGCTTCAAGTTCAAGGGCTGCAGGAGGATTGCATAATTGATTTGCCTCTGGCTGTTTTCAGCTGCGCAAGTACTCCGTACATCAGCTGTAATACGGAGCTGCCCTAAAACAGCCAGAACAAAACAAAACGAAATGATGAACATTCCAAAAAAACAAAGCAAGGATTTCTATGTATACCACCTTACTTCTCCACCCGCTCCACTGCAAGACTTCCGGAAGATAAAATCAATATTTCAGATGACGTTGCTAGCTGTACGGTCCTACAAAAGGCTAATTCCTGGAAAACTACCGGGAGATTTGGGTGCGGCCCGTGTGGCTGGCTGATTGGCGATTCACCCGTGTCTTTTGGGGTTGAGCGGACGATGTTGCGATGTGAACTTCACTTGGGATGTGATCCATGCAATTTATTTGTATGGTGCTACCTGCATGCATACAAATTGTGTGATGTACCGGGGAGCCCGACATCGAAGTATGTCAATATTATGAATTGACCTCACAGGCTAAATACTCCGTACCTTGTGCATGGATGCTCTTGGCTGGCCGAGGACGGCGTACGAAGCAGCAAACTGACAGATGCCGAGGTGCCACACCGACTGAACCAAGGTTTGATTGAGAATCGAAGAGTCGTTATCAATGGAGCAGGTACAGTGCTGGCATGTGTTGATCACGCATTGTTACCTTTGGGGCTGGGTTGATCGTTGGGGGCGTAAAGGTTTGTCCGTTCGGGTTCCACGTCCCAAAACATATCTGGCTGGAGCCTAGGGGCCTACATATATGCTGTTCAGAAAGATTTATCGAGCATTCTGGGGTTTCGACTCTCGATTCAGCGGGAGGGATCGGGTATGGGTATGTGACCCTTGATTCGGCTGATGCAGAACAAAACACCTGCCCTTTCCGTCAGGGACGGCCCTATCCGTGAACCCGCGCGATGATCCTTCGAGAACATACTGTATTTGGCAAATCCCGGAATGCGATTCTCACCGTACAGATTAATATGATCTGTTTTTGATTCAGATTCTTGCTATTCACCGCAATTTGCGATGCTGATGTAGATCATTTCCAAGGTTCTTAGTACCCATGATTTTCCAAGGCCCCCGAGGTCCCAAGTTCTTAAATAACTGTGAATAGAGTTCTTTTTTGCTATGGCAGAGATGATAGGCTTATATCCCGCCGGGTGAAGTCGTTGATAATGCATCTACGTACATACGACCCTTCCAAGTTTAGAAGTAAACCACTGACAACCTAGTCATTAGGAAAATTGTTTATTCATTTTCCTTGCGAGATTCTGGCGAGAGTAAAGCCTTTCAACGGGAAGGAGCTAGAACTGTCACCTGGCCACTCTTGATCCAGTCAATTTTGCCTGTGACAAAGGTCACTCCACCAGGACGCAGTTCACTATATCACCAATACGATCCCTCTTCGTGACAAAGCTGTCTAGTGTGTCGGCCTGAGGTAGTAGGACACAAAGTACCGGTCCACTACACCATCAGCCGGCTGTGTGAGCCGATGGACAGGTGAGTGCAGGCGATCGCCAGTCTCCTTTTGCACATAATCTGCGACATTGACCAAGACGCAATCCGGCTTAGGCTCAACCCACAGCCATTCTTTGCTCTCCTTGGTTCGCAACTGGCTGGCCCATTTCTCGCACCAGAGCAAGGTGATCGAGCCACTGTCGGTGTGAGTGGAATCAGGTACATCGGCTGTGCGTGCCAGAGTTGGACTAGAGACGAGCTTCAGTCCAGAGTCACTCGGTCCGCTGGGGGGATGAGAGTTTTCCAGACTCGAAGATCCGTCACGCCCAATGCTATCTGAAAGGCTGCGGAGACAGACACGGACTATGGTATCACAGTAATCCATAAGATGGTGCGTGGCGCTAGCGTTCTCTGCGAAGGGGGTGGGCAAGTTGATGCTCTGCTGTTCGTCTCGGGCAATCTAGCTGGATTAGCGATCAGGTATAGGAGCAACCCGAAATTACTCACCTCGTACGACTCAACACCTGGTCTATGCTTGTAGCTGTTTATGTGAGTGTCTGTGGGCGTGACAGGCGAAAATGGTAGAGAGCGACATACCCACGATCCACCTCCCTGAAATCCTTCATCTTCTCGTCCAAATCTTTGGTAAAATAGCCATGGCAGTTCTGATAAGCAGTCCGCAGATAGTCTGCAAGGTTCTCGGAGAAGCTCCCGCTGAACGTGAAAAAGAAGAATCCTGTCGACTCGGCTGCCTTCAAAAGCTTTGCCGTCTCGACTGGGTCCTTGCCAACGATCTTCTCGAAGTCAATCACTTCAAGATCAGCGACGTCCAAGGATTGATCCCCCAGGAGTATGGTAGACCTGGAGACGGGTAGAGTCATAGTTTGAGACATTTTGAAGCGAATTATTTGACAAAGTCTTCAGTTTGGGATTGTATCCAGCTCGGTGGCTAAACTATGGCAGAAATAAATCCGAATCACGAAGTACTTCGTCATTCGGTACGGAGTAAGAGTACTTCGTGAAGATCTCACCAGGCGACACGTCATAGAGCCTTGAAATTCTACTTTCCATGCTGGTACGGAGTACATAGCTCTGGTTGGGACGATCCAGGGTCTGTGCATTGCAGTCCTCGCCTGCAGGTGTAATTCTAGACTTGGTTCTTTGATACCCAATCATGCACGGTCGTATTTTGCCTGCGAGGCTTGCCTCGGTACGGAGGACTCCGTGCGCAGCATCTATACGGCGTATCATAACCAATATATTATTTCGCTTTTTGAAACTAAATATTAAATATAGCGTGTGGGGTCTCACAGATTTCCAGCTACGCAAGCATCACAACTTTGGGGTTTGCCAATTGCCCAATCAATCCCATACCTCTAGTTCCCAACGATCCGAGACAGTCATGTACCTAGTACCTAGGTAAGAACCTGAAGAGGCTGTAAAGTACGGAGTACACGTTGCCAACCCCGACATAGGGCTCGCGAGGTTCCAGTCAAACATTCATGAAGTATTGACGTTTTCCCTCGGACTATGACCAGTCCCAATCAGGTCAAAAATTCTCAAAGACTCCCGTGATTGACTTCCGGGTCGCCTCCATATGTATACATAGTCAAGAATAAAGAATTGATCTCGAGAAGGTCTCAGCCTGCATCATGCGTAGACCCGGTCATGTGACCACCAGATCGCGATCTCCCGAGGTCCTTGCTCTGAGACTCATGTCTTCCAGTCCGACTTTACTCCGACTCGACTCCTACGGCCCCGGCGAGGACTATCCCGCTCTCATCTCAAACAATGATACCACGTGCTTGGTATTGTGTTTGCTTGACCGCGAAATGCCCTATGCAATGTGATATTCATACATATGTACGATGCAAGCCACCTGGGCACGACCGAAGCTATTGACTTGCCATGCATCCTCAGCTTGGACTCAGCCGTGCTGTAATCTGTCTCAGCAGAGCCGATGCAAAAGCCGATGCAAGGGAATTTATTGCATCTGGTATGATATCTCCCTGCTGGAAAGTGGATCAACTCCACAGTTCGGAAAATGAGCTGCATGAGCGTGCAGATGCCCAGCTGGCACGTTGTGATCTATCACACGAAATGATGACCCCTGACGATTTGATCTCGAGAGCCAAGGCTGACCTGTCTGAGAGATCTGCGCGATCGGAAAATGTCACCGAATGTGATCCCGGACCTGATGCAGCACTTAGGTTCACGAGTTGGTGTGTGTCGATGGTACACAGCAGAGGGAAAGTGGGGTGATCATCTTGAAGATCTTAAAGCACTCTAAGTGGTTTCCCCAATTGGTCTTCACCGACTGGTCTTCACGGCCCCGCGGGCTAGGCTAGCTGTCCTAGCTACTACCCTACCAACTATGTACACAATACGCAGTACTACGTTGTATTCTTTCACATTCTGTATTTAATAATTTTCTGTCTCTTTAATCTTAGATGTCGTAATTAATAACTACTCTACTTCAATCGCAGCTGCAAAAGATTGCCAGTGATCAATTGCCTGAAACCCATCCAGCATGGTAGCCCTCGGCGAACTACAAGGACCTTCCCTTCCCGACCCCGATACGCCCCTCTACGCGGCCTTTTACCAGAATGTCGTGAAATACCCGAATAACGTGGCTCTGGTCAGTACACAGCAAGCATCGACTCTCTACGGAATCCCGAGCGTGCCCCTCAACGGCACCGAGCCGGAAAAGAGCTATCTGCGATGGACGTACCATGAGCTCGATCATGCCATTCAGCGATTGGTTGTTAGTTTAAAAAGTCGAGGCCTGAAGCAGGGCGATGGATTGGTTCTCTTTGTGCCAAACACCGCCGAGTATGTGATTGCGACATGGGCTGCCTACCAAATCGGTTGCGCCTATATTCCCATCAACCCCAAGTGTCTGTCCAATGCCAAAGAGGTGCGGCATTTGCTAGAGACCGCGAAAAAGGGGTGCAAGTCGGACTTTTTGGGCATTATCGCCGGGACATCTGATATGTGTGCGCGCATTGAAGAGTTGACGACCGAGTCGAACTGCATGAAGATATTGGTCGATGGAAAGTCGGAGGGCTGGACCCCCTTTGAAGAGTTGATGCAGAGCCCAGATCCACATTCCGAGGATAGTCTATGCAGGGAAAAGCACTCAGAGCTTCCGGATCAAACAGTCTTCTTCACCAGTGGAACGACATCTCTTCCCAAGGGTTGTATAATGCCATCTGCGTATGGCTATGCAGCTGCATTGTTCTGGCGCCAAAGCAGCATTCCCCTGCTGCCAGGCAAACGGGCATTGTTCACACTGCCGAATAATCACGGGTTTGGCTGGCTCAACATCATAGCCCCCTTCATCAATGCAGCCACGGTTGTGCTCCCAGGACCAAACTTCGTCCCAGAGGCGGTGATTAAGGCTATCCACGAGGAGCAGGTGACCCACACTGGCTTTGTGCCAACTATGGTGCATGCTCTGGGCAGTATGCCACTTCCATCCGGCAAGCTGAGCTCTCTTGGACGGATCGTTCTGGGAGGCTCTCCCCCAACCGAAGAAGTCATCAGAATCTGCATTGACACCTTGGGTTCGTCGGCGGTGGAAAACCTCTACGGTATGACAGAGGGCGTCCTTGCCTGTTCAGGTGTGGTGAAACAAGCCAGTGAGATGATCAAAGGCAGAGATGTTTCTATCGGCACCCCTCTTCCCGGAATGACTGTTCGTATATATGACAAGGATAGCGGAGAGCCGACTAGTGCTGGGACTCCCGGCGAGATCCATTTCACGGGCCCAAGTATCATCGATGGGTATGTCGGAGTAGCCGATAAAAACTTCTATAACGATGAAGATGGCCGTCCTTGGTTCCGGACCGGTGACAAGGCTTTCGTTGGTGACGACAACCGTCTGTACCTGGTCGGTAGGTACAAAGACACCATCATCCGCGGCGGCGAGAACATTGAACCATCGGCCATCGAATCTGTTCTGGGCCAAGTCCCGGAGATCAGTGTTCTTCAGCCTCAGATCGTTCGCGCGCCAGATCCAATTGCTGGCGAAGTTCCCATTATGGTTGTCAATCGGGAAGTCGATGGCGACACCGCAACAAGCTTGCAAGACACCGTCCTGGCGCAAATGGGAAGTCTCTATGTCCCGGCCGATGTGATATCAATTCAAGCGCTAGGACAAGACACGTACCCCCGAACCATGGCCGGGAAGGTCCAAAAAACCGAAATAGAAAGCTTGGTCCGGACATACTGGGAGAAGCGACAATCACAAGAGCCAGCGGACTCAGATCAGCGCATCATTGAGGGCCCTGTGTCAGGTGCTCAAGTCATGCAGTCATTATGCATGGCGATCGAAAAGAACAAGGGTCATGCAGTTGACTTCTCTCTTCGTATGGTTGAGCTGGGAGTTGATTCCATCTCGTCTATCGCAATCCTGAAGCGCGTCCAGGTGGAAACCCAAGTATCATTGCCGTCGTCTCTGTTCTTCACCCAGGCAACCGTCGGTACAATCTGCCAACAGATCAGTGCAGTCCCAGACCGGGAAGGCTTCCTCAATTTCACCCCCATCATCGAGGAAGCCCCGGGAGACACCTGCTTTTCGGTCCTCCTCCAAGGAACCCCCCGACCAGGCGTCCCCTCCCTCTTCCTCGCCCCTCCAGGCTCTGGAAATGCCTTCGTGTTTCGCATGCTGCCGAAGTTTGCCGATGACCGTCCGGTCTACAGTTTTGGCTCTCCATTCCTCATGACGGCATCCGAATCATCGTGGACGATAGAAGAGACCGCCACGATCTACGCGAATACCATTCGCAGCATCGATCCCCAGGGACCATATATCCTATGCGGCTGGTCCATGGGAACCGCCACCGCGTATGAGACTGCATACCAGCTCCATGAGCAGGGGAAACAAGTGTTGGGCATCATCATGCTGGATCTGGCATTGCCCCGACCACCCCCTGAGATCCCGGAGGCAACCGTGGAGCTATTTGAGATGATGGGTGTCTTCCCTCCGATCCGTCGCCGAAATCAACCCGACGTGGAGATTCCCGCCTTCCGAAAGAAGCACCGAGTCGCCGCTTACTATGCTAAAATGAAGTATCACCCTCGCCCCTTCGACTTCAACGACGAAAGCCGACCGCGCATCTATGTCATTTGGGCTGGCCATGGCGATCACGACCGGATGGGAGGCATGGTGCTTGACGCAATGGAGGTTTTGAAGAGGGAGGGGCCAGAGACGAAGCTGAAAACTAGCGTGGACTGGCTTCACGATCCGCGGGAGTCATTCGATGCCGGTGGGTGGGACGAAATGGTTGGATCGGAGTATGTCGAGTGGGGCATTGTAGAAGACGCCGATCACGACACGCTGATCGAGTCTGAAGAATTGGTGAGTCTTTACTTCCCTGTCCTTGGCCGAGTTACTAATTGTGGGCAGGTTGTTTTGACGAAGGGGTTGATGGAAGATACCATGGGCAAATGGCTGCGAGAAGTGCCGATCAAGCCCAATGGTTCAACATGAAGCGAGGTGTCTAATTACATCTAAGGAGGACCCGTGCGGCGAGAGAAGGAGAGAGTTATGTCCCCGTGTATGCGAGAGTCACGTGACCACCAATGTCGGGAATCCAACGTTCATGGATTCAACGTGCAGAAGGCGAAGGATCAATCGAGAGAGTAAAGATGGAGTATGAATACGAGATGTAGGGGTGGCCACTGCCATCTGATATAGAGACAAGGAATTCACATTTTCATCTCGAAGTTCCTCAATCTTCCGTTTCCGGACTCATCCATGGGTATTTGAAGAGCCCTTTCGTATCCACCCCATATTCAATCCTCCCGAGGCCAATCGAGGGCCGTTCTCAGAAATGCCGGGTAATACGGGCTCCCACGACCAAAAAACAGGGCTGGGGGAGGATTTATATTCAATGCACAACCCTGCATGACTATTGAACTACAGATCCCCTTCACCAATAGTGAGAACCTCAGATGTACGTGTAACCCATGCCCACGATTTGAATGTCGGACATTGTGCAACGCGTTCCCATCACATCATATTGCATGGAAAATCCTGCGACCGGATGGTGACACTAGATCACCGTCCTAGCGGGTTTGCAACGAATGGCATTCCCGGGAGCACTTGAAAATGGGATAAAATAGCCTCGATACGCCCCAATAGCCGTGGGGTGTATTGGGCCTCATTTCGATATGTGTGCATTCCCCCAGGCGATCCATCCCCTATTGGACCGATCAGTTACTCCTTACAGATATTTGCTTTTGGTTTTGCTTTTTCGTTGCTTTCAGCTCGCGAATGTGTTACTTTTAACTTTCTTTGAGCCATTCAGCTGAAATCCTTCCGAGCAAGGCTGTGGTGAATCATCTGCAAGGTTTATCATCCTGGTCAAATCTCCAATCTCAAATCATTGAGTGGCGTTGGACTTTCGCTGACGCCTTCGCTATTTCAGAACTGCAGCCCATTTCAAGCAGACCATGTTCGTACTCTAGATTGAGTATCCGAGGTTTCTTTGAAGTGAAAATGTACGACGAGCGGTCTCCTTTACTGAAGGATGCAGAGTCTCAGAAGTCCCGGTCACTTGGCATCTCCAGGCTGCTGGCGGGCCTGGTGGGTATGTCGTTCCTCTGAGTTAGCCCGCCCGTCTACTCCGTACTGACTTGCTATTAGGTGTGTTCCTCGCCGGCGCAGACAAATCGGTGCTGTTGACCACGCAAAACCAAATCGCATCGTCTCTCCAGTCTCCTTATTCGGCGCCACTGCTTTTGGTGTCATACAATCTTGGTTTCTGCGTTGCCCTACCCGTAGTAAGTATCACCCTGGTCATTGCATGTCCAATGAAGTCGCTCTGACGCATCGCGAATTTCTAGTATGGCTTCCTCAGCGACATCTATGGCAGTCGGAACTTCCTTCTGCTGTCCTATGCTCTTTTCTCCGTCGGATGTGCTATATCGTGAGTCGAATCGAACCACCCGAGCGCCTTCCAGTATCTCCCATGCTCCATCGGACCCATTCTGACATTGAATTCCAGCGGCGCCGTCGATTCGCTATGGCCTTTCGCGTTCGGTCGGCTATTGGCAGGTATAGGAGGCTCTGGAATGACGGATTTGCTCTCCGTCCTCATCAATGGTAGGGAATACCTCTTCAACGAGAGGCACTAGGCTGATCATGCGCTAGAGACCTTCGATGTCAAGGAAATTGCATCGGTTCGCAGCTGGGTTATCGCGGCGGAGATCTTCGGCCAGGGATGTGGAGGACCACTCGGGGGCATTATCACGGACAAAATTGGCTGGAGGTGGTGAGTTACCACCGGTCGTTGGGCTTGGGCATCATCCACTGACTCAAGGGTTCTCAGGGCCTTGCTCGGTCAAGTGCCAATTGGTTTCCTCTGCTTGATTCTGGCACACTGGCAACTTCCACAAACTCCGAAGAAGACTGATGTCAAGTCGAAAGTGACATTATGGAGCTTCGACTACTTGGGACTTGCAGCCTTCGTCACTTCAACTACTGCATTTGTTCTTGCGACGACGGACGGAAGCCCTACATTGGATGCGAACAAGCCTGCTTTGTTTTGCACTTGGGGAATATTCTTGATCCTTCTGATAGTGGTTGAGAAATTCTCGCCCAGGCCGATTTTCCCTGCTTCTCTCGTCACTGCACCGGGACTGCGAAACGTCTTCCTTGGACAGTTTGCGTTCTTTGCGAACGTTAGCATAGTGAGTTCCTGTTGCAATCCCCGGGTGATTGCAAGCTAACACATTCAAGGTTATGAACACCCTACCGTCCTACCTATCCCAGATCGAACAAATGACTAGCTCACAAATTGCCCTTCGAATCTGGCCATCCTGCCTCGGCTTGGTTCTTGGTGCCATGATAGCGGGGAGAGCCCTGAGAACGTGAGTTTCATGGTGCGAAGCAAACAACATTGACTGACAATTGCAGAACCGTCCAATATCGCAGAATATCCCTCATTGGGACGGTCATCACTGTCGCCTCCCTCCTTGTGATGGTGGTACGGTGGATGGATGGCATTCGAGGAGTCGAGGTGTTCTACGGGTTCCCCTGGGCACTTGGATGTGGAATGTTGCTGTCTGCACAATTCCTCGCATTGACCAACTGGTCTCCAGAGGATCAAATGGCCAATGCTACCGCGATATATTGCTTGGCACAGCAAATCGGTCAGATAGTGGGCACGAGCGGCAGCACTGCCGCTCTACAGCAACTTTTCCGTCTGCGACTGGGTGCCAACTTGACTGGCACACCCAACAGCACAAAGGTACGATTCTCTTATATCTGCAGCGCTTTGAAACATGCTGACCGGCTCTGCAGATTATACAGAAGATTCTCCAAAACTATTGGTACATTGAAGAGCTGCCTCACGCCCTCCGACGAGTGGTCCAATTCAGCTACATCGAGGCATTCCGTTTGGTTCCAGGTATGTTTTCTCTTGTCCATGACTGGGAATCTGATATTAATTGCTTTAGCCCTCTCGACGACTATGGCCGTCATCACTGGAATTATTGTTTCCTTCACATAAAGGTCAGTTGATACTGGCAAGACTAGGGGGTTGGCAAATCCAAGGGACGCTCACGTCCAACCCTATCACATTCAAACGAATGGTAATCTCGACTAATACAATAATCCTGGAGCCGTTGTACTTATATTTGGTCCATGGATTAATCCACGGACAACCCCTGCAATTGAACACCTGTAAATGCGATTTAACTCCATTCAGACCTGATGACGGCTCATCCAAACCTGTGGATATACAGAAAGGCACCTCGCAAAATTGACGTCGAGGTCGTGCGGCCTCACAAAAGAAATCTCCGCAAAATGAGAGCCGCTTCCAAGCTTTCGCTTGTGTCGCAGCAGAAGCACCAAGTCCAGCTCCCACGGACCAAGTTACCCCTTCAGTCCCAACTGATACCCATTCCAAGGTTGTGCTAGGGACGAGGTGCCAATCACTTCATTCCAAAACGCCATTGAATTCACATAGGTTGCTCAAGTCCAGAAACTGCTTAATCTCCGAATCTACTCTCCGACGTACTTTTGACTCGTATCCGGCATTCCGTTGGCGCTACGGCTGGTGACGAAGGGTAAGGAGGTTTACGCAGCAACAAGATTTGGCTGTCATTGGCCAGTAGAGCGAGACCGTAGCAATAAGACCTTGCAGTGTTTTATGCGAGCTTCCGTACCTAATCCTGGCTGAACTCTTTCCAGAAGAATCGTTACGAAACACAAAAATCGCCGACATGGCATCCTTTACAAGCGGCTTTGCATAGTCCCAGAGAGCACAGCTCTCCTTGTTTAAGCCTCGTCGTGGTCATCTAAGAGCAATACATGTTAGCATATGAAGCAGACTTAGAAGCGTAGACACTCACGTCGGGTAGTTTCCAGACGGAAATAGATGTTATCATCCTGGACCGGGGTCAACTCCAGGGTCAGATCCTCTGCCCGAGAGACGTAGAGCGAAGATTCAATATCCTGGAAAGTGAAGATAGGATCCTCAGAAACTCTGATGACCCGGTAGGGCTGTGGCTTTCCCTCAAGATCCAAGATGCACTTGCTGCCCTCCAGGCAGATGAGGTTGTGGTTGGTGTCTTTGGGTCGGATCAGAGCGGTATCATCATCGTATCCCTCGGTGTTGAATTCCCAGGCCTGATCCGCGGCTTTCGACTCGGGCCCGAATTGCACGGTTGTGGGATCCTCAACACCGTGGAGGAGCTGGACAGTCTTGCCGTCGAAATCTTGCTTGATTCTGTCGCTGAACACCAGGCCCTGGGCTGGGTTGCAGAGCGCGGTCAGAAGGCCGGCGAGGAGATACGAGCGCATCATGGTGAATGTAGGGAGATGGAAGGATTTCGAGGACTGAAGATTTCACTGCTCGCTGCCAGTAGCTGGGACGGGGGAGATATTTAATACTGGACTAGCAGCGTCATAGACTTGGATGCAAATTGTGTAATATAGCAAAGAAACCGACATACTGAACCAGTCTGTGCATTCCAATAGTTCGAGGCCCTTACATCTGCTTTCAATGACTGGAATGTACTTTGGTGAGGTTGTAGATCTAGTTGCGGGGATCAACGATCTCCCATTGCATCCAGGAGATCTGCAATTCATTCTACACCTCCGGGATCCATGGGTATGGCGTTGCTGAGGGGGTATGTATGGCGCTGCTGAGGCTGCACGGACACATCCGGAGTGCTTTCAAGAGAGATAATCGACTCGATGTCTCAACACGACTGGAAATCATCATCCATGCGTTTCATATTGTGGGTTCCCTATGCGATGTATGACCCTTACGGGGTACGGTGTACGGTGTACGAAGTCAAAGAATCAGCTCACTTTGTCAAGGACACACCGTATTGTCAATATCAGGGTACTCCTATGGTTCCACATAGGCACTCTCGGTGAATAACATGATCGACACGTACCAAACCGATCCATCCCGAAACATGAATAAAAGCAAAAAGAGGTGAATCGATTGGTCTCCGCACAACAGTGACCCGCATTTGATAGTTCAGATCAAAGCATCGAGTGTTGCACGGCAGCTAATGAATCACACTGCATGGACTATTGCACAGCCGCAAACGGAAGTGATCGCTTCAGCTCGCCACCCGAAATGCACGGCGCTCCCGCGTTCCGAGGTCGTGCAAAAAGACGTCTTCTACTCCGTATTTGGGTAGCCACTATGGAGTACGGAGTACTCCGTACGCACTTCGTGGTTCATGTAGCGGCATGCTATCTGCGGGTACAGTCGTTAGTGTGATGGGAGATCTGCGTGCATCCATGTCTCTTGTACGGAGTATAGATTACCATTCGCTCATGGCGTTCTTGGCCATCGGCAATGCATAGCACTGCCCATAGAGCCACATTTCAGGGATACGGAGTCTCCGTACGGAGTACTCCGTACGGAGTACTCCGTACAGTATAGTACTTTACTCCGTATAGCACGTCATGCTGCGATCGCGTTTCTCCAATACTACTCATATCATATACTTTTCCATGTCGCCTCAATTGCAGGCCCTGCAGGCGGGGGTGTGTTTGGTTATGCAACCCTGGAGAACCTCTGAGACACCTCCGCAGAGCTAGCTTTTGTCCACATACCTCGGACCCGACCCGACCCTTATCCCGCATTTTGTGGGTCTTGAAACCTTGCCTGAGCCTAGCGACAGAGCTCGGTATGTAGGGGGAGTTGTGAAGGTCATGGCCTCTTCACAGGTCGTGTATTTCGGAGCCCTGCCCCCAGCTAGAGTGACCTTTCAACATTCTGAGTATAAACATGTGAGGTCGCTGGTGTTCGCTCTAAGGTCTCTTTATCCTCATCATGGGTGAGCCGTGTCTCCACGCATCGAATATCCGGAATGATGTATATATTGAGGATGAGAAGGCGCAGGACCTTGGAAGTTGTCTCCGTATTCCCGAGAACTATGGGAAGTCCAGGCCTGGATTCGGGTTTGCCCAACTGAGGCCTGAGGCAGAAACACATATCCGGAAAAGTCACATTCCGATCCGAGACGGGAGGGCATTGTACCGAAACCGGCTCTGTGTAGAGCGGCAGATGCTTCACTTTCGGCAAATGAGATGAATCTCAGCCCTACCCGGACATATGTACTCGCAGTTTGATTTCGGTCAGCCTATACTCCGTACTTCGTCCGTAGGTGGACTTCCAATCGATCGGGGACGGTGCAAAACTTGGAATCTGATCGACAATATCGCGGCCTTGCTTTAAGATACAGTATGCTTTGTTCGTCAATCCGAATGTATCGCCTGTTTGCTGGCTTCAACATATGCAACTGCTCCTTGAACGCGCGCTTTTCATCCTGATTCAACAATGGCCGGTTCAACAATGGCCGCCCAAGCAACCCAAAAAGCCGTTCTGGTAACGGAGATCGGGAAACCCGTCACTCTAGTGACAGTTGGCCGATCCCCAGCCAAGACCAAACCAAGTCCAAGTCAAAGTGACGGTCGCTGGAATCAATCCCCACGACCAGAGGGCTCGCGACATCGGTGTTCCCACTTTGAACAACCTGCCTTCCGTGTTGACCCACGACGTTGTCGGCACGGTGTCTAAGCTCGGAGAGAATGTGACGGGCATAACAGTGGGCGATCGCATCGTGCCACTTGCGAACCTACTGTCTAGGTCTCAGCAGAATGGCCTGCAGGAATACACCATTGCCGACGCAGATATGCTCGCCAAAATCCCCGACTTGATATCTGATGATGAGGCCGCGAGATTCCGACAAACACCATTGCGCCTCTGGCGGGGCTATGTGGAAAATTGAAGATTCCCATGCCTTGGGATTTGGAAGTCCCAAGTTCCTAACGGCAACACCTAACGGCAACAAATCACCGTTCTGATCGTCGGCGGAGAATCAAGTTGTGGGAAATTCGCCGCGCAGCTCCTGAACCTGGCAGGGGTCAGGTGTATTGTTGTCGGGGGCGACGAAACAGAACTGAAGGGGTATGGAGTTGCCCATGTCATCGATCGGCATAACTCCCAGGAGCCCATCCTTGAGCAAATCCGGCAAATCGTCGGCGATGACCTCGTCCATGCTTTGGATGTCGTCAACCCGCCCGAGGGTCAGTTGTTGGCCCTGAATGCACTGTCGAGTCATACGAAGGGAACCCTCGCTCGCTTGGTCCTTGGCTCTGTTGATGAATCCAAAATTCAAGGGAAGAACGCCGGCTTCGAGGTGCGAGATGTGTATAGTGCCACTGGCGAGGACGAGGTTTGTAGGGGATTTTGGGGACACTTGCCAGAGTACCTAGCGGCCGGTGCATTCAAACCACTGCGGTATGTGGTGAAAACAGGTCTCTCTGCGGAAAGTGTTAACGAGGTGCTGGATGCATACCGTCACGGGTGATGGGAAGAACGTCATCAAGACGCATATCCCTGTGTAAATATACACCTGCATAGGACCCTGAGAGAAGAGAACAAGACAGAGAGAGAGAGAGAGAGAGAGAGAGAGAGAGAGAGAGAGAGCAAATGAGCGCCAAAAGTCGCATTCCCAAACTCATTCAAACTTTTAAGCAAAGAGAATACAAGATTGTGCGAACTATGATTCGTTAAATCACCGCTCCCTTTACCAACAATCAAAAACAATATCGAATTCAATATTGGGTATCATTTCTCAATGAATTATATATATGCCAGAGTAGCAAAGTGGCCAAATGACCTTTTGGGGGTATTTACAACCAAAGGACGAAATAGATCGATCCCAAAGCTGGGTGAAGCAATATGACTTAAGTCCACGACGTGAAAGCCAAGCCGCGGACTTTTTACATAGCCTGCTTGCCCTGTGTCTCGATGGGCAAGAAACACATAGCGACAAATGAAGCCAGAATCAAAGCACCAGCCGCATAGATGGGGCCAAGGGGATCGGTACTGGCGTAGATACCGATGATGGGCGCCATGAGACCGGCGATACGGTTCAAGCAGCTGGCAATTCCGGATCCAGTACCTCTGTTGGGGGCGGGGAAGACTTCGGGGGTGTAGGCGTATAGCACACCGTACATGATCATCTGGAAGAAGGATTCCAGACTGGAGCACACGAGCTGGATGTTGGGGTCCTTGGTGGCTGTGAAGCAGAAGAGAAGCACTCCGGTGATCAGGGTGGATGCGGCCATGGTGCCTTTGCGGCCGATGTACTTGATGTCAACCATGACCCAGCCGAGGAGGGGGCCGGGAATACCACAGACGGCTGTGATGGCGTAGTTGCGGTAGGTGATGTAGGTGGAGGAGTTGGCGCTCAGGTATTGAGGCAGGAAGGCGTTGAACAGAGTGTAGCCCATTCCGATACAGGTCCAGCAGAACCAGATCAGGATAGCTTCGAGGGTTAGTTGAGGAGAAAGAGGAAGAGGAAGGGTTGGATAAGACTCACTTGAGATGGCAAGACGTCTGGTAGCAAACAACGGCTTGATCTGCTGAACGGAGAATCGCTCCAGAGATCTCTTGATGATATCACCGGTCGACAAAGCTTGCTTGTCCTTGACCTCCTCGGGGTAACCGCCGATCTCGTTGAGGATATCCTCGGTGAGCCAGGTCGTGGTCTTGTTCTTGTGGGCAATGCCGTGGACTGCAGCGACCGCCTCGTGCTGACGACCGCGAGAAACCAGGAACTTGGGGGACTCGTAGAGAGTGAAGAGGAAGAATCGGCACAGGAACATGGCAAAGGTGATGGCACCCAGAGTCAGCACCAGATATCTCCAGCCCCAGTTGTCCGCCTTGGTGCAGTTGGCATAGCTTTCACAAGAGAAGGTGGGGATATAGGCCCAGGCGAGCATACTGAATCGCATTATTAGCTCGGAAATCAACACTCCCCGGGGGAACAAACCTGGCGATCAAAGTACCGACCGACCACCAAGTGGCCAGTCCACTCAGGATCTGAGTTGAGTTGGGAGGTAAACATTCGAGGAAAACGGCTGCGTCGACGGGCAGATTTCCACCAACACCGAGACCCAAGCACGCGTACAACGCACATGTGCTGATTCCATCGTCAATAATTGCTCTCACTTCTGACCTGAGGCTACTCACCCAACCCAGTTAGGACCACCTCCGGCGGCGAGACCGAATGTACCGCAAATGCAAAGAGTCATGTTGAAAGCCGGGCGACGTCCAATGGCATCGGACGCAATTCCCCAGAAGGAAGCACCGACAATCAGACCCACGAAGAGGGCACAAGTTGCGAAACGAGACTCATTTTCGGAGACACCAAATTCCATGGCGATGGGGGTCAGGGTTAGAGCAACACCCTAAATTGGATTAGCGCGCGTTAATACTACATCATGCAGGATGTGATACCTGTAGCCAAAGGCTGCAACGATGGTTAGAAATGAGTGACACCTTCATGGACGAATGCTTACTTGTCTGCAACCCAACCCATTCCACAGAGAACGAACAGGCCCCATTGGTAGCGTCCCATACCGATGTCCTGGACGGCTCTGTTGATCACCTTCGCTTTGCCTGTCAATGGTGTTAGATTCCGCATCGATATTTATGGCCTAGCATATCAAGCCGGTGGCTGCAATCATCTTAGACTCCATGAAACGTACGATCGTAAGCAGTGTCATGACCGGAAGCACCGATGTCAGCTTCGATCTCTGCCTTAAGAGCCTCGATAGTCAGTGTCGTAGTCGCAGTCGCACTGGCAGTCTTTTCCTGGTCGAGGCCACTGCTGGAGTCAGCGTCTTTGGTCGCGGAGCCGCGGGCCAAGGGGACCACGACTTCGGGGAATTCCCCGCGCTCCGTGTTGGAAAAGAATTCCTTGATGTTAGGCATGGCGGGTTGTCGCAAGAGGGCTTTTTGCTATATTCAGTCGCGTGGTAGGAACCTCGATTGTCGCAACGGAGATGGTAAGAATAATCCGGTTCTAAAGTTTCGCTTGGGGTCTATCGTTGCACGACTCCAGGGCTGATTCGGAAGGTTGGCGCAATGGAAAAATAAGCCGAAGGTGCAAGGGCTGTGAATCGCAAGGCCAGTTCCAGCAGGCGCGCAATGGATGGAACTCGGAAGGTCGCAGTTGGCGCAACGGGGAAATGCAACTAGATGCTGCTACTTCAGAGTGAAAGTGATAGATCGGAAGAGTCAATGTTGAGATCAGTATATCCAAGGTCGACACGCGGAAGCCACGAGGGTGTAAACTTTCCAAGGATTGAAAAGGGGAACCCTCTGTTTATACTCGAAATCTCCAGGGAAAATCTCTCTTCGATCTAACAACGTATGAAGCCGTGGATCAACCAGCCAATCGGGGTGCAGTGGTCAGGTGCAGTGGGCCTAATCCGGCGAAGAACGATGTGTCAGCCACCTGGCCCCCACCACACTAGGCCCGATTAAGTAGGCCGATTGAGATCCGTCTTCGGCCAAGGCCTAAGCGAATGGTGGTTTTGCTGAGATCCGGTTTCTATATTGCTCGGTGATTTATTGACAAATATCTGTTAGTTTGAATGTTCTCATATTCAAATCCTGTTACTATTCTACATACACAGAGTATTCTTACAGAGCATTAGTACAGAGTAATAGACAAAACTAAATTTTCCATGCAGAGCCTGGCGCCACCCGCGCCCAGGCCCGGGAGGCTGTCCGAGGCGTCGGGTCCCCCTCGCAACTTCTCTTTTCCGGCTTGGATCCGGGATTTAATACTGCTTTCTACCGTTCGAACATTTACTATAGAGTACAGTACTACCATAGTCAATACTAGGAGTATGTATCAATTTCAAATCTGGTCAGGTTGTCACGCGAGCAAACGGGGACGACGTCTGAGGCCCGAGGTCTGTTAGGTAACTTGAATCATGTTCAATGTTGGGGCGAAAGGCGACATCATGCCACTAGATGAACTTGGGAAGGCGATTGGTGCAGACTTCGATGCACAGCAGGCTTCGTTATTTGATGCCGAATGGAGTAACATTTGAAAATTTGTGGACCGAATCTCCATTTTTCGGGTGCAATTGGCACGCCATTTGACCGGACAATTTTCCCATTCCCCGTGGGACACCCCAGTTGTCACTGTGGTCTACAGTGTAACTCACAGAGCAAGCCAAACAAAATTTACTGATATACTAGTATATGGCACATAGTTGTCAGTCAGGCCTCGAACCATATCCAAAGTTGTAGAACAGGGGGAGCTAGATTCGACAATCAGAATGGGCCCACAAAAGCGCTTCCCGTCCACTCAAAACAGGCCCTGCGAGCTTTGCTCTTTGGAAACCTTGATGTTCCTCATCATCAGCACCCACGCAATCGACAATGCCATGATACCAGTAGCGGCAATCAGCATAATCCGTTGGGTATGCGCATATGCATCCTGAATGGCAATTCGTGTCGCAGACCCCAAGGGATAACTGAGCTGGATATCGAGGGACTCATAAATCTCCGACCAAGAGTCCTTCGTTTCAGCAGGCAGAAACTCCTGAAGTTTGTTCGGGAGAATATTCGTCCAAATAGCACCCGACACACTATTCCCCACGGCACCGCCCAGATTGCCGAACGTACTCAGCAACGCCAACATGGCCGCGTAGTCTTCGTGCTTCGACGCCGCCAGAACAGACACCTGCTCGATGAGGATGAGGGTTCCACCGCCGACGGCCAGGAAGATCTGACACATGCACATGTATCCGACGCTGTGGCCCGGAGAGCGGAAATAGATCATCAGGCCGGAGGCGAGGAGGTAGAGTGGGACGGCACACATGAGGAGCCATTTGAAGCGCCCGGTGACTCGGATCAGATAACCACAGCCGATGAGCCAGACCGGGTCCATGAAGTCGAAGATCGCGCTGATGTACCCGGCTTGCGTCAGGCTGGTGCCGTATACGACTTGCAGGAATGAGGTGAAGTAGGTCGCCCAGCAGTAGTAAGAGACTTGATATGTGATGTCGAGAAGGCAAGCGCCGATGACGGTACGGTTGACGAGGAGGTGGGACGGAATGAAAGGTTTCTGTGCGACCCAGAGCTCGTAGGCGACGAAGGCGACTATGACGAAGAAGCCAACGACCATCATGGAGATGACTTTGGCGGATTTCCATTGGCCTTCTGTGTTGCCGGCGATGTTGAACGAGATTAGGAAAAGGATCAAACCGCCGACCATGAGGAAGATGCCAATGACTAGACGTGGGTTAGGAGACTGCAGACTAGATCCAGTGTGGAACTGCACTCACCGTCAAATTCAATGAAATAGAACCTGAAGCTCTCCCACCATGTCCGGGTATTCTTCTCCTTATACTGTATGCGACCCTCCCGATCCGCCTTCCGCTTAGCCAGCTCCCATGTCACGATCAAGGGCAAAGCAATGATCGGAAGAATAATGCAGATCGTCCCATATGCCCATCGCCAATTTGTCTCGTGAAACTGATTCGATAAAGGGGAGCCAGCGAACGCAGTGATCATGGAAGGCGACGAGGTGAAAGCAAAAGCGATACCACGATTCCGCAACGAGGAGGTATCGGAGGTCAAGACGTCAACACAGAAGATCACACCGGTCAGGCCGACTGTGTAGAATGCCTCCTGACGTTAGTACACCAACTTTTTGAAGGGGCGAGATAACTCACCTGTGCAGCACAGTAGGTCGCAATGTTTGTGCAACCGGCCATCATGATCAGTCCCATTATGGCAATCAGAATCATGATGACCATGCCAACCGTCCGATCCCAGATATTCAATACCTTGGCGATCGGCATCAGGCACGCCGCCCCCATCACACTGGTGACGACGCTGATCACTGTCAGTAGCGAGTGCTCTGAGAACTCACTCGTGATATACGCCGACAAGTTGGATGTCAAGCTCGATTGAAGGGCATTGACAAAATATAGCAGCCACATACTTGTTTCACAATGTTAGACCAGCCAAGTCGAGCATTCATTCTCGGAAAGGGTTACGAACCAGGCATAGACAGTGATGAGGGAGCTTCGTGACCAAGAAGCAGTGATTGCTTCCGCGACTCGCACACCATCCTGCTTGTCAGAGTCCTCTGTTGCGGACTGAGAATCCAGTGAAATCGGGGCTTCAGAGACCTCGGTGGGCTTGGGGTCGGTGACCGTCATGTCTGCGATGGACTGGCAGAAATTGTTTGTACGAGCCTGTAGTCCATTTGGGTAGGACTGGTTGCTTAAATACCCATAGCTTCATTTTGATGTGGATTTCGGTTCGACGTTGGTATTTTGTAAGATAGAAATTTCCTTTGGGACATCGTAACATTGACATTTAACCAGATTATAATTTCTCATATATCCGATTTAGCCCCCAATTCACGGATTCAACGGCCCCAAGCTTCCCTATTCTCTCCTAGAATATCAGAAAGGCTCCGAAGCCTCTGGTCTTCAGAACAGTGCTCACTGGAACATATCAACAATTCCAGCTGAGATTGATGCCGGCCAAAATACGTATCGAGAAAATCGTATGACTGAGCATATCCGTTCTAGCTGGCAAATTACCACAAGGTCATCCGAAACTAGTGTCGGGGGAAAACTCTTGACTCGGGACAAGTCTTGATATGGAGCAGGGTTAGCGAGACAAGCTTCCGAAGAAAATCTTATCTGATCTGGTAAATACCGTACTGAGGGGGACTCTGGCATTGAAATCCTATCAATCAGACTGATTGATACGAGGTATATGAGTCTTTTCGCTGCTGCCTAGTCCCCGTGGTGAGCTCCTGGACCCTGAGAGTACAGGGTTCATATATCGACTAATGAGATGGACTGCCGATGAATGTGGGTCAGAACGTGTAGCAGTTTGGGGTGGATGTGGTCTTGTATCGTGGATATGACTGCTGCCTAGGGTAGAGGTCTAGTCCATAGAGAGGGTGTTGATGGAGTCGTAGTTGATTTCGGGGTCCGCGGACCCCGGCTGGATTTAAGCGAACATCGGATTCGACCCTTAGTTCCTTAGTTGATTTTCAGTGTCCAAACTGATATCTGACTGGCGGGATTCTGTTTCATATAATGAACTATTCAATATGTCAATGGGAATGTTGAGTGGAATGGTATTGACAAATCCTGGCCGTTTAGCAATTATGTACACCAATGCATCAGTCATGAAGAAAACATCGACAGAAAGAACATGAAACATCGTAGAATCTTACCATCCCTCCAACGGTGTCATCAAGGTAATGACACCATCTCTAGGACAAACAGTAGCTCCCTCCCTCAACTCCAACTTCGCGTCAGGGAACTTCAACTCGATGTGGAATCTGCCAACCATAGCAGCCACCATGCAAGCAAGCTCGGCTTTGGCAAACCCTTGCCCGATACAGCTGCGAGGCCCATGCAAGAAAGTCAACAATGCATAATTACTGACTGCCCCACCGGTATTCGCCTTCCCAGGACCCATAAACCGCTCGGGGTTGAACTTGTCAGCATCTTCGCCCCAGAGTGCCTCCATCCGATTGATGATCCGCGGAGAAACAATCAACGTTGTATCTTTCGGGATATGCTTTCCAGCCAGTGTGGTGTCGCGCACAGCTGTGCGGGCCGTCGCTGGAACGGACGGGTAGTACCGCAGCACCTCATTGCAGACTGCATTCAGATATGGGAGATTGTCGATCGCGGCTGCAGAGATGGGAGTTTCGTCATTGGTGGAGGGGAGGTTGGCGCGGATCTCTTCCCGGAGTCTGATCTGCACATCTGGGTGCTTGCATAAGGCGTAGATGGCCCACTGGAGGGCTGTGGCTGTTGTTTCGTGGCCGGCGCCGAGGAAAGTCATGGATTGGTCGACTAGGTTTTCTTCGTCGAAGGTGCCGCTCTTTAAAGCGACGGAGATGATGTCGATGCCCGTTTCGGCTTCCGGGTCTTCCATCTTGGCTTTCTTTTGTCGGATCATTTGGCGGGCGACGTTGCGGATCACCGCGCCGCTTTCTTCGATCTCTTTGTTGCGGGCTGTGGGGATTTGCTGGGCCCACTCTGGTTTGCCGATGAGTATGCCCAGAACGAAGAGGATCTTCATGGATACTGTGGGCGGGGCCATGATGCGGCGGTAGGTCTGGTTGAGCTCGCTGTCCTGGTCTCTCAGGGAATCGAAGTCGTAATCCATGCCGGCAATTCCAATGATATCCAACGTTGTTCGACTGGCCCAAGTGTCAATCTGAATCGTGTTGTCCGTGTGAGATGCGGTTTTTCTGCTGGGGTTGTCCAGATCTTCCTGGATCAAGGTGATCATTTCCAAGCTCTTGGTCCAGAATACCTGGTATAAGTCTTTGATATGACGATAGGCAAACGCCGGCATCAGATTCTTTCGTTGAATCTACCATCCTGCGTGTTAGCTCGGTAAAACCTTCGGAACGACATGAAGTTCGATCCAGTCCGTGATAAGCTGCTCGGGAGCATCAACATACCTTGTGATCTTCGCCCTCTGCCAGCAAAACCCCATCCCCCACCACACGGCGGAAGCTCTTTCGAATCACTCCGGGCTTCTCAAAGTCATACACTTTCGTGACCAGCAGTTCCCCCAGCGCCTTGGGACTGGTGCACATCAAGCGTTCCAAATTTGCGACCACATAGTAGCGGATGATATCATCATTCGGCATGGTCTTGATCCATTCCCGCAACTCGGCATAGGGCGTTTCGATGAAGACGCTCTTGGTGTTTCCCCGCAGCCATGTGCGTCGCTAGTTGTTGTCAGTGGACGCAGGCAGTAACCAAATATGCGAAGAACATACCTCAGGTGTCTGGATATGTTTCAGTGGAGTCAAATAGCTGGGGTATAACCAGAACTGATATAGAATCTTGAACGTGAGAATCGCCAAGAGCAGGAGGATGCCGGACACGATCCTGGAGTTGAAAAGGGCGTACTCGGGTCTGAGGTATAGCCCGGCCGCTATCCCGAGATAGACGACGGTGAATGCATCGTTGATCTGACCCATTTTGGACCGTAGAGTGGTACAAGGTTAGAATGCAGTTCCGATCCCAAGCCCGTACTTAAGGGACCGATAATCTGATGTGAGATCTCCGGACCCCAAGGGTGGAGTCGCAATTAAATAACTTGGCGTTAGCTGATCTTCGATTCAGCGAGGGTCATGGCCTTGGACGTGAAACGCATGAATATCGTTGCGAGTTGACCTCGGATAGATGAACGTGAACGCGATTGCTAACGGACGGGCCGCGATTGGAGTTCTCGCAACCCCTGCCCCTTTGAGCGAACCCACTCGGACAGTAGGTCTCCGATGGGGCTTTGTGTTTCTGCAAATGGACTGGATATAATAGAATATGAAGCAGAATATATGTATAACCGAAAGCCCAGTGTACTCGTGTAATCATGGATGCATGTCTGCGTCATATTTCCCTTGAGCCTCCTGTGGCACTTCTTGGCTCTCCCTGCCGGGATTCAAGGGTTGAGAGAATTCATCTATAGAATTTGAAGAGAAAAAAAAAACTAAACAGTATTTAAATTCAGTCCTACAGAACGCTAAGGTTGATAATCCCCGGTCGGAGCCCTGGTGGTACCTTGTAGAGAAATGGCAGTCTTCGGGCATACTGGGTAATATATATCGTCACCTGGGCACTCATGAACCTATGAACTCGTTAAATAGGAGGGTTCGAGTCAAGTTCCCCAGTAATTCGCTTGAACTCAGCAATAGTATGCTCCCAAACCCTCGGAGCCATGTGCGCCCGAAAACCAGCCAAAAGCTCAACCCGAGCAGCATGCTCTCCATCCCAGTGAACACTATACACACCACTCCTAACCCTCCCATCAGTCCCTGCCGCAACCTTCCCATCCCCAATCAGCGGCACACCCGCATCCCCAACCTTCGGTGGATACTTCGCACTGGTCGCAAAGAACAGATGCCTCTCCCCGGATTCCCGATTCGGAATATAAATCCAAGGCCCGACGATCAAGAGCACAACATTCAAAAGCCAAACCAGGAGCGTATTCGGATCACGACCTATTCCTGTTTTCACAGTCCCGGGATAATCATGAACGAAACTGACCTCGGAGGCTTGTTCAGCGATCTTTTCCAGCGCCAAGTCGGTCATCGAGACGATGTGTCCGCGTAACTTCAGCATGGACATGTTCCGTCCCTGGAAATCGGATGCGTCGATTGGGCCTTCGTGGCCACCGGCGAGGACAGTGACGACGCGACGGAGGCGAGATTGTCGAAGGAGAGGGAGGAAATTCAGTATGAATCTGATGCGGGCGTAATACGCCGTTGCAGTCATGATGTGTAGACCTTCCGACGTATCTAATTGCATAGTCAGTATCGATGCAATGCTGCAGAGGTTGAGCCATGCCTTCGCCGGATCTGATAGTCCCACAGCTGAGGAATAAGAGATCGATGGCCCTTTCTTTGCTCTTGATTTCGTGACAGACTTCATCGACATTACGCATGAGGCTGACATCTGCTTGGATGAAGATGAATTCTCCCACTGGGTTTAGTTGTCTGCATTCTGCTATGATCCGTGCCGCGGCTTCTTGGGAGCGCCCGACTAAGTATGCGTGCGGCGAGTGAGTTGATCGAGCGAACTCTTTCACCGTGGCTTCGCCGATGCCATTGGTTGCGCCTACGAAGACGGCGACGAGCCCTGCTGGGAGAGCTGTTGCGATATTGGCGTTGGAAGCCTGCACGTCAGTCAAGGACACCATTGAGTTGTCGGTAGAGGATGAAGATTGACTATTCCATTCGATTTGCGCTGTACGACTGACGATTACATTCCGTTTGAATCCGGACTGAAGGTCGGCGCATCTTTCGGCCGTTCACTTGCCCGGACGAAACGGACGGACTTTGTGGCGGAGATAGTAGAACAGAAGTATGGAGATCGGCCTGGCATGTACTGTACTGGAAATGATCTGTCCATGAAACCAAGCTTATGTCTTAGATGGCAAAGCTGAGTAGCCATTCTTCTGGGCAGTGCAAAATCTAAGTGATGTAATGGTCAAGGTGAAACCTTTTGTCTCTGAGTCATTGAAGGCTTATAACCTTCGAGTTCGTCGCATTTCACAGGAACCATTTAACTAGAATCAATTGATCTCATACAATTACTGTAGGTACTAACACCCCGGATACCTCGAGCAAAACTCATACTCCCAGACCATGAGCGCATACAGCACCGCCTCCAACGTCGGCGCCGGCCTGGCGCTCGCATTCGCCACCCTGGGAACTTCAGTGGGCGTCAATGCGTTCATCGGCGACCCCGTGAAATCCGCCGCGACATTTGGCCTCGCGATCGATTCGAGCCCTTCGGCCCTACCCCTGGTGCGCGCTTACTCGTCTAGAAATATTGGCTCGGGGATCGGTGTCCTAGCGCTCCTGGCGCTTGGCAAACGTAAGGCTCTGGGGGTCTTGCTGGCCAGTGGGACTGTGGTGATGGCGCTGGATGGGTGGTTGGTTGCGGAGGCTAATGGCGCTTATACGGCGGAGGCGCTGGGTCATTGGGTCTTTATTCCCGTGGCGCTTTTGACGAGTTGGTTGTTGTCGAAGTGAAATGTGGTGGATTCGAGATTGTATATTATTGAGAGGATATTCGCCAATTGTATCATAATTCAGATTAAGCTATGTTCTATGTGTAGGGATCTAGATTTTATCAACGCGAGGGCGGTTGTGCAGGTAAGGACCACCACCCGTGCCGCGAGAAGCAAAGCCCCAGCGGATCTGGTTAGCCATGGAGATATCGACACCGAGCTCCTCAGCCCAGGTCCAGACGAGACCGGGGTTCTTCTGGAATCCCCGACCGATCAGAACGAAGTCCAAGCCCTCCTTTTCAATTAAAGAGTTGGCCAGCTCAGCCGAGCCGATCATTCCCACCGAGCCGACCTTCAGCTTGTCGCCCACGGCCTTCTTGACGGCAACGGCAAAGGGTGCCTGGAATGCGGGCTTCGCGTGGATGTGCTGCTGCTGGTGATTACCACCGCTACTGATGTCCAAGACATCGATGTTACCGCTCTCAGCCAGCGCCTGCGCGAACTTGACAGTATCCTCCAGACGCCAGCTGGGCTTGTCAGCCAGCGATTCCTCGAGCCAGTCGGTCGCGGAAACGCGCAGGAAGATGGGCATGTTGGCTGGAACGTTCTCGCGCGTGAGCTTGGCGACCTCCAGGGAGAGTCGGATGCGGTTCTCGAAGCTGCCGCCGTACTCGTCGGTGCGGTCATTGGTGGCAGGCGACAAGAAGCTCATAAGCAGGTATCCGTGGGCATTGTGGATCTCGATGAAGTCCACGCCGGCCTGGACGGCGCGCTTCACGGCCGAAACCCAGTCCTTCTTGAAAGTTTCAATCTCCTCCCTAGTCAATGCCTGGGGGAGAGGGAAATTTGCATGGAAAGGCACATTGCTGGGCCCCTTGACATTATCAGGCCATCCGCCGAATTCAGCGACCGCCGTAGCCGCCGAACTAAGCCAGGGCGCGACGGTGCTGGCTTTGCGACCGGCGTGAGCGAGCTGCACACCGATGATCTGGCTTTGCGAGTGGACGAACTCAACGACGCGGCGGAGCGGCTCGATCTGCGAGTCTTTCCACAGACCGGAGTCCTCGGGTGTGATCCGTCCATTGGCCTGAACGGCGGTCGCTTCGGCGATGAGCAGACCTGGTCCTCGCTGCGCGATCCCGCCCAGATGGGCCAAATGCCAATCCGTCATGTGGCCATCCTGGGCACTGTATTGGCACAGGGGGGAGAGACCGATGCGGTTGTGGAATGTGAGGCCTCGTGCGGTGAAGGGCTGGAAGAGCTTGGGGGGTTGTGTGCCGTCGGACTGGGGGATCGCGGCCGACCCCGCGGGTGGGGTTTGAGCTGGGGTAAAGTAGGAGATGCCCGCGGCGGGCTTGTTTTCGATAGGACCTGGCATGCTGGACAATGGGAATGGACTGGATAATTGATTAATACCGTGGTGACACCCGGGGGCTTTTATATGCGGCCGCGGAGTCAACTGGTGTCGACGATACCCCCACCAGATTATAAATGCGATTCAAAGTCTCCGATGTTGCCATCGACGTCATTGACCAATGATGATTGACCAAGCCCGTCAAGCCTTTCAAGCCTTTCAGCCCTGGCCGTACGATGTGTGCATCGCATTCTTGGGTGTTTTGCGGGGCTTGTGTGCCGGCTCGTGTCTCAATGAAGGAAATGGTCTCCAGAGTCAGTGCCGTTCTTCCGAGTCTTCGCACCGACGACTTTGGGGACTTCATTTGACCATCACCAATACTCCAGTGTGGCCATCTCAAGCCCAGCAGGAGAATTGACTGAGAATAGCCAGTGGAGAGGCTCGTCGAAACCCCTGTGAAGGATTCTCGGCGCCGGGGAATAGTCCGGCCGAGTCAGGGGGTTCAGCTCACTGCAGTCCGAGGACCAAGTGCTGTACTTTCTGTCTGGCTGTGCTCTCGGTAGTACTCGTGTCGCTGAGTCCACGCCACTTGGAGTCTGACAGGCACTGTTCGGCATGTAAGAGTGGGGAGGGCGGTTAAAGCACAGAATGCCCCTGGGCGCGTGCTCCACAAGTGAAAAGATGAGATTCCTGGAGAGGACCCATCGTGTTTCAGGTCTGATCGAAGACTGTACACTGTACTCACAGGAGTTGACTGTAGAGTTGACTATAGAGCAGAGTTATGAATAGATGCATAGCAGAGAGAACAAAGGAGATGGAATAAAACAAAGCAAAGAAGCATTGAGCATGGAGTTTAAGCATTGGACATTCAGCCTTAAGAGATCCCGTGTCCCCCACACGTTTCATCCCCTTTCTTCGCTGTCACTTTCTTCTTTGCTTCTTTTTCACTTCCTTGCTTTGTTCGGCCATTTTCATTGTCGCCAGGGCTGCATTCCTCCTGCCTGGCTTGGCGAGATCGGCACGCCTATTCTCAAATGCCAATGCGCTTCTGAAACACCAGCGCTCATTCCCAGGCCATACATGTGGCTTGCAGTCCTCGATACCTGACAGCCTCGCCTCTGCCAGTTATGCGTGATTCGCGCGCTTAAAACCGCTCCTTCTACTGTAAACCGTCGCTCTTTACTTGCGCATCCTATCAACCATCTGAATCCCCTCATTCAATCGCAACTTGACCCGGCTGGTCCGAGCAAGTACAAACATACTCGCGAATTCAGCTCTCGCGTGACACTCGCTTCACATCTTACAATCGCTCCTGCAGGCCAGGTCAACCGCGAAAATGCTGTGCTCTGGAGACCGGGAGAAGGGAGATGTGGCCATGGAAGAGAAGTGGGACTATGTGGTAGGTTGGCGCGATTATTTCGTTGCGCGCGATCGCATTGCAGAGTAAAGGGATACTAACACCGTTACAGAACCTCGATGACTTCAAATCCGAATCCTGCTGGACCCCATTCTCCTACTTCTTCCTTTGGGTCTTTTTCATTGTTTCTTTGGCCGTCTACGGCGTCGATACCTTCACGGCCGTCAACTTGTTGGCCTTCTCACGGTGGTCGGGTAGGGTGGAACCGGCCATCCCATTCAATATTTCACGATGGATTTTCGCCGCGTGCATCATCGCCTCCTTCGTGCTTCTAGCGTACCGGTGGTTCCATGCCATTCGCGCCATTCGCTCAGGTAGCATCACCCGCAGCTTTTTGGATCCTCTCGCCGTGCGCGTTCAAAGTATCCGATTTGGTCAAAAGGGTCGCGGATACCGGCGATTCCTGGTGTTTGCCGAATTGACGAAAGACCGCAAGGCTGCGGAATATGTGGCTCTGTATGCCTATTTCTCGTTCCAATGTGAGTATGCGATTCGCGAACCTTAAAACCAGTGGCTAACCAGGTCTTAGTTTGGATGAACACGATTTTTGCGGATGGTCCTCGCCAGGTGATCAATGCGATCACTTTGTACTCGGTGATGCAGATGGACCTAATTCCCGGAGGGAAAAATGCTGCTCACGACGATGGCTCTTCCTCCATTGGTCAATTCTTCAACAATATCAAAATCCTCGCCGAGGATAACAACCTTCAGGCCGTGGTGCTGTTTGGTATGCTTTTCACCCTGATCATCTGGGTGCTGTCTGTTCTCAAATTGATCTCGGCAATTGTCCTCTACCTGATCTTCCTGTTCCATCATATTCCCGCGGAAGACGGTACTCTGTCTCGATACTGTCGCCGCAAGGTCGGGCAGCGGTTGAAGCGCATTGTGCACCGCAAAAACAACAAGGCACTTGCAAAGGGACTCAAGTTACAAAATCGAGCACCCACTCAACCGAGCTTGGCAGCCTTTGATACCAAGCCCGCACTTCCTGTGCTCGACGACAAGGGCCCGATAGTGACAACCATCTCACGAAGCACTACTCAAACAACTCTTCCGACTTACTCGCGGTCCAATTCATCGACGGCCCCGGGCCACAACCCCACGCTGCCAAATCTGGATTTCGATGCTAAGCCTCCACTGTCTCGAACTGCAACTTCTTCCTCCGCGATATCTGAGTCTGCTTCTCTGACGGGGAATGCCGCTGGAATGGGTTTCAGCGCTGTTGGCAACCCACGACCGACCCTTCCTCCAGTGCCACCTTTACCGGCAAATGTGCCACACCGAATGGCCACGCCTCACGCCCGAGCGACCCCAGCACCATATACCCACGGAAGGGACTATGATCGTGAAAGGGACTTGGAAGACTATCGCTACGGTAGAACCGACTATCGAGACTTGACCGAGAGCAGCTCGGACTCGTACGAGCAGCCGTATCAGACATACACACCGGCCGGAGACTACGGATCGGAGTACGGCACTGAGCAGCCCGACGCCCGCTATGCCCATTTTGATGCGCCAGGGCACTACGACCCGTATGCTCAGGGGAGTCCACCACCTCACAACCCCGCACAGGATTATCATCATCCAGATCCCTATTCAGTGCGATCATACACGCCGGCCAGCACAGGGGCAACACCTGCCCCCTATCGCACCTACACCCCAGCGAGCTACCGGCCATCACCTCCCCCGGCTGCCTCCATTGAGCAGCCACCCCGAACCTTCACGCCTGTTACCCCGGCGACTCCTGCACCGCAGACGGGGGGCTATGCCGCTTTCAATCCATTCCAACCTGCTGAAGTTAGCCACCAGCGACCTCCAGCCCCGGATAGCCACGCCCGTGCCAATACCACGTCGCCTTCAGCCATGCACCGCGCACCACCAGGTCACTCTTTCAACCGTGCCAACACGCATCAATATTGATATTCTTATGACTACAGAGAGCCGGCTCTTTGCGTTTGATGACTGGATCACATGTATCATCACGACTAGCGAGCAGTTCTCATTTCATACCCTATTTGCTTTACTTTGATATCCTCGACCTCCAATGAAACCAATCGATATTCAATATACTTCTTCCGAGTCGGCTAAACAGTACATACACGTAAAAAGGCTGCTTTGAAAAGCAGATTCTATCGCAGACAAAGGTATGGACAACATCTTCAACGTCTTCCTAGCTGATAAACCCAAACGCCTCTAGCAATCTTTGTTCACACCATTTGAGCCCAAGACCAGTCTGCTTCGACCGCAAATCTTGCCTGCCAAGACCTGAAGCGACTCAGCAGCCATCAACTCAAAGATAGGCACCGCACTCTCCATCTCCTTCGAAATCCAATTCTTCAACTCCACCGCCGCAAGCGAATCAATCCCATAATCCTGCAAGCTCTTATTCGTGCTCACATTCTCAACCGGCAAACCAGTATGAGACACAATCTGATTAACCAAAGCGTCAAGAATCACACTACTCGCACCACCGACATCCGTACACCTTTTCAAAGCCTGAGCCAAAGAGTCCTCATTCTTCGCCCCCTGCTCAGGATTTGAAGAGAGCATCCGATACTGCGAGAACATAGGTGCCCGCAGAGCCGGAAGAGAAGTATCCGCGCTCCAAGCACCCAAGCCCGTGATGATATGAGCACGGTCGACATCGTGAGATGAATTCCTGATAGAAAACTCAAGAAGTCGCATGATGCCAGCTTCATCGGTGAAGTCGAAGCCTTGTCGCTGCATGCCTATCTTGAGATCTTCGTTCTGCGCTAGATATCCGACTCCAGATACGGCGCCGATGTCGATCGTCGTCGCGGGTTGGTTGTTGGATCTTCTGTACCGTGCGAATGCGTCCAGGAATGTGTTGGCTGCTGCGTATGCGGCTTGTGCCGTGTTGCCAATTATTCCACTGATTGATGATTCCATCAGGAAGAAATCGAGGTCCGGGGGTAAATGGGCGTGAAGGTTCCAAGTTCCTTGGACTTTGGGTCTTAGGACGGCGAGGTAGTCTTCGAGAGACATCTTGTCTAGCATGCAATCTCGCAGGACCATGGCGCCTTGGATAACGCCACGAATAGGTGGCAATCTTTGTCGCGCTGTCTCCAATGTTGAAATGAGTTGGGTCGCATCGGCGACATCACACGCGAAGACGCTTGCTGTGCAGCCCCCGGCTTGAAGTGCGGCGATCGTTTCTCGGGCCGCCCAACTCTCGAGCCCTGATCGATTGATGAAGATGAGATATCTGGCTCCCCGGGACGCCATCCACAGAGCCGTTGCCCGGCCGATACCACCTAGACCCCCGACGAGCAGGTAGGACGCGTCGGCGCGTAGCAATGGACCTTCGGTGGTGGATTGGGCATGTTTAACCATGTCATCTGGCTTCACAACCGCCACAAGCTTGCCCATGTGTCGACCTGTCTGCATCTTACGGAAAACCTGCTGAAGATCTGAAAACGAGTATGTTTCAAGTGGATCAGGGCCTCGCAGCGAACCATCTCTGAAGAGGTCCAGGACCTGGATTAACACATCCCGTGCTGCCTGGGGGTCATTGCGCATCGTGAATGCCAGATTGAACGCAGTGAAAGAGGCATTGCGCGCAAACGGCGCCATGTCCAGACGCGTGTTGAGGGTGATGTCCCTCTGACCTAGCTCGACGAACCGTCCATTCGCCGCTATGCACGTCCACGATTGTCGCAATGCCTCGCCGGCTAGCGAATTCACAATCACGTCCACACCTCGCCCATACGTCAAATGCATCACTAAACGAGCAAAGCTCATGTCTCGGCTGTACAGGATGCGCTCCTCAGATATACCGAACCGATCCATGATGAATGCTTTCTTCTCCGCGCTTCCGACAGTCACGAATACTTCTGCCCCGGCCAGTTGGCTCATCTCAACCAATGCTTGGCCCAGTCCGCCTGCAGCGGCATGAATCAAAATATTCTCGCCTTTGCGCAGGCGCGCAATGTTGTGCAAGGAGTGATACGCCGTCACATGTGTGATGGGTATAGCAGCCGCGGTCTCAAACGACATTGAGTCGGGAATGCGTTCTGCTAGCCTTGCGTCGAGTCGTAACTTAGTGCAGAAAGACCCCGAACTCAGACACATCACTCGATCTCCGATTCGGAGACCGTGAGGATCATTTTTGATGTCGTCTCCTATCGCCGAGACTGTCCCACTGCTTTCGCAGCCCAGATCTTCAACTGGAATTTGGCCCATGGCCATCATAACGTCTTTGAAGTTGATACCTGTTGCTTTGACCTCGACCTCAATCTGGCCATGCTGCAACATGGAATTGGTGCGCTCATCCGCTGCGAAATGCAGTGTGTCTAGAAGACCTGGAGTTCCCACGAAAAGACGCGAAGAGCCGATTTCATCCAGGCGACGGAGCGATGGTTTGGGCTCAGCCGCCCGACCACTGTCTGTCTGTATTTTGTCGGTCGCTTCAATGTCTTCGATGAGTCGGGGTATGTGAAGGATACCGCGTCGTTCAATAAACTCCTGTTCACTAGGATTGCTGCTACTGGCGTCCAAGTCCAGACGTTGGACTGCATTGACAATGTACCCAGCTACATCCTGGGCTTCGAGAGGATATTCGCCATCCAGATCCAGAGTCACAACTGGCCGATCTCCTGTCTCGGATCGAATGGTGCGCGCAAAGCCCTGGACAAGCGATGCCTCCGGGCTTGTGCAGATGTCTCCGCCAGCTCCTCGAGTGATCCATAAGATTCCGGCACCACCATGAGCTATTCTTTTGATGGAAGCCAAGTCGAGGTCTGTTGGTGCTGCCAGTGAAGACCTGACTAGATCAGTGAGCATGATACACACCTGCGTCGGTCGGGGCTCGGCATTCTTGAGCGCGACCACTTCAGCTGCGATATTGAGCTTCTCAAAGAGACTCTGCAAATAGGAAAGATCTATATCTGGCGAGGACTCGTTGTCAACGACAATGAGAACCTCGCTGACATTCCTCTTTGGCGCAGCTTCGGTGGCCATTTGGAAAGCCACGGCGCCTTTGCACAATGTCTGACATCCATTGAATCCCAATTCCCGGGCATGACTTTCCACTGATGGCAATGGCTTGGGATCAGAGGGAGAGTAGTATCCATTTGTGATCGACATGCCTGCAGAAGTCTCGACATCGTGGTCTACCAAGAGTAATCTGCCACCTGGCAGTACCATTTGCGACACGGACGACAGAGTCGCTGAGATATCGGGGCTTGTTTCAAGCAAGTTACATGCCATGACAATATCGTATGGGTCTTGCGAACTTCCGATCTCAACCTCTCCATATGTGATTGAATCCGCCCACAGAGGGAACTGCGCTTGAATGAATTCATGCACATCCGGACTGAGATCGGTGCAATGGAGCGACCTGAATGGAGAAATCCCATGTCCGAAAGCCGAAAGTGATGATAAGAAGGCCATTGCTGCTGATCCAGATCGGGTGCCTGTTACGAGAATTCTCCGAGCAGGGAATTTGTGAGCGAGGAGATGAACATATGCTGCCACCAACTGAATGTTCTCGGGCAGCGAGTGGCCTCCTTGCACAACGTCCATGTCGATGCCTTTCGCCGACCGACGGAAAACGTCCAATGTCTGCGAACCATTCAAGAGTTCCACATCGGGAGCCCATTTCATGGAGAACGCACGCGAACGAGCATGGCCGTCGGCTTCATCCGCACTGCCACGGTCCAGCGCAGCCATTGTCATTTCCCCAACATGGATCACTGGCTGTTTGCCAGCTTCATAACCACCCTCGAAGATACTCATCTCAGCCGAGAAAAATCTGTTATCTTTGCGAGTGGTCGAGGTGTACGACGCAAGCGTATCGCCTGGTTCTCTGGAGACATTTTCGGCGATGAACATGTTCTCTATCCCCACCGGGATCACCGGGCTGTCCAACTGACCCATTTGCTCTGCTAGCGCTGGAAGGTACGTCTGGAAAATACTATCCAGGGTAGCTGGGTGAATCACCGAAGCTCGCTCGTACTGCATCGGCATTACTGCTCTCGTGTTTGGGATCTCAATCTGGCTGATACTTCGACCAGGTGCAGAGCGAACTTCCTGCAAATTTGCGAATGCAGGACCATATTGCATGCCCACTCGCCAGAGACTCGAGTAAAGTCCAGTCGTCTCTACTCGTCTCTTGCGGAGTGTGTCAAACTCCGCAACCAAAGCCTGGTTGCTGGCCTTGGTGGAGTCTTCACATGCTGGGCCGTTGACAGTATTTGTCGTCTTGGGTGGTGTTTGTACCGCGATCAATCCACGGCAGTGCTCGGTCCATCGATTTTCGCCAGACACTGAAGAAACCGAAAACTCATCCCAAAGACTCGATGGCGATCGGACGCTCTCTGCAAACGCCTTCAGCGTAATGACGACCTCAACCTCGCCGGGCGTCTCCGGGATCAGGAGAGCTGAGCTGATCGCAACATCCCGGAATTGGTACCCTGACACCTGTGTTCCTGGTGCACCCCACAGAACCCGCTGTTTCGCAGCCTCCATTGCCATTGTGATGTATCCAGCTGCTGGGTAAACGATGGCCGATTGAATGCTGTGATCTCGCAACCATGGCAGCTCTGACAGGCGAATTATCTGTCGCCATCGTGGCTCCAGTGGGCTGGAGTGGGTATCAAAAGACCCCAGGAGATCGGTTCTAGGATGTTCCCGTTCGCGGTAGGCCTTGCTAATTCGCGATTCAGCGTTGTATGATTTCGTGTGATTCCAAGCGTAGGAAGGGAGATCTATCAGTGGCGGGATCTTTGATTGGGAGTTCTGATTCACGGCTGATAGCTGTATGGAATGCCCAGAAATGAAAAGACTCGATGCCATACCCAGCGCTGTGGTTACCGCATCTTTTTTCCGGATGAGAACCGAGAGGCATTCTACTGGCGACTTGGTCGGGCTCTGATCTGCTTGAAGAATCTGCCTCATTGGCCCTGCGAGCGCTGCATGAGGACCAATTTCGACCAGGGTTTGGATTCGGCTTGTGTCGTTGGGTTCCTCGTGGATTGCCAGTTGATGAAGTGATTGAGCGAATCTCACCTCGCTCACCAGATTACTGACCCAATACTCTGGACCTAACTTGGATTTCTGCGTCAGCTTCCCCGTGACGGAAGAAAAGAACTTGACGTTGTTCCCTTCTTTGGCCTGGACATTATCAATCGCGGCTCGGTAACTGTCAGCGACAAGGTTCATATGGTGGGAATGGTATGCCACTCCAACCACCAGCCGGCGGTTATAGACACCTTGCGCGCGAAGAATCTGCTGCAGCTCATCGACAGCACTCTTGTCACCTGAGACAGTGAAGCTCGACGGGCTATTTGAGCATGCTATTGAGGCTTTTCCCTTCTGCAAATTCGAGAGAAGATGGCTCAACTCCTCTCGCGACATACTCACTGCTGCCATCGCACCATCGACTCCTTTTTCCGATAGCTCAACGGTTGCACACCCTCTCGCATATGCTACGAGCATGGCATCTTCGAGGCTGATTGCACCGGCACAGTACGCTGCCGCAATTTCTCCACTTGAGTGCCCGGTGACGGAATCGGGTTGAATGCCCCAAGAATCAAGCAAATTCACCAAGCCTATTTGCAAGGCTGTGCAAAGGGGCTGGCTGTATTGTGCCTTATTGACTTGAGAGCTCTCGAAGTCCTTTTGGAGCTCCTCTTGAAAGCAAAAGGTCAGTATCATATGTCAGAAATTCAGGGGAGCCATACCCAAAACACCAAATGGTGCTCCAAGGCGAATCAGCGCCGATTCGCATTCTTCGAGGCTCTCTCGGAATTTTGGGAAAGCATTGATGAGCTCCAATCCCATCCCGCACCATTGTGCTCCTTGGCCTGTGAATACAAGACCAAGCTTGGTCTTCGGCGTGATGTTCACGAATTGAGAACCCTTCAGTTGCGAGATCAAATCTTGTCGGGATTCTGCAGCTATCGCGGCTTTCCATGAGTGGGTGGTTCTCCTGTTGCTCAGCGTGAACGAGAGACTGTCGAGGAATTCTCCCTCTTCTGTATCTTCCCTTTGTTGGACATAATCAGCTAACTGAGCGGCCCAAGCTTCTCCGGCTTTGGGGTCAAAGGCGGATAATGCAAATAGTCGCCTCTGGGACTTTGTGTGGCTCTTATAGTGCGTCAATCGACCGTTCAATCCGTTGAGGCGCGCGAAATCTTCCTCCTCTCCCGCCATGTTGACTCCATCTTGGTGGTAGCCGTTGGAAAATGAGGCCCCGTTTGTATGGTCATTCCGATGACCATTTGAGTGACCGTTTTGAAGTTTGACACTGGCCGAAGTATGCCCATTCGAGAGTGAAACATCGAGAACATTTTGTATCTCCTTGACGGTAAGTGCAGAAGTCCGGGTGAAATGGCTGGGGTCAATCTTGTGGACTCGCAAGTAGTCATGGGCACTTTCCAGTATGGCATGAACATTTGCTCCGCCGTACCCGAAGCTATTTACGGACGCGCGACGCGGTGATGAGGATATCCAAGGCTCGACATTCGTGGGAACCTGAACACCGGAATTGGAAATGAGCATATTCCAAGGTTGTCATTCACACTGAACATTGATCACTTACCCGCAGCGCCCACTCCCTCATTGGAATGCGTGGATTTGCCGTTTCGAAATTTCGATGCGGGAGAATGATCCCGTTTTCCAACATCAAAATGGACTTGATGACTCCGGCAAGACCACTTGCTCCTTCAAGGTGACCGATGTTTGTTTTCACTGACCCTATGATGAGCGGACTCTTGAGCTGCCGACCTGAACAAAATACTGTTCGTAAAGCGCCCGTCTCGGTTGTGTCACCGGCCTGTGTGCCCGTTCCGTGGCATTCCACGTATGAGGTGTCTAATGGATCAAGACCGGTCTTCTGATATACCGATCGGATTAAAGCTTCTTGAGAAGCTCCGTTAGGCATCGTGATACCCGGCGTCTTGCCATCTTGATTGCAGCCTGTCCCGCGAATCACTGCTCGAATGGTATCTCCATCAGCCAGAGCGTCATCCAGTCGCTTCAGGAGCAACACAGCAACACCCTCTCCTCGTGCATAACCATTCGCCCGCTCGTCGAATGCGTAGCACCTTCCGTCGGGCGACAAGAAACTAATGTCTAGGTAAGCTTGTTCAAGACTTTTGAGTGGTCGGAAATTGTCCATCTACTCACTTCATCATGCTCATCGTGATCATCACATCAGGGCCAAGAATCAGACTTGATCCAGCCGCAATAGCTTGCTTCGAGTCCCCGGATAACAAGCTCTGACATGCTAAATGCAAAGCAGTCAAACCACCCGAGCACGCCGTGTCAATAGTTACACTCGGTCCTTTCAAATCAAAAGAGAAAGAAATTCGATTTGCCATATTTGCTCGCGAGAATCCAGAATTCGTGCACTGGTATCTGGGAACCGTTTCGGGGTCTCTCCAGAGCATATCTGTGTAGTCCGTCGCAAAACATGCTGCAAAGACAGATGTATCTGTGCCAATCACCCGGGACATCGGCGTGCCCGAATTCTCAAAGGCTTCGTATGAGCATTCTAAAAGCATTCGCTGTTGAGGATCGAGGGCGATGGCCTCTGGTTGTGATATATTGAAAAAGGGCGCGTCAAATTCATATACATCTTGCTGGAACCAGTGTCCATGTTCCACATTGTGCTTTCCTCGCGTTAGCCCTTCCGGGATTTGGGGATGAATGGGGATTCTGATCTACTCACAGACCCGTGTCGACTTGCATCAGGGTGATAGAATGCTTCATGATTCCATTTTTGCTTTGGGACCGGTGACCGACTCTCGCGACTCTCGGCTACCATGCGCAATAGGCCTTCGGTGTTTGTGGCATCCCCTGGGCCTCGGAAACTCATCCCAATAACGGCTATAGGGGGTACGGCATCTTTTTGCGTGCTGTTTGGCGTCATGTTGGTCGTGATAATAGCCCTGGAGAACAGAGGGTTTCGCCAAAGTCTCCTCGTTATATGGTCGCAAATCCTTCCACTGGACTTTTACTGGATATGAATACAGTTATGAGGGTGGAAAAGAGTATAAAATCGTCAAGATGCGAGCTGTATTATCTGTTCCGGAATTTTTGCTAATCTGACCGGCCTTAGTCGACCTGAGCGATGTGGGAGCTCGGGATCGTTGGCGTCTTTCAGAGTGCAGGTCGCCTTGTTTAATCCTTCATACTTTTCATGATCAATTTCTTTCGAACATTACCCATGTATAAAGTCATTCTTTTTGCTCTTTAAGTGCACTTGAGAAATATCTTATTCAACTCTGAAACTCGAAGTCCCTCGGGGGAGGGCTATGTACCAGCTCTTAGGAGCGCATTCCCCACTTACGCCGTTTACCAAGACTTTCTCAAAACAAGCCATCTCCGTGAATATCAAAGAACCTGGATGTATTTCTATTCAAGCGATTCATCTAAGCTTTCTCCCCGGCAGTAGCTTCAACACCGTATCGGGGGTTTCTTGGTCATCTATTGGAGCAAAATACGACTACACTCATGGATTATTGACAGTAGTAACTGACCACTTCACTGTGTAGATTCCTCGCATTGGGTCTGGCATTTACGTAGGACCAGCAACCATCGAACTCTTAGACTCCTCATTTCCATGCCCTAGTAATACTTTCCGCCGTAAAAGACGACAGAAGGAACGCATCCACCTCTGGTTGACTGGCAGTTGGTGTATGCCATAGTTCTGCAGGCCGGTAGCGATCGCAGCAGCATGCGAAAGCGTCAAATCACCTAGACGTCCCTGTTGATTTGCGGTCTCGCTGCCGATTTCGTTCTTCCTCTCTCGATCCTGTACAATGCGCTTATACTCTTCCCTGATTCTCTATTCTCTCTCTCACAAGTACCCGTGTGACGTGAGCCCAACCCGGGCCCAGCCCGGTGGTGGGCTGGGTTTTGGGGCGGTCCTCGGGCCCAGGGTTAGGGACCGCTGGGCTCTTCCGGGGGCCTATTGGGCCCCAAACATTGTAAACATACCAATTCTTGGCATCTTCACAAATAATGCAGATTTTGGCGGAATCTGTGAGTACTGATGTGCTATAGTTTTGGGGAAATAATCTTAGACTATCATAAGAGAATCTTGTTTACAGCGGTCATGGTGATAATGAAGAGGGAGAGCAGACCTCAGGCCCAAAGCCCAATACGGAAGTCTATCCCTAAGTGCCGAGGCACCCCCACCTTGGATAGCTCCGTTTCTCTCTCTTCTCTTCTCGACCAAGTTGCCAAGATCATTCATTCGCCTTTGGCAGTAGCCTCAAAGAGCCCCTCAGTTTATCAAAACTTATCACATCTGGATTTTGTGCCCTTCCAGAACGAGTTACGGAGTACTCGCTGGCTCGAACCCACCTGACAGACGGTCGCCCAAGGAAAGCAAACATGACTTAGCATGTCGAATACGAGCGCGAGACAGGGTATATTCGGCCGAAGGGACACGTCAGCGCTTCAAGGGACTCCGGTGCGAGGCACCCGGGTGATAGAGGGGTCTATAGGTCGCCGTGACTCGCCGCTGCAGGTTGATCACCCGGTGAGAGTCTAACCCGTTGTGGCCTAAGCTACTAGCCCAGGTCAACTCCTCGAATGCGGCTTATTCCGTGAGAGGCGCTCGCTGAAACTGCTTTCACTTCGAATTTTGGACTCTCTCGGAATCTAGAACACAAATATGGCCTGTGACAATCCAACAGTGAGTGTTACTGCAAATGAGGTGTGGACAAAGCGGGAAGGGGAAGAGTTTGCCTTCTCCCATACTGCTGTTGTCGCATTCAAAGGAAGTGAAGCATATCACGGCACGGTCAAATACAGAGAGCACGAGTTCAACAAAGACGATATCTTAGATCACCTCAAACCCATTCCACCAGAGCACATCTACCCGGAATATCAAACCGAATTCACTCGCGCCCCGTCGGTGTACCTCAAGGCACCGACTCTGAGTGCCTACAACCCCGGTTCCGGGGATCAGATCGCTCAACAATCTCTCCACGAGGTAAGAGCCTACGAGCGCTTTAAGCGCGAGCCTCATCCTTCGATCGGAGAGTATCTCGGATGCGTGATCGATAACGGGCGCATCACCAGGCTGGCCCTGGTGAAGTACGAATACACTCTGCTTGACCGAATGGAAGATAAGTCCCGGGAGAAGCTTGACCTGGTGAAATGCATGGAAGCTATTGAATCCGGTGTCCGGCATATCCACAAGCTTGGGCTCGCTCATAATGATCTAAATCCGATGAACATCATGTTCAAGGCGGATGACACCCCTGTGATAATCGACTTCGATACTTGTTTACCTATTGGAACCCACCTTTCTAAAGGCGGGCTCATCGGTGGTTGGAATGGCAGCTCAGCCATCCGGTTTTCCTCTTCGAGCAAGGAATGTGATGAGAAGGCTTTAGAATCCATGCGAGAATGGATGGGGATATCACAGGGACCGGAAGCTGCCCATAGGGGAAAAGATACCCCGGAGGGAGATACCCCTGAATAGTCGTGTGTCAAAATGAATACCAGTGAAAGGTTCAAGATCACAACGTATCTTTGACCGAGGCTGACTATTTCCACCATGCTGCGCACAGTCTGAGACAGCTTATCGTTCTCTGACTATTCCATTGGCGTACCTAGTAAGCTTTGCCTCGTTCAATGAAGCGAAGCCAGTGATGGGCGCAAATCTACTGGAGTCCAATAAAATACGCAGAAGCCTCCGAATGCATCAACGGTATGAATGATTTCCTCCTTAAAATTGTAATATCGGACTGGATGATACATGATTCCCGAAAGATGGAAAAGAAGGGCCTAGAAAGAGCACGCTATTTGATGACAAGGACACCGGGGCGTCAATATCTCTCCACGGACCCTTCATCCTGTTGCCCGGCGGGCGACCCAGCCCTATCTTATTGATTGGTGCTGGTTGGGCAATTTGGATTGATACAGTCTCTGAGTTTTACACGAACCAGTTCAATCTCCCCCACTGGGGAAGTATACTGGATGGTCCCATAGTAACAGTGGTTGGTCGGTGATTCAACTCTGTCGACGGCCATGATGCAAAGCAACAAGGTAGTCTTGAAACTACGTCAGTAATACAATAAGTACCGTAGCTATCGAAAAGGAAAATACACACGCTGGAAAAATCCTACTATGATTTGCGCCTATCGGACATGTTAGTTTATAGTAACGCGTGTTGAATTATGGACATCTTTAGTCCTACCTGAAGAAAGAGCAGACCTCGAGAAATTTCTGATGAAGAGTCGCGAAACTTACAAGGGCTGGTTAAAGGAGGATCCGTTGGTTGATTTATATGCCCAAAGCTAGATCAATATCACCCGGGCTCCCGAATGACCCTCCATCATAGCTGGCGGCTTACGGGCTAATGCAGCGCGCCCAAATGAATCCGAGCAATCCTTCTCTCCTGATTGGAGCGGTTTATTTGTGTTGAGGTCCGAGAACTTCCTCTTATTCTGTTTGTCCACCCCCAACTTGACCGGCAAACGCGATCCACTCTCAAAGTAAAGATACCAAAGAGGACTTTGGAGTGATGTACGGAGTAAAGACATTACACAACACCAATCTGGAATCTCCACCTTCGTATCTAACCAGAAATTGGGCAATCATTGATGTTATCCTGCCAAGCCGTCAAGGCATAAGCCGGAATCAGGGTGTTTGTAGTAAAGTCTTCCGGGAGATACAGACGACTATCATCCTGGGTATAATTCTTAGACGGGCCCTGAGCATTCAACGCATCCATGATCCGGGAACCAAGGAAGTCCGAGAAAATCAAGTCCACCGTATCAGGCTGACCATCTTCTGGGAACTCGGCCGTGGCTTGGAAATACGCTGGCAAATCGTACTCGGGAATCTCGGAATGCGGAGTATCGTCGCCATCACTACCAAGATCATCGCACGTAGTATATCCCTGGGTGAGGGTCGCTTCGTCAATAACACGACGGAATAGCGTCTTTGGCTTGGAAAGCTGCATTCCACTGTGTGGGATTGGATTGTCACACTCGTCGTAGCCCAACATCTGACTCGAGATTGTATCCACGGCGAGGGTAGATCTCTTGGTGGACGATTTGGGCTTGTTCAAGCGATCAAGCACCTTCGATGCAAACGAGTATGAAACATCGGGGATGAATGCGAAGGCAGTTGTATATGGGCAGACAATATAGGAGTCATCTAGTGTAAATGGGCCTTTGACGAGGTCGTAACGCACCACTCCTTTGTTGAAGATAATCATGCGTGAGTTTTCGGACCGATCTGGGCTAACCACCTTGTCCGCTGCGGCGGTTTGGAAAAGTGTATAGACATTTCCCGGGTCACCAGCTGGCTTGCACGAGATACAATATGTTTGTGGCGCGCAACCATATACGAAGGTCAGATTGAGACTTTTGCGGCCGTCGTTGATATCCTTCGTCACCGAGAGTCCTTCAGTTAAGTCAAAGGCGTTTTGCGATCCCGCCGCGTGGTAGGAGAATGTGAGTCGATTCCAATCCAGATATCGTCGGGTCAATTGCATATCAAAGTCCTTGGTTTTGCTGCAAGAGTCATCTGTGACTTCTCGTTGATTGATCGAAATATCCCTGTCACGAAGTGTCTTGTTCTGAGCAGGTTGAGATTTGATGCCGTCCAGGGAAATCCATCCGACTGTGTCACAGTATTTGCCGGACTCAATGGCCGAGGACATGTTGTCATAAATATGGAAGTCGCGGCGATGCGTATGCCCTCCGAACCCTTGAACGGGGATCTCAGGTCTTAGGCCCCGAAGAGTTTCCATAATCAGGGGGAAAGAGCTTTCGCTCTTGGGGATTCCGGGCTTCACTGGGTTGTGTCCAATGAGGACGAAGAGATCAATGTCTTGACGACCAATCGCCTCCTTAAACCAGCTCTCCTCGATCATTTCCTTGGCTGGCTGAATTCTCGTCATGTCTTTGTTGTTGTTGGTCCCATCGAGAATAACCCCAAAAGCCATGATTCGGATGCCCTGCTTCGTCTTGAAATATCGGAATCTGCTCCCCATGGACACCCATTCCTTTTCATCCGGGTCATTGTTTTGACAGTTGTTGCAAATGTCGATGTTACTGGTCAGGTACCTGTTGCCGTAAACCGCGGTGAACTCGGTGAAAGTATTGTACGCGACGTCCACTGCTCCCAGCTCATGGTTTCCGGGAGTCAAAAGATCATAGTCGATGTTTTCAAAAATCGGATTCGTCACCTTGCCATTCGGGTCGGTAGCATCGCTGAGCCCATTCCCATCGTGCAAATCACCTGAGATCACATCAGCGTCAATTTTTCAGTGCGACGAGAGACCTCTCGGCAATTTCTGCAAAAGACGAACCTGTGTCGATGAGAATCAAATCCACACTTTTGTTGGCGGCCTGATCTTTCATTTGCTTTGCGAAAGACACAAAGTCGCCCCAGTCTGCGCCATAGTTGCGTTCCTTGATATGCCCTTCCAGCCACCCGTGGCTATCGCTCGTGTGCAGAAAGTTGATTTCTCCCCAGGTCAAAGGTCCTTTCGGTTGTGTTACGGCATTCTCAGCCTCAGGTTGCATTCGACGAGTGAATCTGGGGTAGGTTGTTGGTTCTTCTTCGCCTTCGCAAGAAGAGCATGCCGAGGCAAGGGGGGCAAGCAGTGCCAGTCTGAGGTACGGGGATAGCACTACCATGGTCACGACCTGAGTACCGGAAGTGAAATACTGGTGAGAATGCTTTGTCTTTATGAAAAGCACAGGTTGAGTGTCATTTTGATTGCCTGGGTCAACTCGGTAGTTCTGGTGTCACACCGCACGGCATAGAAGCAAGGGATGTCTACCTTAAATGCAATATTTAAGGCACCGTGCAACGTCAATATGGGATACCATTCTTACATGAAATTTGATTCGTTCAGCCTTGTGGATTCATGCAAGGGCGCTATCTGGGCTCAAGGGTTAAGCATGTAGGTAGGGTTCCTCCATCGAACATCTAAGGTTCGGCCCTGCCCTTAACCTTGAAGGGGCGTGGATGGAGTGTCGAGCCACTACCTACCTAGTAGATACTTCCAAGTTGCTTCCAAGGTTTCTCATTCGAAATATCTACCTGCTTACTCTATAATCCGTCTTCAGTTGAAATTTACAACGTCCAACTCCCGGGTCTGTCTGTCAAAAAATATATTCCAAGGTTATGTCATGCCCAGGAGATGTCGCATCCTTACCTAGTACCTACCTAGGTATGTATGGAGTAAGTATATACTACAGTGATTCTATATGAGATGTGATCGTGGATATCACTGATGAAATATCCGTCTAGCTGAATCTTGCGAAGGTCGTTTGCCCTCCGTGGTGTAGAATAGCTCTCTCCCTCTCTCACTTCTCTTTCAGTTCCTCTCCCTAGCCAATTCGACTCTCCCTGCTCTGCCTTTCTGATCGCTAGTTCGATATTAAATAGATCTAGCACATGCCCAGGTGACATCAGACGTGTTCGCGTGAAAGGCATGATGTTTCCGTTTTTTTTTTCTTTTTTTTTCTCTCGCAACTCCAGTGCCCAAGTGTACTTCGAGTACGGAGTAGATCCCGACCATAAAACATTGCAACCTGGGGTGGGACATATATGAAGCAATCCTCGCCACTTGATTCCAAGGTAGATTTTAAAAACAGGAACTGGGGATTCTTCTGAAAATAAAGACAATCACGAAAATTCAAAACCCTCGAAGATGGCAGACACCGTCAATTTGCCTCGTATTCTTTGCCTCCATGGTGAGACATCTATGTACGACTTAAATGTAAAGCTAATCTAATTATCGCGGCAGGAGTTGGCTCAAACGCCGACATCCTCCTCCTTCAGACACGGGCATTGCGCGAGAAGCTGTCATCCTCATTCCGTTTCGTATTCGCAGACGGACCATTCTTCTCCGAAGCTGGTCCAGGAGTACTCCCCGCCTACGCAGATGCTGATCCGTACCGAAGATGGCTTCGCTGGATTGACTCGCATCGGGTAATGAAGCCGAAAAACCACGTTGAATCTGTCAGACGGTGTTTAGAAGATGCAATGGTCCACGATGATGAATCTGGCGGTTGCGGGCCGTGGGTTGGCCTCCTGGGCTTCAGCCAAGGTGCAAGACTGAGTGCCTCGATCTTATACGAGTGCCAAAGGCGCCGGGAGGCCAAAGAAAAGGGAGAACCACTACAAGGATATGAAGGAAACTCGAACTCGATTCTTTGGAGTCAGAATTGGCAATTCGCGGCTCTGTTTGCCGCTCCCGCTCCGCTTGTCGCACTGTCGCCTGTGATTGGCGATCTGCCTCTGCAAGACCCAAGTCAGTTAGGTGCTTCCCTGGAAGATTTGGAAAGAGTGAATCCCCCTGGAAAGCTGTTGATCGAGAGGCCGACACTGCATGTGATAGGCGTTGACGATGAATGGGCTCCTTCGCAAAGAAAGCTTTATAATGCTTATTGCTCTCCCGACGCGAAGTTCGTGCTCGAGTGGGATGGGGATCATCGAATCCCAATCCATGCCGCCGAGACGGATGAAATATGTGCAAGGATTTTAGAAATGGCTGCGATGAAAGCATAACGTCGGCCTTGTAAATGAGAGTATGTTTCTGGATTGTTATTTGTCATGTTTGAAAGCCTGGTCCATAAAAAGGGAGTTTTCAATCGAGTTATAGCATGAGTAGACCGCCAGTAGCACTGATAGACTGCCCGGTGATCCATTGGCTTTGTGGACTAACGAGTAAAGTGACAACGCGGGCAATTTCATCCGGAGACGCAACGCGCCCTTCCATTGGGGTCATAGATGCAACTGCACGATGATAATCGGCCGATTCTTGATCTGCCGTAAGGCCCTTCAGCATATCCGTATCTGTCAACCCAGGAAGAACACAGTTCACGCTATGGCCGTTCGGACCAATGACCGCAGCCAGGGATCGTGTAAACGCCTCCAATCCGGCTTTGGATGCGGTATAGACTCCATACAGTGGACCACCACTGCGTGACACTATGGAGCTGATATTCACAATCCGGCCCGGGCGACGAAGATGGGGTATGACGGCCTGCGAGAGGAAGAAAGGTCCTCGCAGATTGGTATTGATGCTTTGGTCAAAGTCTTGCAAAGTGGTTTCAAGAAACGGCTTTCTTAGACTTGTGCCGGCATTGTTGATCAATATGTCGATACTTGGACCAAATGCCGCGAGTGTTTGGTCAACGATGATACGAGGGGCGTCGGGATGCGCGATGTCGACTTGGATTTTGATTCCGCGGGCGCCATTATTGAGATTTTCGATCTGAGATACAACATATGTTGCAGCTGAGTCACTTGTGTCTGACACAAATGTAATTGCCACCTGTTTGCTGTTAGTATGGGGGTGAGATCGGGGTGGGGTGGCCTCCCTTGGCGCCCTGTTTGGCGAGATCCAGCGCGATCGCGGCCCCGATACCGCGAGATGCACCGGTGACAATGGCAACTTTCCCCTCCAGAGTGTTCATTGTTAAGCGGTCTGTAAATATTCAGTATGAAATCAGTGCGATACCTGCCTTTACATATTCATGGACCCATGGAACAGAAGCCTTGGAAGAAACCTCCCCTCGAGTGGAGGAACAGCTCGCAAGAGCTGATCCCCAGTATTTTTGCACGGCGAATGGGATCGATAGTCCAAAATTCAAGATCTTGATGTACCAGAGATGGGTTCAATTTTTCAAACGCTCCGATCAATTGAAAATATATGCAGAATCTATATCTGAGACATTCTCGGCCAAACAAACACGTCGGTTAAATCGAAGCGCCTGCAGCGTCTCTCTTAGCGAGAACACTTTCTACAATCTTCTCAAGAGTGTCAAGTTTGGCGTATTCCTGCACTCGGAATTTGACGTGGAAGATTCGCCCGATCCATGAGTATACTTCCATGGCCGTCAAACTGTCGAGGGCGAGCTCGACAATGGTTTGATTGTCCGTAATGTCCGACACAGAGATGAGTTGCAATTCAGCCACTTTATTCCTGACAGCATGTAGGACCGTACTGAAGGCATCGGCCTTGTTATCCGTCTGTTCAAGCACGTGCGACAAAGAATTCTCGCTGTTAAGGGATGTCGATCTTGGATTAGCCTCCAGATCTTTGGCATGACGGGTAACAAGAGCGGAGAACCGGGGGTCTCTTGCATAGGCTGGAAGTTTGCGAGACGCTCCAAAGCCTGCACCGGTGATGCAATAGCTATCGCAGGATGTAGCAGTTACCCCTGACACGGAAGCAGAGAGAAGAGCGAGGACATCCTGAGTGGTGAGGATTTCTCCTTCGTAATCATCAATGTACTTCAGCTTCTGTAACTTTTCCGCATTTTCCGCCATATACCCAGCGTCCACCACGGCTGTGAAGGCAAGGGCAGTAGCGGGAAGGCCTTGTCGAACGCGGTATCTTGCAAAAGAGTCCAAGAAGGTGTTCGCAGCTGCATATGATGAGTGGCCAGGTGTGCCGACTACACCAGCAACGGAGGAGATCAACACAAAAAAGTCTAGAGGGGCATCGCTGAGGGCGTGATGAAGGTTCCATGTGCCGTGGACCTTTGGCTGAATCACGGCGTTGAAATCGGCGTGAGACACTAAGCTGAAGACACCACCCTTTTGGACTCGTCAGATTTTGCATGATTACGCACTGGAGGGGGTCTCAATCCATCATACCTTGAAGACCATTGCGGCATTGATGACTCCCTTGATGATGCCCTTTTCAACAACGCATTGCTCGACTGTTTGCTTCAACTGCTCCTTGTTGGTGACATCGCAAGACAGCAAGAATATCTCGGCCCCCAACTTGGCCATCTCTTCTGCAAGTGATAACACCTCGGAGCTCATCGAAGTGCTGCGCGACAGCAGCCCGATTTTCCTGGCACCACTTTCCACCATCCACCTCGTAATGACACGACCGAGGCCACCGCCGCCACCAACAAGTAGGTAGACAGCTTCTGAGTCAAGTTTGGGTGCATCTGGTCGTGCTGGCGTAATCTGGGCCGAAGTTAGTAAAATCAAGTGTTGAATACAAGCAGGGATTCTCGGTACCTTCACCACCTCTCCTTTAACGGGAGTGAGCACCGTCCTCACTGAATCGGTAGATGAGACAGTCGGCAGAGCTTCATGCAGTTGATCTAACCGAACGGTATGAGCCACGGGCAAGGCACTGAACACACTTTGGTCGAAGAGGTTTGCGATTGAGTCCAGAATGTGCGCAATTCGAGTTGGTTGAGAGTCAGCAACAGCGAAAAGTGGAGCGCCAACAGAGTTACAGCTGATATTGCGGCGAGATGTACAGTTCGCGATGAGGTCGCCAATTTTGATAAAGCGCCCCAGAGGCCCTAAGACTCGGGTTATGGAGGCATCTTTTGTAGAGCAGAGACTGGCTTCAAGCACCAGATCCGCTGTTGGTACCTGGTCAAGGTTATCGACAATATAATTTGCTTGAGGGCGAAGTGTCATAAATGTTTGATGAGCCGCAGACGAGTCAGCGACTGCGTAAACGCAAGCACCAGCTGCTTTCGCAACTTGCACAGTAGCTTGGCCCACAGCAGACGCAGCTCCAAGGACAACGACAATATCACCTTCGCGTACCCGAGCCACTTCGATGACAGTAAGCTGGGCGATCCCGAACGTGTTTGGCAAAGTTGCAGCCTGCTCTGTTGTGACTGAGCCTGGAATCAGAGCGAAACACGACTGATGCGACCGAGCGAATGTCCCAAATGCACCCCGAGTATCCGCCAGCCCAAACACTGTGTCGCCAACTCGCATGCGTGTCACCTTCGCACCGCACCGAGTAACAACTCCACTGCACTCGCGCCCTTGAAGAGCTTGACCATCCTCAACTGCCAGTCCAATCGCTGCAACCTGGATTTCGACTTCTTCATCGCCGAGCGAAGGGACGGAGTCTACCCGCTGAAGATATAGCGAATCAACCGCACCCGGGCGCTGAAGCCCAAAAGTTAGGCGGGATTCGGGATCGAACGACTCATCTTGGGGAGATGAGATGCCTGTAGCAGCATGCGCGTTTGCATCAAGACCATCGTCGCGTATTATGCGTGAAACAAGGAGCTGAGAGTCACTCTCCGTGAATTCCATCTCGGCTTGGGAGTTGCTCTTTTTCGCCGCGTTGGCAACATGTCCAGCCACGCACTGCACCAGTTTTGCCTGTGTGGTCGCATCGGTAGTCGACGGGTCAAGGTCGAGGGTCGCAACGGCGGCCTGCATCTCCGTGCGGATCGTCCTCAGCAACCCGACGGTCATTCCTGCCGTCGGATTTGTCGCTTGAAGGAACGCTCCACGAGTAACCCAAACAACAGCATCGCAGTTAGTGAGAAGGTTTTTGAGGTCTTCAAAGGTAGCCTGGTCCACATCACCCAACAAACCTTCACCGGTGTCCAACACGATGCAGAATTTGGCTTCGACGGGCAATGACTGCGAAATGGGCACGACGGATGTCCCGAAGTGGTGACTGAGAGTGCTGACCAAACTGCTTTCTTCTCCTGGGGCCTGTACAATATGCCACTTCGCCGCATCTGTCGCTAGCTGACCAGCGCTTTGCCATTCCAGCTTGTAGCATCCGTAGTGCGGATCGAGCCAGCGAGATAAGATGTCTCTCTCAACCTCGAAGCCGAGACCTCGAACCTGGACTGCAACACTGGATGCGCCGTCCAAACCCGCGTCGACGGCATATGTGCCGCCAAGCCTTTGTGGGGGCTGTTCAGCCTGGGCGACGGCATGCAAAATGAGGCCCGGCTCGCGGGGAACTTCGGTGCCGATCACGACCTCTGCAACTGTCTGAGGAACCCAAACATTGCTCGAAGCCCCGAAAGGAGCAAATTCGGAATCCAAGAAAGGAACGTAACTCCCGCACTGCAAAATGCCGTCCAATGTCGTTGGATGGATGGCATACGCACTCTCGTACTGATGTGGCATACCAGCCTCAGTGTCCGAGACTACCACCTCTGCCGTGGTTTGTCCACTTCCATACCGCAGATTGAACACATTGCGGAATGTGCCAGTACGTCGTGGGCCTGTCTTTACTGAGCCTTGATAGAGCAGCGGGCTCCCGACGTGGCTGGGACACTGCGCGCGCGCTTCGTCCCACCGCGTCAGTCCCGTCTCGGGCGCGTTTGTATGGCATTTCACGAGAGCGCGACAGTGAAGAGTCCATGTTTGCTGCTCCCTGTCCCAGGTCAATAGCTTGAATTCATCGAAATCACTTTCCTCGAGTGGACGGAGCTTGATGGAAAGGTCTACGCGAACTCCTTCCTGGAAAACCAGGTTGCGCTCAACGCGCACATCGCGCACAGTGAATCCAGCGACGTTGACCTCCCCTCCAGCACCAATTATGGCACGTTGTTTGCTTGCTTCGACTGCAGCGCATATATACCCGGCGAGTGGGAAGGTGATTGATGACCCGACTTGGTGATCCCGGAGCCACGGCATATCGTCGATCTCGAAATTGTTCGACCAGCCCATCTCAACACCCTTCGCATGGGTCGTGGTATGTCCTAGAATATCATGTCGGGGGAATGGTCGGTGTAGCCTGTCATGTCGATCTGTGGATTCAATCCAGTAACGGCTGCGTGTCCACGGGTATGGCTTCAGTCCGTCGACTAGGCGTGGGCGCGGACCATTCCTCTGGTGTCCAAAGTTGACTTGATGCATGTCCAGCGGTTGGCCGAGGGTGAAGAGCGAACCGGCAAGTCGAAGCATGGCTGTGCGTGCGTTCTCACCGTGATGAAGCGATGGGAGGGCTTCCATCGAAGCCGGTGCCTGCTTTCCTAACGCTTTCAGAATACTTTTCATCGCCCAAGTCAACGTCGGATTTGGCCCAATCTCAACTACCACTTCCGGTGGAGTCTTGCTTTTGAAGAGCGCATTCACGGCAGATGTGAATCGCACCCGGAACTTCGCACTGCTTGCCCAGTATGAAGGCTTTTTCACCGCGATAGGATCGACTTTTCGTCCAGCCATGGCGGAGAAGAACTCAACACTGGTAGTCTCGGTCGTCACGAAAGTGTCGTCTGTGCAGATATCTTCTTCATATTGGTCGATGAAGGGTTCAAGGAAAGGAGAGTGGTATGGGAAGTCAACTGCAAGTCGCCTGTGAGGTATTCCATCCTCCTCAAGCAATGTTTCCAACTCATCCAATGCCGCGCTTTCTCCTGATACTGTCAGGGAGTTTGGTGAGTTCTCGCATGCAACCACTACTGTTCCAGAAATCACGATGTCCAGGAGGGGAGCAACATCCTCCATGCCGGCGCTCACGGCCATCATGCCACCTTTGAAGTCTGGTTGAACAGTTTTGATCCTGATGGCCATCTGACCTCGTGCATATGCAATTCGCATAGCACCCGGTAGCGAGAGAATACCCCCGGCATAGGCAGCGGCAACCTCACCGCTGGAGTGACCAACGACCGCGGCGGGCTCGACTCCCCACGATCTTAGAAGATCAACCAGGGCAATCTGTACCGCCGTTGACGCAGCCTGACTCACATCGGCGTCGTTGATACGTGAAGTGGCCTCGGATGCGTACAACTCCTCCGTGAGCGAGAATGTGGCGCCGAAAGACTGGACACAGGATGAGGATTTTTCCAATGACTGGGCGAATACAGGGTACTGCAATAATTCACGTCCCATACCGAACCCCTGAGCACCTTGTCCAGTGAAAGCAAAGGCAATTCTAGGCGGGCGAATGGCCCGTCGCTGTATCACTCGCGGCGCCGCCGTACTCATGCCTAAATCATCCAGATCCGATGCAACGAGAGCCGAACACCAGCTGAGATTGGATCGACGCTGACCCAGTGTGTAGGCCAAATCGCTCATTTGGACGTTGGCTGCCTCATCCTCCTCGAGGAACCCAACCAGTCTTTCCCTGGTCCGCGCGAGAGCCTGCTCGTCATTGGCGGAGAGAACAAACAGATATGCTTCATCTTCTTCTGGTGAAGTACTGCTCGGTTGGATGGAATTGTCGGATTCTGGTGCCATTTTGATGATGCAGTGGGCGTTGGACCCGCCAAACCCATAGTTGTTGATTGCGACGTACGACTTTCCTTTTGGCCAGGACTGTGTACTGGTTGGTACCTAGCTGCTGTTAGTACTTGGGGTCTGAAAAGCCCAGCCAGCGACTACCTACCGCCATATTCAGCTTCCGCAGCTCTGAGTTCATGGTTTCGTCCTTGAAATTGGGATTGGGGACAACCTGGTTGTTTTTCAACATCAAAGCAGCCTTTATCAAAGACGGAAAACCACTCGCTGACTCCAGATGCCCCACATTAGCTTTGACTGAGCCTAATAAAAGCGGCTCTTCGGGCGTTCGAGATTCACTCGAGAAGACTTGGTGAATTGCTGAAATCTCAATAGGGTCTCCCACTCGAGTCCCAGGCGCGTGAGCCTCGACAAACCCAAATTCGTCCGGTCGGATATTCAAGGACTGTTGCATTTCCTTCATGAGTGTGGCTTGCATGACCGCATCTGGCATTGTATATCCGTTGGTGTTACCATTATGATTCACGCCAATATGTGACAGGACACAGTGAATGCGGTCATTGTCACGAAGCGCCAAGTCGAGTGGTTTCAATATTATACAAGCTGCGCCTTCGCCACGCGCATAGCCCGACTCTGTTTCTGGATCAAGCGCCCGCGTTTTACCATCTGAGTTGAGCATTGTCAGATTTGAAAGCATGTTCCATCGCCAGGGTGAGAGGTTGAGTGCACATCCTGATACAATGCATGTGTCAGTCTCGCCCGAGCGTATGCTCTGCGCCGCTAACTGGAGTGCGTAGAAGGCTGATGAACACGCGGTATCGACGCTCACACTCGGCCCGCTGAGGTCAAACACGTTGGACACTACATTTGATAGCATGCAACTGTGACCGAGGACTCCTGCCTGTGGTGGCGCATTGGCAATACCGTCTTTCAATTCGAGTAAATAGTCAGAAGCATTCGTTGAAGCGAACACTCCGACTTTTGTGCCTGCGATGCTTTCTTTTGCGATTCCGGCGTTCTCTAGTGCTTCATACACACATTCAAGTAAGATTCGCCCTTGTGGATCCTGCGATCCATCAGCTTCAATCGGGTGCATGGAAAATAGGAACGGTGACACATACGAAGGATGCTGCGTCCGTTGCATTCATCTTGAAAAAAGGTGCGTCAAAGTTTGCGACATCGTCGTTGAGAAAATACCCATGCTTGACGTGAATGGCATCTTTTCGTGCTTCATTTGGATGATAGAATGCTTCCCAGTTGAATCTTTCGCGGGGAAACTCTCTATAACCATCTTTAGAATTGGTCAAGAGCTCCCAAAAGTCCTCCAGCGAGGCCACGTCCCCGGGAAGCCGGCATGACATTCCCACGATGGCCAGTGGCCTTGGCCCTGGCGTTATATCAGACAGAGTCATTTTGCTTGACCTGGAGAGGGCAGGGATGTCTGATCGGATCAATAGTCGGCGTGGAACGGTGTACTGGACTGCGAACAGCTACTGGGTTCGTCTTATATCCTTGGGGGTATTTTGTCTCATTCCAAGATTTGTGGAAATGCCAGCCTATATTATATTGTACGCCTGTGCATTCAAAGGCCGATTTGAGAATGTGACGATATTCCAGCCGTTTCGGCTCTAGGTAGTATGTGTGGGCCAAGACAATTCTTGAGGTCAGACTCTCCAAGGCTGGTTCAAGCTCCTTACAGGAGCTGTGTTAGACTCTATAACTACTCTCGAGATTCCAAGGTTCGTATGAAAAAGCGAATTAATACTGCCGATATTGTTTTTGTTCTTGAATCCTAAACCCTGGAGGCTCTATCAACCTTCCAAGTTCATACTTGGGTAGTTGGTGCTCAGCCATCCAATGCCGAATATATTCCAGCCCCACATCAGCTCTGAAGAGCTGGTTGTAGCGCGATACTCACCCCAGGGGATAGTGGATTCAATTTCTATTTACCCATTTGTTTTGTTTGAATGCAGTGACAAAAGTTATTCATTTCCAGTGCATTCACATCGCTCTATGTTGATTCCCGAGGTGGTTGTGTTCGATGCCGGATGCGCAAACAAGTGTGGGGGAACTGCCCTATATGTGACATGATCTTGAGATATGACTTTATATAAATAATCCAAAATCTATAATATTCAAATTAGGCTTTTCAGCGGGAATGAAATTATTGTAAGACCTTGGAATCACCCGTGGACTCTTCTGTTGCGCCCTCCACGGCCTACATCGCTCTTAGCGTCTTATTGTCAGCAGCAGCTACTCCAGGGCTCTGATTCACGGAAAGGAATCGCTCTTTTCATCAAATAAGCGAGTCAAGTAGGGAATCTTCCAAGGTTGTTACCGGGATAACAGAAAACAGACGTTGCTTTCGTAGGTCTACCAGTCTATCTAATGACATCCAAAGATATACAATTGGAAGAAGCTCTTCATAATTTCAAATGTGCGATTACAACCGTTATCTCAAAAAGCCACCAGTATACCTAACGGTTTTTTTCTACTCGCTGTACTGTGTAGAATGAGCGATATACGCTGAAAAATCAGTAATCACGATGCATCAAGCTGCTCTCGACGTGGGCCAGTTGACGTGAGAGGAGATATAAGCATAAGCACACTTGTACACTTACTTGGGCACATGCAGAGCATCACGACCACATTCCAGCTTCCAGGTTTTGGAGTGCTTCCAAAGTTTCTTTTTCCCATCCTCATCTATTGCCCCTCTTTCTCGTGTGCCTCTCTCCTCTCGCTACTCCTCGTAGTTGACCGGATTTGCAGAAAACAGTGCTACACCCCACCCCCTTCATTTTCTTAGCTGGGAGTAGCAAAATCTCGAGTATTTCAAACATACCGACACAAATGGACGAAGATCCATCATGGTGTGAGCCATCAGGCTACAAGAGTCGACCAGTAGCAGTCATTGGAGCAGGAATGCTAGGCCGCCGCATTGGTAAGACTCAGTCACTCACTTAGAATATAGCTAACACGCTCAGCAACATGTTGGGCATGTGCTGGGTACAATGTCCATGTCTGGGACCCCAACCCCAATCAGTGCTCCGAGACTGTCAAATATTTCCGCGAAAACATCTCCATCTACCAACAATACATTTCCACAACGCCTGGGGAAGTATCTCAAACTGTGGATCTCGAAGCTGCTGCGTCTGATGCATGGCTTGCTGTCGAGTGTGCACCTGAAAACCTGGAGATTAAGCAGGATGTGTTTTCGGATCTGGAAGCAGTCTGTCAGGTAGACTGCATCCTAGCGACGAACTCATCATCTTATAAATCTTCTGCTGTCTCGCAGAAGACGAGACCTGAGACCCGGAACAGAGTTCTGAATTCCCATTATTTCATGCCCCCTCATGTGCGCATTGTCGAGCTTATGACCTCCGGAAGTACCGACACCGCGATCTTCCCTTTTTTGAAATCCCGGATGCGAGAAGTTGGATTGAGTGTATATGTTGCAAAGAAAGAGTCGACCGGTTTCATTCATAACCGCGTATGGGCTGCGATCAAGCGGGAGCTTCTGATGGTCGTGGCAGAGGGGGTAGCGGATCCGAAGACCGCAGATGACATCTTCTTTGAGGCAATTGTCAAGCCAGGGACGAGGCCATTTGTGGCAATGGATTGTGAGCAGTTCATTCTTTTGGAATTGCTTGGCAGCGCACTAACGATCTAATAGTGGTCGGGCTTGACACGGTGGCCAGCATTGAACGTAACTTTGCCCTCGAACGAGGTCTTCCGACTTCACAAACAGTGGAGTTCCTAGAGCAAGAATACATCAACAAAGGAAAGCTTGGTGTGAGTAGCGAGAATGGCGGATTTTACCGCACCGGATCGCGGTCAAATGGACCCAGATTGCTTGTCCTCGACAATGGTTTGTCGGGCGAGGTCACAACCTTGCAGATGGGAAAACTGATGGAATATACTTCTACTGGTCAGCATGTCCGCACCATCTTCGACAAGCAGTATATACCCGACGGCGTCGTTGTGCACAAAGAACTCAATCGAATGTTTTGGACATGCATGGGCTACCCGGGCCAACTTGACGGTACGATATGTTCGGCGAATCTGGACGGAAGCGATTTCAGATCACTACTTGAAAAGGGGGCCATCAACACACCGAAGCAAATGACAATTGACCAGGAAGCTGGCAAATTGTATTTTGGCGATCGTGAGGGTCTAGGCATTTGGCGCTGCGACCTGGATGGCTCTAGGCTTGAAAAAATCATTCAAACCGGCGATTACTCTGACGAAAATGACCGCAAAGATCAAAGGAATTGGTGTGTCGGAGTTGCTATATCGAAATGTCTGGGCAAAATATTCTGGACACAAAAGGGCCCACCCAAAGGCTTCCAAGGACGTATCTTCAGCGCAAACCTTGCAATTCCACCCGGCGAAACTGCGGAGAATAGATCGGACAAGGTCTGCCTCCTTGAAGGTCTCGCGGAGCCTATTAATGTCGAGTTCCACGAAGGACTGAGAGCTCTTTATTGGACTGACAGGGGCGAAGTCCCGTGGGGAAATACGCTTAATCGTGTTTTCCTAGGAGAAAATGGGCAATGTCTGGCCACTAACCTCACACCCTTGCTCAAACACCAAATTCTAGCAAGGAAGTTCCACGAAGCGATTGGCATGGCAATCGATGAAGAGAACGAGCACGTCTATGTGGCGGACTTGGGTGGGTCAATCTGCAGATGCAATCTTGATGGCAGCGATAAAACGCGGATCTTGTTTGAAGAGCAGCGAGCTTTTACTGGCATTACCTTATTTTGAGAGGACTAGAATTATAGGCTAGATTGAAGTGTAAATTGCAACCTGTTCTGCGGTTCCAAGTACAATATAGTATTTCTTTCTATGATCTAGTCACATAGCTCACATATTCTTTCTGTCCCCTCAAGTCTATCACACCTGGGCAGATAGTCGTCCATTCCGCTTATCCCCGCAGTGGAATTGAATATTCCCAAAGATGGCATGCAACCAAATTTTCGTCCCGTGCGATCGGTATTCCCACCTGCCTCGGTGATCAGAGGGCAAGCAGCTCAGGGTGCCCAGCTTCGGTCAAAACACCCAAGCCCCCGTCCATGCTATCTACATCCATGCTGAAAGGAAATTCGAATTCTAGGTCGTCTATAACAGTCGGTAATTGAAGGAACGGGCTATCATCGCCGTGCAGTGTATCCAAGCCAGCTGGGATGTCTGCGGCTCCATCTCCGCTCATCGTCCGGTCAAGATCTCCGAACATATTCTGGTAATTTGTGAGTCGGGGTTTCCGAGACTCACTCACCCGCTCGATCTCGAAATCCGGAAGTTGGAGGCCTATGCGAATTGTCAATCTGGCGATTTTACAACAGTAGGTGGGGAAAAAAAAGAGAGGAAAGAAAGATCACAACTTCTTACTGGATAAAGGTTTAGGTGCACGAATCCTTCGCTCGGTGAGATTATGGCAAGTCTCGCTCAGGGGTTGGTATCCGATGGCTTTGTTGATTGCGTCGGTTCTGTGAGGAGGATATTAGGACGAGAGGCGGCAAAAACATCACCACTTACGATAAGTTGGGAAGATACTGCTGAATGATACTTTGCACACAGGTAGTTGAGCTGGAGTATGAAGGAAAAGACTCAAGTCTGGCATTTCTGCACATATGCGCCAAAATACTTGACTTTTTCTCACTTCCCAGTCTGTTAATCGTGCGAATAAGCTGATAATTGGAAGGCTCTAGACAAACTGGTGAGCAAAACACCAAATAAAATGCACGAATCCACTCACCGAATATAACATGATACAGAGTCGCCGCTTGTTTAGGGCCACAAGCCTCTTGTATAGAGGCAACCATCCTGTTTATAAGCGTCGTTTCATCCCGCATCGTCTTGAGACCACGTGAGTGACCGCTGAAGCCAGCTTCTCGCATTTTGGCGTTGACCTATGATCTTTCAGCAAGCATTCAAAATTTCTAAGAAACGGCTTTGTCCCAACATACCTCACGGGCTGCGCTTTTACCTTGCTTGTCCGAGTGTCGCTCCCATATCAGGAAGAAGCAGAGCGATAGGAATCGCAAGAACCGGCCGTACTTAAGCTTCTGATTCGAACGCCTAGCAAAGCTTATGCACATCTCCCATGCCCGCGAGACATTTTCCCCGCGCGGAGACAGCGGTTGACTTTTGATCTTAGTTAATGCGTTGTAGGACGAGATCTCTTCTTCCGGTATACTGGTTGACCCGAGTCGATAGAGAAATGCATCCGCTGTTGCAGTCACGGCCTCGACAGAGGTGGCAGATTCCTCCTTTCGCTTTCTCTTCGACGGTCTGGGTGTGTTTGGATATGATCTTAGCGATGGTGAATCGCGAGAGCTGGCCCTTGTGTGCGAACTCGAGCTCGACATCTCTGGCATATCACTGCTTGTATCGTCGAGAAGATTATTGACTGGGGTTGCGGGCTTGAAAAGTCGTGCTTGCGTCACCAAGAGGTCCATGTTATATCTTGAGGTTTCGATGCATTGGAGTGGAGGCTGGGCGGAGGATTGGGATAGCTCGCTCCTACAAGGCGTTTCTTGTCAGCTTTGTGAATACATGGGAGGTGGAATGGTCAAGACTTACCAAAACCCTGGGGCCCGCAGATTCCACTTGTGCCAGGGAACAGCCGTTTTATAGATCTCCTCGGCCAAGTCACTGATCGGGGATAATATGTCACTTTCTCGCACTTCGTCGCAACACGGTACGAATGCACCTTCGGAATAGTGGAAGGTTTGCCCTTGAAAGCCGCGCAGTGAAAACGGAATGATCGAGACTTGAGCTCCCACTCGATGGCAGGATCCAACAGGCAACAGGAAGTGTAGGTAGACGGCATGCTGGCATGGAGCCACACGCGTGTCGAGACACCCCTCATGCACATCTTCAATGTTTATGAAGAAGGAGTCGCCCACGCGCTGGCTCTCTTGAATCGACATATCGCGCTGGATTGGTTGCGTACTGAACGTCAGTTTAGCCAACTTGGATTAAGTATCGTCAGGTGTGAAGAACAGTCAACCCCCGGCGCTAAATCGTCGCATGAAGGAACCGAATTGAGACATGTAAATCCCCACTCCAATCGTACTATTATGGGACTCGGCCAGGGTCGATGTGACGAATATTCCATGCGGTTGGCCAATGAGATACCCGGTCGAGATCTTAGCTACTTATTAGTCCTAGTATACATGGCGCATTTCACCCTGCCAATCTCTTGGAAGCTGGCAGCTTCAATGATCCTAATATATTCTTGAGGAGGATGACGACTGCCCAGATGTAAGCCCACGCAGCCTCGTATTAAGACCCCCCCGCATCAAGTATCGACAGGCCCGTGGGGAAGCGAAGATCCACGCATATGGAAGAGGAACCACTATCGGACACACCTACCCCTCCGACAGGCGAGGGCTTGCATTAGTCTGCAAGTCACGTTTCATCGGGGACTAGAGTTTGCCCTAAGGATTCCGAGAAACTAACGGGGTAAATGGTATCATTGGAAGTGATGATCGTCAAGCATTTCGAGACATCAGGGTTGTAGCCACACTCCCAGATACCTACATCCAACATAACATACATCGGAACTCACTCTGAATGCCTTTCACCACGGCGATTACAATGGCCTTACGGAACGGCCCGCATTTTGGCCCCCACATGTGCAGTGTCCGCGGCATGCCCGGGTGCTTTGCAGCGAACATGCATAGGAAACACCCTGCATTAGGCGATAGCAGTGGTACAGGGTGAATCACAATGCGTCCACGGGTGCAAAAGTGAATCTCGCAACCTTGGTACTAGTAGTATATCTTCAGGCCTTTGGACTCTGCCCTACGTCTCCATTTCAGCCACGTTTAGCCACTGATGATCTCACCCGACACATGATGCCAGTGCATATCTGCTGATTATCAGATGTGAGCAAGGGGGACCTTGGCAGTGCTTTTCACAGTCACGGAGTCTCGCTGAGAGAACGAATGGTCAGATTGTCAGACGGAATGCCAAGCCAATGGCGGTGCGGAGGCGCTCTCAATACGAGATGATCGTCAAGCCCACGGACGGAGGGCGTAAGGGTTTCTTGGGTCAATGGCTTGGTGCAGAGTTATTCAATTGTTTAATTGGTGAAAATGGGGCTCCCTGGATACTCTCGGGGGTGTTGGGTGGAGTGCAGACTCAACGGTCGATGGTTGGAAGATTCAATGAGAGCGCTGAATTCCCGGATCTGACCTGAATTTTGCAAGATGCATTCGGTGAGACATCCAATGAGTCGGTACCAACCGACGATATCGATCTGGACCGTTCTACGGGTATTGGTATTCGTAGGTCGCGGGCAAACACAGCCCTGGAGTCTTTCAAGATTATAAGAGAGTGCGCACACTTCGTTAGGAAGTGCCGTATGTTCAATTCATGTGAATTTTGAGAGTTTATAGACATAGTATACAGGCATTCCAGCGGAGAATCGCTCAATACACAGCAACCAAGAGACCGAAACAAAGTCTCACCAAATTTTCTTGGCGATCATTTCGTACCGCTGGACATGATCAACACTGAGCTCTTTATCCTTCCCCTTATCCTTGTCCTCTTTCTCCCTTAATTTTCGTAGTCCGTCCGGATCATCCGCATAGATCAACTTCCTCTTCTCTTCACCAACCTCGACACAGCCCCATCCGCCAACGCGCTGACTACCCTCGACATCAAAGTCGCGGGCTCGAGGTGCGCCATTCTCGGAGGGACGTGAATGACTTCTCTCGGTTTCTAGCCCTTTCATTTTTCTGTAGCGCGAGCGAGCGAAGGCAAGAAGGACCATGCCAAGCAGGAGTTTAAAGATGAGCAAAACGACGAATCCGGTCAGCAGGAGAACGCCAGTGAAGATGTGCACTGACTGTGCAGGGGATGGGATCGCGTTTTCTAGTAACGTGCGGAAAAACGCGCTGACGTGCGCGGCGGATGCCGGGAGGAGGGTTGCGAATGTCAAAGGTGGAGCGGAAGGAAGAGGGGAGGGGACATAGTGATTGTGAATTGAGGCTAGGGAGGTCGCTTCCATTGCGGTTGATGACGGATGTTGTGGGACCAGAGCCGCCAGGAACATCTGGTATGTTTGAACGGAAACTCTGAAGAAGAGACACGACAGTGGAATCACGGGGAGACCAATGCGACGGGTCAGGTTTTGTTCGCCAAAAGCATTGGTGTAGTAGTCCTTTGCTAGCACGTCAAGGAAGCGGCCGTAGATGGCTGGGCGGTTGTTGTTGAACTTGTTGATATAGGCATGTTTCAACCAATCAACAAGCATCTCCGAGCCGAGAACGACCAGGAACGGACCCAGGACCTGGGCGAGGGTTGGGATAAATGAGTTGACGCTGTTGAAAGATGACATGATTGAAGAGGGGAAGAACGTGAACGCTTGAGGTAAAATCGATGATGCAGTTCGTGGAGGCGTAGACAGCGGTGTGCTGTTGGTGATAGTAGATGACTGGCCCGCAAGATTAGAGCCCAGACCAAAGTTCCCGATGAAATTAAACGCGCCGGTTTCGACGATGTTGCGCGAAGCGATGATGGTAAGCATCAACCAGAGTTGGAACCTTTCCACAACGTCGGCACAGGTGAGTTGGAAGAGGTTCTCCTTTTCAAATTTGCGGAAGACCGTAGACTTGATTTCCACAAATTGGTTCGACAAGAGCAGGGTGATTAGAGCATTTGAATATGAGTTCACGGCAACATTCAGCGTCATGACTTGGTAGAAGAGCGATGTGGCATGCGAAACAGTGTAAGCGAGGGCCAAAAAGAACAACCAGAACGGCCGAATGATTTTACTTCGCCCGTCTGGGCGACGCTCGAGGGCCTCTTGAGAGAAAAGACACTCAAGCACGTCTTGGCCAATCGCTGCCAAAAGCCGGTCACTGACTTCGAGCACGTTGTATATAACGTAAAGTTTGATGGCGGCCTGTCCACGGATCCAGTGGTACATTCGACTGGCATCAAAATACATCAAGATACAGCACGTAGCTATCATAAGCAGACCTGTCAAGATGTCCGCTTTGTCGTCGGGCATGAGTGCCGATGGCATTGACTTCTTCCGGCGGTGATGATATTTTCGAGACTCAGAGGACCGATGCTTAGTTCTTTGCGGCTCGGGGTGAGTTTGTCGAAGGTCCCTTTCGGTCCCTGCTGTTTCAAGACCAGAAGAGGAGCTCGAAGGCAATCGAGAATTAGCATCTGACTCGCTTCCTCGTCTCTCCTTTTGATCTTCTTTGAGGGTATGGTTCCGTCGGCGCCACACGCGCCCAATTCCACTCATGACGAATTTCCAGATGAATCGAATCTCGGCTCCCAGGTTTATGATCCAGGACTCGGCCAATATGTAAATGGCCTTGATAAATCGCAGGGGCATGATCGTGAATGAATAGAGCCATGCATCGAGACATGCCAAACTCCCAAAGCAGAGTACCTGCTCTAGCATTGGTGGTAGCATGAGGAAATTCATGAGTCTCTCGATTTTGACGCGCGACGATTCATACGGGAAGTCATTTGCCGCATCACGATGAATGTACAACGGTGACGGCCTCCCGGATGCAAGTTCAAGTTGCAAATATGTCGGTAAAGACACGGGAGGCAGTGGGATAGACGATGGCAAAGGCGAAGTCAACGGAGTTTCAATAATTGGAGGCGGACCCATGAGATGACTCTTCAAGTCACGATCAGGAATAAACCGATCCTGTTTCCCACGCGATGCCCATGTATGCGCCAGCCTATCATTCACTGGCGTAGATGGTGGTTGGCGCCGCGAAGACCCAGGGGTAGAGACTGTGCGAGATGGGTGGGGTCGATTACGCAGAGAGAATTTCTCGGTGTGACGAGGTAAAGCCGGGCTCGCTGGTGCTGAGGCATCACCCAAAGAAACCCCTTTGCTGGGTCGCAGCTTCGGAAGAGGCTCTGGCGCTGGGAGTATCTCTTTTAACGGCTGCAGAACGAACTCGGGAATCTCTGGTCGCGGGGGAACAACATTGCCATTGATATTATCAGACACTGATCGCCTGCCAGTGGTCCTTTCAGGCTCTGCGGGCCGGTAAGGTATTGATTCCGGTGAGGATGTGAGCTCTTGGATCTTCTCGGGAGATAACTTCATAATCTCATTTTCCTTTTCTGGCTTTTGAGAAAGTTCGTCGGACATTTCAGACAGAGCAGCTTTGGCTTGACAACCATCGTAGACATCTACAATGGACAACTGTCCATAGTTGCTCTCATCGCGCGGCGATTGTTCGACCAAGATACCGAGCCCTTGCTCCGGCGATCTTAAACCTCCTTTGTATCCGCCTGCAGTAATTTGGTGCTCCAATGTCGACTCGTTTTCCTGTTCCTTGCCGGAGTCTTCATTCTGGGTCTTCGGGTTCTGAGAACCTTCACCGCTAGATGATACCTGTTGTTCCTCCTGATATGTAGGATCCTTCATACTCGGAAATGGGGATTCGGTCGCGTCGTGGATGCTGTTTGTACCGTGGATCGTCCGGTGATCGATTGACTTGGAATGCGAGGGGCCCTCATTGCTGCGGTCTGCAGGGGTCATCATGTCGGTCTAGATGCCCCACAAGCGATGTTGGGTATTCAAACTTCTGACAAGCCTGAGCTGTCACTTCTCATTCCAGCAGATAGCGTGAAGTCAAGACGCGCATATTCAAATTGGGGTCTTGATCAAACCCAACCGTAGAATGGTAGAAAGGCACCGCGCCGGGGAGAGCTTAGCGGACTGGTGTAATGCGAGACGTTTTCGGAGACGGTGTGCTCTCCGGCTTAGGTGGAGTTCGGGGTATTCCGTCGACAGCTCAGCTGTAGATACGGTTTATCGGGCAGGTAGACACCTGAGGCATAAAGTCACGTGTGTCCACCAGGCAGTTATGTGACACCTCAGGCAGAAAGATTGAATGAGCTCCAAACAATAAGATTAAGATTACTGTGGTACATAGAAGAGTATGCATCATTTAATCATTCATGTCCCGTAAATACAATGCAACTTTCTATGGTATGCGACTCTATATCACACCTCAAGACTTACCAGTAGCCGGGGAAGAGCCAGTCCAGCTTCTTCTTAGCCTCGGCGGACCAGCTGGTCTGAGGAGTGCTAACACCGAACTTGATACCGCCAGCCAAGTGCTTAGCCTGGACAAGCTCAGAGTGCTCCTCGCCAGCGAGCGCATCAAGAACAGCAGTGATGAAGCGGCGAGCGTTGTCAGCGTTAGCCTTCATGTGGCCCATGACCATCTCGACGGTCACGTCGGCGGTGGACTCGTGCCAGCAGTCATAGTCCGTGGACATGCAGATCATCTGGTATGCGATCTCGGCCTCGCGGGCCAGCTTGGCTTCAGGGAGGACAGACATGTTGATCACGCTGCCGCCCCAGGAGCGGTACATCTTGCTCTCGGCGCGAGTGGAGAACTGGGGGCCCTCTATTGAGTACTGGGTTAGTTTCTATTTGACGAAGATCAAGAATTGGTTCTCATACCCATGCAGATGATGGTGCCGCGGTCGTGCAGGGTGACACCCTCGCCCTCCAGGCTGTGTCCGCACTCGCGCACGACCTTGGCGATGCCCTCGTCGAAGGGGTCACCGAAGGGGACGTGGGCGACAACGCCGCCCTCGAAGAAGGTCCATGGGCGCACTCCCTTGGTCCGGTCGATGACCTGGTCGGGGATCACGAAGTCGCGGGGCTTGATCTCCTCCTGCAGACTGCCGACGGCGGAGAAGGCAATGATGGAGCGAACACCGATGGAGCGTAGGGCAGCGATGTTGGCACGGGCGGGAACCTCGTGAGGGGCAATCTGGTGGTGGGGGCCGTGACGGCTCAGGAAAGCGATGGCGACGGTCTTGCCGTTGTGCTTGCACTCATGGTGCAAGATGGTGATGGGGGAGGAGGGAGTGCCCCACGGGGTCTCAATGTTCAGAGAAGCAACCTGGCTGAAACCAGGCAATTCACGTAGACCAGTGCCTCCAATAACAGCAATTGGGACGGACCCTGTCAGATTTACTATCGTCAGATTTGGAAGTGGGGGTGGTGAGGGGTAGATGAGGCTTTGGGGCCAGTCGTACCGTCGTAAGTGGTGGGAAGAGAAGCCATTCTGCGAGCCAGTTGCTTCGGCGATTCGATGCGAAAGAAGGGCTTTGATATTGAAGAGTAAGATCGACTCAGGATGCGCATGTTGCGCCTGAGAAAGTCTGAAGGCTGCGGTGCATTGCCCTTCTCCGATTGGCTGTCACCAGACCCACGTGCATTTAAGTCCTGAGGCCGCCACTTTCCCTTTTGGGCATCTATACAATGTGCTCTGTGGTCTCTGGTAGTGTAGTGATACTACATTTGATGCTGGTCAAAACAAGAAACATTCAATTTCGGATACTATTCAGACAAAGAGTTACGATGTTTTACTAAGCCGGCAGCCATTCGTAATGGTGAGGGCCCTTATGCACTGGGCCTGGGTCCTCGCCAGGAATCCCCGGCTTGTTATAGTTATGAGCACCGAAGTAATCCATCTGCGCCTCCATGAACTTGGTTGGTAGTCCCAGTCCGCCCTCATACTTCAGATATTCCAAAGTAGCCGAAAGCGCAGGAATGTACTGATCCGACATGGTGCCTTCCATCACGATCTCCTTCAGACCACGGAAGCTCTGGTGGAGCTCATGGGCAACAGAGTCCACAAATTTTATATTTGTCAGCTCATTGTGTGCAGCCAGTGGTGATTGGAGAAGATCGGCGATATGATCCGACTGGATGATGCACCCAGCACGCCAGATCTGCAAGCAATCACCCAAGTTGACGTTCCAGCCTTCGTCTATCGAAGCTCGGGAGATCAGCTCCAGACCCTGGCAGAAGGATGCCAGGAAGGCGCAGTACACGGCTTGACGTAGATTCTCGATAATCTCCTTGTAGTCCCTAGTGCCTTCGATTGGCTTGGGCATGGGCATTTCGAGCTTCTTGGCTGCGCGTACACGCTCTTGTCGGTTTCCACTCGAGACACGTAGATAGTGGGCTGCAGCGAGAGTAGGGCACGATACGTGGCGGGAGGCAGATTCCATCAGACACCAAAGTGGTGTGCCTTCTGTGTTGTCATCGTCTTGGACAACCTTGTCCAGCACATCGTCAAGCACGTATCCGTCATCGCGACTAGCTCCCTCGCCCTTGTGGTCGCCCTGTGGGGTTCTCCGCGTATGGAGAATCTTTTCACCAATATGGATGAGGAAATTGCTGCGCAGTTCGCCAGCCTCATTCCATTTCTGGAACACATCACCAATCTTCGTATGTTCCATGCCGAGGCCGTCATGCATGTACTGCCAGGCTTCAGCAAGCACAGAGAGCATGCCGCCCTCAATTCCATTGTGCACCATCTTGATAAAGTGACCTGAACCACCGGGTCCCATGCGCTTGACACACGGAGTTCCACTCTTCGGGTCTTTTGCAGCATAGGACTCCAAGAACGGCATCACAAGTTGCAGCGCTTTGGCATCTCCACTGGGTGAGAGACTAGGGCCTCGTCGTGCAGACTGGTAACCGCCTGAAACGCCCATGCCGATCCAACTGACGCCAATGGCAGCACATTCTTTCTGACGACGCTCGGTGTTTCGATAGTTCTCATTGCCACCATCTAGGATGATGTCTCCCTTCTTGAGATCAGGCTTGATCATACGTAGAACTTCATCTGCGGGCTCGCCATGTGTAATGGAGAACATGAACAATTTCCGCTCGGACTTCCCTTCAAGACTTTTGGCGAATTCGTTGATGTTGTAAAAGCCCTGGACTTGGCCTTTGATGTTTTTGTCGTTTTTGGCGTAGTTCACGACTTCGTCGACGTTCTTCTTTTCAATATCCCAGACCGAGACGGCAAGACCTAGTTCGGCAAAGCGAAGGGTCATCATAGAGCCCATGTTACCGGCTCCCACCACGCCGATGCTCTTGATTGCTGACGGCATTGTTGCGGAATGTAGTGTTGGCGTATTAACTCATTCGTGCTTCAGGGTGAGGGTCGGTTTCTCAACGCGCGAACAGTTGATTTCAAACATTGGAGATGTCCCGCTCTACTTCAACCCTCCGATGGTGGCAACCGGAGCACAGATCCGGGCCATTGTCAATATGCAATCAGAGAAACCCCATAATTTTCGATGGCGATACAAATTTGCCGCATCTTTAAAAATGTGGAGGCAAAATGGAGGTGAGAGTCATGCAAAGTAGACCCCAAACCTGCCAGGCGAGGTCGATACTGATGCGACGGTGACGAAACATGATCCAAGTGGCAACTCGTCACATCAGGATCAATGGGGCAACGGAACAGGATGTCCCCAGTTGTTTAGGTCCTAATGGTTCTTTCTTCAGAACAGCAGCTTTTTTCTCCTGCAGTTCCAAGATTGCAGTCTTCTACCACGACCAAAATGCCAATCTCTCGCGCGTCGCTCAATGATATTCCGCTCTCCTACGCCTCATGCTCAATCGGATGTGGGCCAAAAGACACGCTTCCCCGTCGTCTAGAAGCAATCAGTGCAGCAGGGTTCACCGCGATCGAGCTCTCCTTCCCCGACATTCTCGACTATGGTCTCCAACTCACAGGCGAGTCCATCAGTCCGGTAGATTACCCCAAAATCATCTCTGTAGCAGCAGAGATTCGCAAACTCTGCGATTCTCACCGACTAAGTGTCATGATGCTACAGCCATTCTCCAACTTAGAGGGATGGCCCAAAGGATCAACGGATCGGGAAGAAGCATTCGCTAGAGCTACAGGTTGGATGGAGATCATGAACGTGGTCGGAACCGACTTGTTGCAGGTATGCGACTACTCTCATACTGTCTGCAAAGAATTGACTGACGAAACACAGGTTGGAGCAACAGATACACCCGAACCGGCTATCTCGTGTGATCGAGAAGTCATAGTCGCCGATCTACGCCTACTATCGGACCTCCTGGCGAAGCGCAAGTATCGCCTCGCATACGAGAATTGGTGTTGGTCAACACATGCAGCAACCTGGAAGGCAGTCTGGGAAATTGTCAAAGCAGTCGATCGTCCAAATTGCGGACTGTGTCTAGATACGTTCCAGACAGCGGGGAGTGAATGGGGCGATCCAACGACCACATCCGGGCTGATCGAGGATGTTTCGCAGAGTGATCTGCGCAAGCGCTTCGATGCCAGTATGCAAGAGCTTGCGACTACGGTGCCAGCGGAGAAGATTTATCTTCTCCAGATCTCGGATGCATATAAAGTCTCCCCGCCACTAGAGAATAAGACTCTGAATGAGCTTCGGCCAAGGGGAAGGTGGAGTCATGATTATAGGCCTATGCCGTACGACGGAGGATATTTACCTATTGAAGATGTTGCGAAGGCGGTTTTGAAGACTGGGTTCCGGGGTTGGTTTTCGATGGAGATTTTCGATTCTGGGCCAAAGGGGGATGGGAAGAAGTATGATATGGGGCCTTTTGCGAAGAAGGCTATGGATAATATGCAGCAGTTTTTGACGAACTGCGCTACGGAATGAGATCTTTGGATGAGATGGAATGGAATGAACACTTGTGATTTCTTTGAGTTGGAGTAAATATACAAATCAAGATTCCTTAGAATCTATCGAACAATTTTGAACAGAACGCCGGGGTGGGATGCAAGATTGACGCCAACGATATCGTAAAACATGGAATATCAACCAAAAGATTTTATGGATCGTGGTCCATATTTTAGTTGGCGTTGCTGGGGTAGGCAACGGTGTATGTGGGAACATACTCCTCCTTGATGGAGCGGAGGCTGACGAAGCGAGTCATCAGGTTGGCGCTACCGGCCTTGTCGTTGGTACCACTGGCACGAGCACCACCGAAGGGCTGCTGGCCAACAACGGCACCAGTGCTCTTGCAGTTGATGTAGAAGTTACCAGCGGCGTTGCGGAGGGCCTCATCGGCAACCTGGACGGCGGCGCGGTCCTGAGCAAACACGGAACCAGTCAGACCGTAGGTGCTGGTGCTGTCGATCTTGTCACAGATCTTGGTGAAATCGGCCTCGGTGGCGTCGTTGTAGGCGTGGATGACGAGAACGGGACCGAAGAGCTCACGGGACAGAAGGGGGTGGTCGGGGTTGGTGGTACGGTAAACGGTAGGCTGGATGTACCATCCCTTGGAGGAATCGTAGGATCCACCGACCAGGAGCTCAAGCTCGGGGTCATTCTTGGCCTCGTCGATGACACCGGCGAGCTTGTTGAAGGAGCCCTCGTGGATGACGGGACCGCAGAAGTTGGTGAACTCGGTGGGCTCGCCGACGTTGATCTTCTGGACCTCGGCGACAACCTGCTGAGTGAAGTCCTCGACGATGGAAGAGGCGATGTAGGCGCGAGAAGTGGCACTGCACTTCTGGCCCTGGAATTCGAAAGCACCACGAACGGTCTGGACCGCGGCGTTGCGCACGTCGGCGGACTTGTGGACCAAGTGGAAGTTCTTGCCACCGGTCTCGCCAACGATGCGGGGGTAGCTGCGGTACTTGCCATCCGCCACACCCTGGGAGATCTTGCCGTACAGCATACGGAAGACATCAGTGCTTCCGGTGAAGTGAAGAGCAGCGAAGTCACGGCTCTCCAGAACGGTGCTGGTCACCTCCTCGGCATCACCGGGGACGAACTGGATGACATCCTTGGGCAGACCGGCCTCGAGGAGGATCTGGTGCACCAGCCAGTTGGAGGCAATGGCGGCGGGGGAGGGCTTCCAGATAACAACGTTACCCATCAGAGCGGGAGCACCAGCCAAGTTACCGCCAATAGCAGTGAAGTTGAAAGGACTGATGGCGTACACGAAACCCTCCAGAGGGCGGTACTCGGTGCGGTTCCACACACCGGGGGAGTTGTGGGAAGGCTGCTGAGCGTAGACCTCCTCGGCGTACTTCACGCCGAATCGGAAGAAGTCAACCAGCTCGGCGGCGGAGTCGATCTCAGCCTGCCATGCGTTCTTTCCCTGACCGTGCATGGTCAGAGCCATGATGTCGTAACGGTACTTGGTGGCAATCAGATCGGCGGCCTTGAGGAAGATGCTGGCACGCTCAGCGAAGGGAGTGTCGGCCCAAGACTTGCGAGCTGCGAGGGCTGAGTCAATCGCAGCCTGGACATCGGCCTTAGTGGCATTGGAGTAAGTGGCCACGGGAGCGTGGGATGCGGGGTTGCTCTGAGTGAAAGTTTCGTAGCCCTTAAGCTGTAATTTCAATTGTTAGCAAGCGTCCTCCTGGCAAAATCGCTCTCCGGGAACGTTTCCTACCTCCTTGCCGGCAACAACCAGAGGCACGTTCAACGGGGCGCTCTTCTTGTAGCTTGCCAGGGCATCCTCAAGACCCTTGCGGTCTGGTGAGCCAGGAACGTAGTGTTTCTGAAGATTCCAGGTCAGTTATATGCATCGAATACCGTATATGACTCTGCCCTTACGTTGGGCTCGTTGTTGATCTGGGGGATCTTGAAAGTGGCATATGTGCCCATAGCCCGAGTGCCGGAGCTAGGAATGCGGGATGCAAGGCGCGAGATGGGCGCGCGAGCGCGCAGGATAGAGGACTGCATCTTGTAGAATATGTTCAAATCTTCCAAAAGAATTGAAAGAAAGAAGAAGTTCTCAAAAGTTGGAGAAGAAAAAGTGTACGCGGGGAAGCATGATGAAATGGCCGGCTAGGACCGGTCAGCGCTGAAGCTCTGCATATGGGCAGCCAATCCCAGTGAGGTTGATCGTGTGTGGATCAGCCAATCAGACATGGCCGGCAAGAGACCCGGGTGGGTCTTACCGGGCCGGGTGGATCTCCAGCCGGCTGTTCTGGTGTGCCGATTAGAGTAGAGCAGAAGTACGATACTTCCCCGCAAGATTGTAGTATGAAGTGCAACATGATAGAGGCTTCGGGATAAGCGCATGCTATTTGTACTAAATAGAATCTTTGAATGTTCTAAAAATATCAGACCGTGATTCCCAGAGATATATGTCTCCAGCCTCGGTCGCTGACCAGAAACCAGGTATGCAATATTCTTCTCATGTTTGTACCTAGGCACTATCTGTCCCTTGATATCAAATGAATCCTTTGATAGACACATAAACCCCCCTAGGCAACCCACCACCAGACACGCTCTAGCCAATTTCTTGGCTTTGGCTCCATATCCTCCTCTTCAAGCCGGTCAATCTCTCCTTTCCCACTGAAGATATCAATATCTGATACCTTGATCATCCAGGGTGTCTTGTAATAGAGCTTGTGTCCCAGGTAAAGGACGAAGAAGATGACAAAGACAATGTACGAGACGAGGAAGCCCGAGGCTATGAATGAACCGGGGAAGAAGATGGTGTAGCCGTTAGTAATGGCAAGGAGTGATATGAAGCCCATGGCGTAGTATGTGCCGTAAGGTTGGGAAGGAGTCTTGAAGGGCCTGGATTCCAGGAGCCCGTGGAATTTCAAAGCACCGCGGAAGCGCTGTAAACGTGTCAGTGAATTTTCGAAAGGAGTGAATGCTAGAACATACCAAGTACGCAACTCCAACGATAACCCAGGAAATAAAACCTCCAATCGTAGTGATGTTGGTGAACCAGTAAAACACAGTCGAGCCAGATGCAGACAGGTTCAAAAACGAAAGAAGGCCAATTGCCCAGGTAATCAACACTGCATTGTAGGGGACCCCGTTCTTGTTACAGCGGGCGAAGAACTTCGGTGCTTGACCCTCACATGCCATGGAGTAGAGCGTACGCGAGCCAGCGTAGACCCAAGAGTTACCGGACGAGAAAGCAGATATCAAGATGGCAGCATTGATAACATGGTTTAGTCCGGCGATGCCAGCATTTTGAATTCCGATGACGAACGGACTAGCACCAGCGCCAGAACCGCCGCTGGCAACACCGCGGAGCAGACCCTTGTCATTGTAAGCGACCGTCACCCCAATGACCAAGCTTCCAAGAACGTAGAATGCGAAAAGACGGTAGATGAAACGATTTGTAGCCTTGGGGATGTTCCGACGCGGAGAAACAGCCTCACCGGCGGCAGTGGTGATCAACTCGGGCGAGAAAATAAAAGAAAACCCGGACTTGATTAGGGCTGTCCAGAATGCCAGGAAGCGACCCGTGTTGACATTCGGCACCAAATACGGCTCCACGAATGCGCCTGGCTGCTGCCAGTATCTGAAACCAAGACGATCGTGATTGGGACCTCCTCCGAAGAACAGCACAATACCAAGAATGATCAGACCGATGATCGCGATGATTTTGAGAGATGCGAACCAGAACTCTGCTTCTCCGTACCATGACACCGCAACTATATTGAGGAATAGGATGACTTGACTCGTTAGAATTTGAAGCAGAATAAAGGTTGGATAGATGGTTACCAATTAGAATGATGGCAATCCACACTCCCACACTGACCGAAGAGGGCCAATACTCAATCACGAGACCGGCTGCAGTTACTTCAGACGCAAGCAGCATCGAGAAAGAGTACCAGTAGTTATACCCTGTAAAAAAAAAAATGGTCAGCAACGGTTTCATCATGATGCACATCAATAAACTCAACATACCCACAGCAAATCCAAGGCTCGGCTCTGTGAAGCGGCTGATGAAATATGGGACGGAGACGCCTCGGACGGGGAGGTATGTGGTCATTTCACCCAGTATGTTCATGATTAAATAAACCACACTTGACATGGCAATGTAGCCCATAAGAAGAGGTGCTTTCAATTTGAGTTAGTATACGACCAACATTAGTCGAAGATAGCTTACCAGGACCAACGGTCGATAGAGCCGCTCCACTACCAACAAATAACCCCGTACCGATGCAACCACCAAGTGCGAGGAATTGAATGTGCCGAGAGCTCAAGCCTCGTTGGGTTTCGATGTTGTGAGATACGATAATCTCCTCTTGGGTAGCCTTGAGGTCATCATAATTGGAGTCAGGCTTAAGACCTGCCTCCATCGCCTTAGGAGAGTCTTCCATGGTGGGTAGACCAGAAAGAAAGGGGCACTCTGGTATTTGGAACAACTGGGGCACAAATGGAAGAGAGATGAGAAAGAAAGAATTTCTTCCAGAAGCCTATAGCAAATATGGGGGTGTGATGATTTTTTATCAAGCCAGTGGCTAAGTCTTCAATTACTATCTTTGTGATAATCGGAGAAAGTTACTCATGTTGGTGATATGGTTTAAGAAGAGCAATGGCTATCTTGAGCGAGCAAGCATAAATCAGGAGCCAAAGGTAATTTGATTGCCTTGCGGGGAAGCGGGTTTTCACGTCACTCGAAAGTCACCTCCAGACTCTCTCCTCGGGCCCAGAGTAATGGATGATTGGCTCAACACTATGCCAGGGACCGCGCGGTTATAAGCCAAATTCCTGAAAAGGACGTAGTAGACCGCGTAGCACCAAGAACAGCAGTATAGACCTCTAGAGACGATCGGCTCCGTCGGCCCTATCGGCCCGCTTTGCGCTTTTAGTCTAGCTCCGGCAGGATTCCTATCGGGGCTAGATATGCTATCTCGGGTCCAGAGATCCTAATGCCATGTTGTAATGCTTATCGAATGGACAGGCATTGTACGCTCAGGGAGCTCTTTTCAGCCTCTCGTCCCTTCAGGGCCTAGCCTGGAACCTTAAAATCCTAATTGGTTTTTAGCTTTTTGTTTGTTCTGTTTGTCTGGTCACGTGTGTCATGGGAATCCGGGGAAGACGATCTGCACGATCCAGCCAATTGAAGAATTCTATGACACTCGATTGATCAAAGCGAACAATGATTCGAGAGAGATGCTCCAAAACATCAAAAGGGGAGACCGCTAGGCCGGAAGTAACCGGTTTGGGTCACGCGACGTGCAAGATCCGAGTGCACCGGCCCGGTCACGGTGCTTATCAGCTTATCATTGGTTGTATAAACCGGCCCGTGGGGAGATCCCTGACGAACTGCTGCAATGCTGAACTGTATCTAGGTGTATCTGTAGGGGAGCTGTGAGAGGGCGAATACGAGTCTTGTCTTGTTCGCTCGAACCTCCATGATCACCAAGATCCTGGGTTGAGATCCCTGAGGTGGCAAATTCGTGAAGTGACAAGAAAAAGTGATCTCCACCGGATTCAAGGGCCAAGAACCTATTAAGCTTAGCAATAAGAATTCCATAAAACATCAAAATTGGAGGTGGCTCTGCCGGCCCGTCAATTTTGAACCTGCTGACCGTACCGGTGCCTGGCGGTTGCCACCGGAACATCTCTATCTACATAATCCTATAAGCTCGTGGCTCTCTTTAATCCAAGGCTCTCTTTGATCTCTAACTTCGCCTCTCTCCCATCTCCCTACCCCACACTTTCTACACTATGAAGGCTGCACCCTCCGTGCGCATGCCGATTAAGGCATCTGCCCGCAATGCCCGATTCGTGAGCGGCACCAGCAACTCTCGATCCTCTGTCGCCTCCCCCGCCGCCGCAAACGCATGGCAATCACTCGCACAAACACCTGCTCAACCACGCAAGGCCTTGACTGCTCCTTTGGCCAAGCTGCCTCTTTCATCGGTCCTCCGCTCCTTGCTTGTGCTTTCTGTCTCGTCCTCCACCCTTCTTCTTAAGCCATGCATCTACACACTGTCTCTTCTTGCGCACCCACGCAGCGCATTGTGGGATGTGGCCAAGAACCCACTCCTGAACACTCTCATCAAGCACACTATCTACAAGCAATTCAACGCTGGTGAGAACAAGCTTGAGGTCCAGGAATCCATCAACAAGATCAAGGATCTTGGCTGCCGTGGCGTCCTCCTGGGATACGCTCGTGAGGTTCTTATCGGCGAGAACGATGATGCTTCATACGATGCCAAGGCCGCTCTCGCGGATATCCAAATGTGGATCGACGGAACTATGCAAACCGTCGACATGGCTCAGCCCGGTGACTTCGTCGCTTTGAAATTCACCGGAATGGGTATCGATGCCCTCAAGCTGCTCCAAGCTCAAAACATGCCTACCGAGTTCATGGACACCTCGATCCAGAAGATCTGCGACCTTGCCATCTCCCGCGGCGTCCGTCTGCTCGTCGATGCTGAAGAGCAAGCCGTGCAGCCCGGTATCGAGGCCTGGATCATGAAGTACCAGAAGTACTGCAACTCCCAGACTCCTGGACGCGCCGTCTTCTACGGAACCTACCAGGCCTACCTCCGCTCTACCCCCGCCACTCTTGCTCGCCACCTGGAAACCGCCCGTGCTGAAGGATACACCCTCGGTGTCAAGATGGTTCGCGGCGCCTACATGAAGACCGACCCCCGCGAGATCTTCTGGGCCAAGAAGGAAGACACCGACAAGTGCTACGATGAGGTCGTTGCCGCTCTCCTGACCCGCAAGTACAACTCCATGCTCCAGGCTCCCACCAAGGAGAACCCTACCGATCTTCCCTCCGTCAATGTCATCATCGCCACTCACAACCGCGAGTCTGTCCGCAAGGCCCACGCTATCCGCATGGAACAGGCTACCCGCAGCGAGAACTTGGGTGTCGACGTCAGCTACGCCCAGCTCCAGGGTATGGCCGATGAGGTCAGCTGCGAGCTCCTGCAAGGATTCGAGAATGCCGAGGACAGCGTCGGTGCTTCTCCTATCGAGGCTCCCAATGTGTTCAAGCTTCTGACCTGGGGCTCCGTCAAGGAGTGCATGGGTTTCCTGCTCCGTCGTGCTGTCGAGAACACCGAGGCTGTTGGCCGTACCAAGGACTCGCAGGTTGCTATGCTTGCTGAGTTGAAGCGTCGCTGTGGCAATGCTTTCAGCAGCAGCAAATAAGCTATACCCTGTCCGATCTTGGGTATGTGAAAAAAGAGTGCTTTTATTATTTCGCGGCACTGGCCTACGGGCTCGTTGCATTTGCATTTGTGTCTAGCTTGCATCTACGGAGTTTACATAGGGAGATTAACGATCAACGAATTCAATTAAGTTCAAACATTTAATTCTATTTGAGAAGGTAATAAGACTATCTAAAGCGTCCCGATGTAGTCCCCGCCGGTTAGGCTTACCCCTCCCTAAGTGCGGAAGGTCTATCCGACGCATGCCCTGCTCTGTCCCCAAGCCATACTTCTCTTGCGCATAATTACTCAATATCTGCCCTCGCCTTGCAAAGTTGATCCAATTTAAACCCAATTTCCAGGTTCAAGATGCACGTACTCTCCGAGCCAGATGTCTCCAAGGTCTTCCGCGGCCTAACCAAAGAGCAATGCCACACCTTCATTGAAGCCCTTGGAGGTGCCCTGATCAGCATTTCCCGAGAATCCAAGCCCTCATTCCCAGAATCAGACAAACAAATCCACCAACCGCTCCGCACAGTCTTCACAACCAGCAAAAACAACAGCTGCATCTTCATGCCAATCTCCGACACCGTCTCAACAGGCATCAAAGTAGTCACCGTGGCCGCAGGCGGCATCCAAGGCGTCATCAACGTCTTCAACCCAGAAGGCCGTCTCCAAGGCCTTCTCGCCGCAGCAGAAATAACTGCTTTCCGCACCGCCCTAGCAACAATGACACTCCTGGTGCGAGTAACAACCATCCGCAAAGATCACATCTTAGTCCTCGGTTCTGGGCGTCAAGCAGAGTGGCATGCCCGACTCGCTTTACTCCTGTACCCTGATCAAGTGCGTCGCGTGAGCTTCGTGAACCGCGGCGCGAAGAGACTTGCCGAAATTGAGCGAGACGTCATCGCCGAGTTGCGGGGTATTTATCCAAACGTCGTTTTTGAGACGCTGGCTAAGGAGGGCACCGATGATTATCGGCAGAGACTTGGAGAGGAACTTGCACTGGCGGATGTCATCTTTAGTTGTACGCCTTCGCTGGAGCCGAACTTTACGTTTGCGGATTTGCAGAGGGCTCCGAAGCAGAGGTTTATCTCTTTGATTGGGTCTTATAAGCCGCCTATGCATGAAATTGATACGGAAACGCTGCTTTCGGGTGGGAAGGTTTATGTGGATTCTAAGTCTGCTTGTTTGGAGGAGGCGGGGGAGTTGATCACTGCCGGGCTTGGGGAGAAAGACTTGATTGAGATGGGTGATCTTTTGGGGGATGGAGGTGTTGTGAATCAAACAGTGGATGTTCCTGAGGGTAATGTCGTGTATAAATGTGTTGGGATGGGATTGATGGATCTTATTATTGGAAAGAAGGTGCTTGATGTCGGGGCTGAAATGGGGCTTGGGATACATGTTGATGGGTTCTAGATGCGTATAACCTTGAACCTTAGAACATAGCAGTCAAACCTTGAATTGCATTACATACTAGGTAGCACTAGGTATCCATCTGATCGTCTTGGGACTTTGAAAGCCTGAGGACTTTCGAGGTTCAATCAAGGGTCACATTCCTGACAGCTCGGGGGCACATGCGTTCAAGTTTCTTCATAGATCAATGGCGAGCGACTTTGAGGGTTGACCAACACCTGGGCATGGGGTGAAACAGCCATTCTCCAGGGCTCTGGGATATAGCACCCCATCCAGAGTATTAAAGATGTCCATCAAGTCCAAGTTCTCCTATGTTCGGTGGAAATATATAACGGCCGTATTCCAAGGTTGCTTCGGATAGGTCTTCCGAGCAGTCAAAATCAGAACATCTCGGATAATAACCTATTAAGTTTAAATTGCCCAAAAGAGTCTCGTTCAATCCCTCGCAAATATAATAAGTACTTGAGCACAACCGTAACCTGCAGAGCACTGGCCAACCCGACGCCGATGGGCGGAGGCTCGGAGTGTGCGATGCGGGGATCTTCCGCTTTATCGATAGCAACTTTCCCTTCTCTTTCTCCTCATCCTCCCCTGATCGTGACCACCGCCCACTCTTCCCTGCAGACTATGCCCTGACCTGTCTCAATCTGCCTGCAATGGACGACTCCATCTCCACGCCCGCCCAGCAAAAACGCCCGAGAGTGGCCGAAGAAAATCGGAAGCGAGCTGTCCGAGCGTAAGATTCCCGGCCGAATTCCAAGTCGCTAGGCCATGTCGCTAATTGGATTATGATCATAGATGCGACGGCTGCCGCCGGGTCAAAGAAAAATGCGAGGGTGGCGTGCCCTGTCGGAGATGCTCGCGCTATAGTCGCCAATGCACTTTCACACATATCGACCCCAGCGAAAAAGCGCGGTCAACCTCGGTTTCGTGAGTCGCAACGATATTATACTGGAACTCCAACTACCCTGCAGCTCGCTGACCGCACAAACTCCGAACTAGACTTTTGGACCGAGCCGCTGCGCTGAACCGCAATGAGATCGCGGAAGGTGAACGAGTGCGCCTGATGGAACGACTACTCTCCCACTATGTGCCAAACATTACTTTCGATATCCAATCGCTGCGCCAAGCTGCGGAAGAGCTGAAAAGCAAGCATCGTGATTCCGAATCCGATGCGATCTCTACTATGGAGGACCCCAATGAGTTGGAGGATCTTGCCATTGATGATGAGCATTTCACTATTAAGGCGATGCCGGATAATACAACCCGTATGTTGAGCCCCAGGTATGCATTGTGGGCGGGCCAAAACCCCGAATCTGACATTTGGCAGAGTATTCCGGTGAATTTTCATATCTCAATTTCACTATGAAAATTCGCAAAAAGATCGATGAGTGGATGAAGACAGCGGCACCAGATGTGGGTTTTCCGAATTGTCGGTGAACGAACTTACCCTTGCTAATCCCGTTTCCGCAGGCAACTTCCGAAGTTGAGCCCTTTGAAGAACGATGGAGGAGTACGCAGCTTCAATCTGCATCTCCTGCAGTATCAGCATCGATCACCTGTCTTCCACCCCGATATGTGGCCGACTTCCTGGTTCAGATTTTCTTCAAATACGCCCAAACCAACAACTTCTACATTGAGGAAGATTGGTTAATTGAAAAACTGGGTATATGCTACACTGACCCTGACAGCTTGTCATTTGATGATGCAGGTGCAGTGTGTTGTATTCTTATGGTACTCGCTGTTGGTACGCAATTCGCTCATATGGAGTCTTCGACCCCCATGAACCGCCTGCCTTCCGGCTCCACGGCAAATCAGGACCATCATTTCTCGGAAGACGAGGTTGGCCTTACATTTTATCAATTTGCCTCAAAGCTTTTGCCAGACATTATCGCTACTGCTTCAGTTCGCAGTGTACAAGCCTGTCTTCTTATTGGAACTTATCTACTTCCATTAGACACATCCGGCTTGTGCTACACTTACTTTGGCCTAGCACTGAAATTAGCTATCCAAAATGGGATGCACCGCAGATATCACGGCGAGGGACTCTCTCCACGCATGATTGAGGTCCGGAACCGTGTGTTTTGGACAGCATTCACCATTGAAAAGCGGATCAGCATTCTTCATGGCAGACCTTCATCATTATCAGATCCCGACGTTGATGGTCCCCTGCCAGTCGACTTCCCTGGGCTGATGCCTGCCTCTCAAATTTCCAACCACACTAATATGGTGGCTCTGATTACATTGACTTTGAAGCTTGGGCAGGTATCACATGAGATCACTTCATTGCGAACTTATCGCAAAGATCAACAGCACGATTGTCTCGAGCGGCTTCTCAATCTACGAAAGAACCTTGTGGACTGGTGGTCCACTTTGCCCGAAGAAATTGTATGCCGTGATCTTAACCCGGGCGGACCTCTATTTAGATCCAACGTGCACCTCAAGTTGGACTACTGTCTAACAAGGGTATTCATTGGCCGTCCATTCCTTTTCAGCAACATCAAAGGCTTGTACCAGACTCCCTCTCAGACTACACCATTCAAGGGGGCTTCTGGGTTGGCCAAGAATCGCGCAACTCTCGTCACGGACTGCGTGGAGGCGGCTTTGGAGATCATCGATCTATGTCGGCTACTGCGCGATGAAACAGGTCTCGCCAGAGCCTCATTCACAGAGTTCAGCTCATGTCGCGCGGCCTTGCTGGTCATATTAGCACAGGGTCTCACCAAACGAACTGAACGACTTGGTGCTGCTCTCGAGCAGGGCATCTCTCTGATCAAGATCATGTCCATGGGCGTAGGGTCAGCTCGATCAGCCGTCAGTGTAATCGAAGCACTCGAACGCGCCATTCGACGACTGGAAGCATGGTCTGAAACCCAGCCCGAAATGAGCAACGGAGGCGTTGTCGAATCTGCATATGACAGATTCAAAAATTGGGAAATGCTCTGGAAGGCCGGGCCCATCTCACCATCCACATTGGCCTGGCAGCAACAGGAGGCATTCTCTCATGAACAGAAAATGCCTTCCGGCCTTCCGCGTCACGCATCTGCTGTCCCGGGCCCGGCCACTATGATCCCAGGCACTCCCATGACTCCTCCTTCGGCGGCTATGCTACAGACAAACGGGGCTATACCGACCCCCGGTGGACCTGATCAGGAACTTGCCGAGAGCGATGTCCCAGGTAGTGCACTCTCGGACACATTCCCCATTTCTCATCAATCTCTTTCTCATATGCCACATTTCGGTTTCGATCATTTTGTTTCAAACTTCCCGCAAGAGCTTGGGGAGTTCACTGCGATTCCTATCTTTGAATCGGATGCCCAGGGTCAGCCCAATGGTATGGGCGGTCCCGAAATGAGGACGCCAGGCAGTGCGTCTGATCCTCATTGGCTCCAGTTCATGAGGGAGTGACAGGATTTTTGGATTTTATGAATGAGTTGCGGTGCCTCTACCGGTGATTCTTTTCGGTGATTCTTATGTGCGTTGGAATTTTCTTTAGTCAGGCTTTGGACTTGCTTAGTATACCATCTTGCGTTTGCTATATTCTTCATCGGGCGTGACCGGCAACTTGGTTTATGGCCTATTTCATGCAGATTCTTCTCGAGCATCAATGCAACTACGTTGTGAACTACATATACTCCGTAACCTGCATCTATATGCGCAGGTGTATGACTCGGATACCGAGCTCCTGGCATATATACACCTACGAAAACTTTAGAAGTCGACCGAGTATTCTGGAACAGAAAAAATTGCTTGATGTACATGATAGCCATAAATTAATCGAAAGTGACCTTCTTGCCGGAGAACGCAGCTGGAGCCTGCTCCTTGGCTTTCCGCTTTGCCTCCCAAGAAGGATGCAGGGGACCCTCGTCCTGGGGCGGACCCTTGGGCTTGCCAGGCTTGCCAGGCTTGCTATCACCAGCATGACCAGAGCCGTCGTGTTTATTGAACCGCCCAGAGCCACCAAAGGCACCACGCTTGCCACCTCTCCCCCTTGGACCTTCAGTAGCACCACGCTTGGCATCCCATCCATTATCTCTACTGCCATAACCATACTTGGCAGCCATCTTCTCCTGCATCTGCTCGTGCTTGACATGGTTCGCCCCAGCGCCGAACTTCTTCTCCCACAGAGCCCGACGAGCCTGCTGACCCATACGGTTCTTCCGCTTGGGTTGAGCTTCGGCTTCCTCGTCAGTGGCTTCTTCAGAGCCAGACCAGTAGCCTCCGGCCATGAGCGAAGGAAGGAAAGTCGTATTCTGCGCAGGTGCAACAGATCCTTTGGTGGCTTTTGCTTTCTTGGGTGGTGGAGAGTCCGCACCTGAAAATGCGGGCGAGGGAGATCGGGATATGGAATCGGAAATGTCATCTGCGTCTTCGTCTTCATCACCGGATTCTGAATCGGCTTCGGAATCCGAGCCTGGTGCAAGTCGAGCATCAAACTGCGATAGTTCGTCTCCGGATTCGTCTGAGCCTGAAATTTCCATGTCGTCTGCACGGGAGACCTGCTCGCCGCGCTGGCGTTTTGTCGTCGTCTCTGATTCTGACTCTGAGTCGTCTTTGGCCTTGGCTGACTTCTTCTTTGCTGCAGATTCTTTCTTGTCGCCGTCCTTCTTGGCAGCTGGTGCTTCATCCACCTTCAACAGCTTGCGGATTCCGGCCATTATACCTGGAATTTCCTTTTGCACGGGTGTGGATTTGAATAGTCGGGCAAGGATGTTAGCTTCGGCGGTGCTCTTCGGACCTTCCTGAGACACCTTCTTGACTCCTTGGAATTCGCCAAACGTCCGTGTTTCCGCAATCCGCTTCGTCCTAACCAGTTGTTTGAAAAGATATCGCTCGGAGACAGTCTGGTAATCGAGACCCTATTGGTAGACAGTTAGCCTTCCATTTCAGCTAAGCATAATCTTATCCATGTCTTCGTACCTTGAGGATTTCTATCTCTTCCTTCAGACGGGCCAGGGCCTTATCGTCTTTTTGCGACTTCGCGGTCTTCTCTCGGCGACTGAGCTTCTGTCGCTCGAAGCCGCGGGAGATTTTGAGACCCCGCGAAATCATCTGCACACCATTTTCGTACATCTGCGTCAATCGGGTGCCGTGGATCGACAATTTGCGGGTGTCACTGGCGCGCGGCCGCGGGGGAGCGCTGAGCTCATCGTGCTTTCGTTTGGGCATGTCGGTGGTTCTGGTTCCTGAACACGAGAGATATGTTGGTTCGGATGACCAGATATATGTAGTCGACTAGACGTAGGGCGCGGTTCCCAGAAAATGTGTTGATCGTCAAATGTTGGAGTAGCTTAAGTTTTTTTTTTGGGCGGATCCCGGCGCCAAGACATGCGCTTCCGATGGCTATCGCGAATCAGTGCATCAGTACCTACTAGTAGACAGCGTATTAACAGCACAGTACTCCATAGAAATTCTACACATATATAGGTACTCAATTGATTGAAGATCTAACTTTCGTTTCCAACCTTTTTGCTTAGGCTAATTACCTAGGTACTAACATCGCGGAGAAAGACCTCGGCACTGATCTTGATTACACTGTAGTACTAGGTATATATATATGGGACCAAGGGAATTGCTTGAACAAAAAAAGGACCATCGATTAACACAGACGGATATGTACATAGAGACATGGCAAATGAAAAGATACGCATACAAACTCCTTCTATTTCTTTTCTTCGGTCTTCTCCTCCGGCTTGGGAGTGGGAAGCTTGAACTATACGGGGTTAGGAATGTTGCGAACACGGAGGGCGAAAGATAACTTACAGACTCGGGGGTGCGGTTCTGACCAGCGCCCACAGGCTCCCAGGCGGTGGAACCACTCTCGAAGTTACGGAAGGCCTGAGTAAGCTCCAAAGGCTCAATGACAATGCGCTTCTTCTCCTCGTCGTAGCGCAGCTCAGTGTAACCAGTCAAGGGGAAGTCCTTGCGGAGAGGGTGGCCGTCGAAACCGTAGTCGGTCATAATACGGCGCAGATCGGGGTGTCCGGAGAAGAAGACACCGAACATGTCGTAAACCTCACGCTCGTACCAGAGAGCACCCTCGTAGAGGCCGGTGACACTGGGGACGGGGGTGGCCTCGTCGGCGTAGGTCTTGACACGGATGCGGGAGTTGTAGCGGACACTGAGGAGGTTGTAAACGACCTCGAAGCGCTGGTCGCGAGTGGGGAAGTCGACACCAGTGATGTCGGAGACCTGGGTGAACTCGGCGGCAGTGTGGTTCTTGAGGAAGCTCATCACGGGAAGAATACCGGCCGGGGCGGTGTACACGGTGAGCTCGTCCTTCCAGACGGTGAACTGCTGAATGTACTTGGGAAGGCAGGACATGATGTACTGGCCGTAGGTGTGGAGGTTATCGGCCATGGGCTGGTACTTGTCGGTAGGGTTGACGACGGGGGCACGCAGAGGTCCCGGGGCTAAGTCAACGAAGCTCGGTTAGATCAATTGAGACACAGAAATCAATGATTCCGCAGGACATACGCGGGCGCTGCGCTTGGCGCATGTTCTCAGGCTCCGGGCCTGGTGCTGTCGAGGCCTTGGGGGCATACTGAAGGGAGGCCGAGGAAAAGGTGCGGGCGGCCATAGACCTCGTGGCAGATGCCACAGAGCGGCCAGAGCCCAGGCGCATCAAGGAGCGAGTGGAGGCCATGATGTAAAGGGAGCAATGGCTGTTGCAACTGGTGGAGGGGACGGGAGCACGTCGAAGGAAAACCCGCCTGGCAAATGGTCAGCAATCGGTCACATGACTCGAAGGACATGCGCTAAGCCAAATAGGGTAATGCCAGCAAAATGAAGCGCCAGCAAAATGAAGCCGCGTCTGAAATTCCTCCTCCAGACCCTCCTCCTATCAACCATCTTTCTCGATTACGCCTTCCTTTACCCCCCCCCTCTCTCCTATTCGCCGTTTCGTCTAATCTCCTCCACCAGGGGTGATTTTTGTCCCTTGTTTTATCTCACCTTCTCGTCCAATACTATCAAGCATCGGCATTCGAGATCCTGTGCCCTCCCCCGGTTATCAACGTTTGTTTCGCGACCATGTCTGGCACATCATTGATTGACTCAGTCATTGACGATGACGATGAGTTCTGGTGCGTTTCAGCTTCCCCCACCCCGCACAATCTGTGTACTGATCACCCCACAGCCCCCTTTGCATCGAAGAGTTCGACCTTTCCGATAAGAACTTCAAACCGTGCCCATGTGGGTATCAGGTACGTGCAATTACACTGGCTTGCTACTGCCTGCAATCCTTTACGATTGCAAGCGTGCGGTCTTCCTTGTCTCGCAGGTGCACGTACTGACAATTGATCTTCCTTAGATATGTCAATTCTGCTACAACAACATCAAAACCCAGAACGAAGAGGGTAGATGTCCTAACTGTCGACGCGGATACGATGAAAGTACCATCCAGTACAAGATTCCCGACGCCGAAGAGTGAGTTGCATCCCACTCAGCCCCTCGCCACAACCTCACTAATGTCATTCACCCACTAGGTTCAAGGCAGATTTGGCATTGAAGCACCGTAAGGCAGCTGCAGCGAAGAAGAAGGAAGCAGAGCGACGGGAAATCGAAGCTTCCAGTCGGAAGAATCTGGCCGGCGTGCGTGTTGTCCAGAAAAACCTGGTCTACGTCATCGGCTTGAACCCTACAATCCGCGATGAAAATCAGCTCCTCCAAACACTCCGAGGAAGGGAATACTTTGGTCAATACGGCGAGATCGAAAAGATCGTGGTCAGCAAGGCGAAGCCCGGCGGCAACCCGAACCAAGGAATTGGAGTCTATGTGACTTTCTCCCGCAAATCCGACGCTGCGACGTGTATTGGAGCTGTGGACGGTTCTGGTAATGGCGATCGAGTCTTGCGAGCGCAATACGGAACCACCAAATATTGCTCATCCTTCCTCCGCAACGAGCAGTGCAATAATCGGAATTGCACGTTCCTCCACGAGACCGGGGAAGATAGTGACAGCTACAGCCGCCAGGATCTATCTTCCATGAACACCATATCCACGCCCCGCCAAAGCCTTCCTCCCACCCCCTCCCACGTGCGGACCGTGCAGCCGATCTCTCACCCTATGCGCCGGCAACCGAGCAAAGACGAGTCGATCAGCAGTCGTTCCGGAGTACCAGATGGCCCGGCTCTTCCATCATCTGCTAGCTGGGCCAACAAGGATGCTGCAATCCAGAGGACCAGAAGGGCTAGTCTCACTGGGAGTCAAGCGTCCAACAGCCCTCGTCCTGCCAGCGTGAATGTCTCCACCCCGGCCGAGGAACCAAAGCGTGTGGAAAGACCCTCGCCGACTCCCCAAGAGGCTCAACAGTCTCCAGCGGAACCTGAGATCCAATCGCCTGCGCCGCCACGACCTCGTCGCACAACACAACGCCCGAAGCAACCCACGCCATTTGACGATCTCCTGAAAGAGATCACTTCCCCCGATTTCCGGTTCTCGTTCAGTACGGCCGAGCTAACCCCCGAAGAGGTCAAACTCATCAGCAACTACCCTTCTTTCATCGATCCATATGGCGGTGTTAAGCGGCGAGCCATGCGCGAGAAGGTCGAGCAAGAGCGCTTCAGCCGGGAGCACGAGTTGTTAAGAAACGTTGCCGCCGAAGAGGATAGCCGGGAAGCTGGCAGCCTTCAACTGGGCGGCGAGCCTGAAGATGGCAATCTTCCCCGTGGCCGACAGTCTCGTGAGTCTCACGGTGCTATCCAGCCACCTTCGCAGCAAGATACTGCCGAGAACTCGACCGTTGGATCTCCCGTTTCTACAGCAAGCCATCAGTTCCAGGGATTGAATCTCGCTGGCAGAAGCTTGACTCCCTTGCAGCAGCAACAACTGATGCTACTCAAATCCGCCGGAAACCAGCAAGCTGGATTGGCTGATCCTCTAAGCTCAGCCGCTTTGGATCAAGCAGCACAAGTCCGCCAAGGACTTCTTCACAACCAGATGGCCCAGATCAACGCTCTTCAGGCCGCTCAAAATCGACAGTCCTCCCGATTTTCATTCAATGAAGGTGGATCCAAGAACATGCCCAACGCCCGCATGTTGAGTCAGATGCAATCTGCTTCTCCCAATCCTCTTTCCGCGCCCAGCCCCCAGCACAGTCTCGCCAGCGGTTACTATGCCAGTGGTGTCCAGGGTCCCCCGCCCGGCTTGAAGACAGCTGGCACCCCTCCCATAAGTGGCGGTGGAATGTTTGCTCAGGGTCATGGCTTCACCGCTGGAATCAGCGGCAGTGGCGGAAAGCAAGATGCGACACCGGAATTGATGCGCGAGCTCCTACGGGGACGAACCGGCACAAATGTTGGCAATGGCAATGGTGGTCTGCAGGGCCAGGAGGCGGCTAAGCGTGAGTTCATGTTCCCTTTTCTCCAACAGCACAATACCCCACCCCCCATGACTCCCACCAACGGCCTTCTCAACTCTTTCTATGGCTCCCAGACAGGTATCTTGCCTGACTCTGGCGGTCAACAGAAACAGAAGAAGAAGGGAAGGAAGCAGAGACACGCTAACACTTCCTCCGGTGGAGGTGGTGTAGTAGATCTTGCGGACCCGAGCATTTTGCAAGCGAGAATGCACCAGGTCGGTGCCAATGCTAGTGCTGGGCAATCGTTGTACGGGAGTCAGGGCCAAGGTGGGTACAATCCCTCAATGGTTTACGGTGGAGGCATGAGAGGCTGGTGAACGGTCTTCCTGTCACGAATCATTTCCACCCCCGTCCCCTTCTGCTTCACTCATTGTTACTCCTTCTCGCCGCCAATCCCTTGACGGGCCTGGCTTTCCTTTGACGACATGACACCAATTCCCTATATTCCGCTGCGATTCTGCATCTTGATGTTTCCATATTCGCGATCAGGCCTGTGGCTCTGATTTCTGCGATGGCCGGGCGTGCACATGGCGTACTGAGGCTTTCTCTTTTTCTTTCCCATTGCTATCTGCGATTCTGCATCATGTACCCGGGGTGTTCCCGCGGTTCCAAGGGCCTTGCATTTATCTCATGGACATACCGGCATGTCTCTGGGGCTGTCTTTGTATTCGGCGGTTGTGTATTCCCTTTTTTTATTCTGTTTCATGTCTTGATGTCTTTTTTTCTTGCCTTCATCTGGCCTTCGTTATACCATTGCTGCGTCTTGAAGACTGCGAATGGTGTCGTCAATTAATGTACGTTAAGATCTCCCATCCTGATATCACAAGCCGAAACAGGGTCTTATACGAAATCAGTTTCCCTGCAGCCGCCGATGACATAGACGCCCCATTGCAATGTTCTTGCCCTCCCAAGGCTGCCCATCATGTAATTAGCTGCGCGCCATTCTTTGTATCGCTTAGTCCTTTGATGTCCGATGGGTCATTCGCCTTGATTTCCTTCTCTGTTCACCGTTTCTCTGCCTCCACCATCACATTGACAAGCCTCTACGACCTGACCTTGCTGATTTACTGATTTACAGTTGGCGATGATTTCCCTTCACTCGGTGACCACGCGCAAGATCTTCGCACGGTCGACAGCTTTGGCTTTTTGAAGTCGCAGCTGCCAAACGAGTCAGCGGCTCGCGCGGACACGCCTACTCTGCCCCCTGGGCTGCCCTTGCCCCAAGCTCATTCCTCTGCTTTCCAGGACCGGATAGGCTCTTCTCAACCCGCGTCCCCTGCTCCAATCCTACCACCGGGGCTCACTCCCCAGATCTCACGACGCAACAGCCCCTCAAAAGCCCACGAAGATATTAAGTCTCGTCCATTGACTCCGGAGCTCACGGTCGGAGGCCCTTTGACATCCAGTCGCATTAAGGACGCCTCTCAAGTTTCATTTGGATCGCCCGTGCAAAGGTCTGCGACCCAGGCTCGCAATCAGCGCAAGGCTGAACTCAGCATCACGACCGATTCAAAAGACTTAGCCTCTCAGGCCACGGCCCAAGCGCAACCAAGCCCTTTCGCGACCAAAGCTACTCCATTGGCGTTCAGTGCGGCGTTGACTGGTTCTGGCAAGACGGAGCACGTTCCAATCTCTTCGACCATCGCTAGTGGATCTCGACCCGACACCCCTCAGACCATCGCATCCCGATTGCCTGAATCTCCTGCTCTTCGCCAACCTCGCATTCTGCGGGTAGTCGAAACGCCAAAAATCGAGACTCCACCAACACCAACCGTACCATCTGTTCCCGCGTCCATCGTTGGTGGAAGCAAGACACGACAACGGCGCCACAGCATTTCGTCGAACAGCGCGCCTGACACTCCTGCCGACGCCGGCTCCGAGGCTGATTTCTATCCCTCTACCTCTGTTTCTCGTGCCAATTCTCCCCCTGCATCTTCTCGTATCGGCTCTGCGCCCGTCCGGTCTATGACCAAAAGTCAAGTGAAGAAGGAGCGAAAGCAGAAAGCTAAGGAGGCCGAGGCCAAGAAAGTCGAAACTGCGCCTGTGGCCGAAGAACCCGTTCAAGCACCCATTATGGGCCGCAAGCGCAAGACTAAGAAGGCTCCTACTTCAACCAGTGCCACGAGTGCTCCCAAGCCCGCCCCAGCTGTAGCGGAAACTGTACCCGCGCCCGCTGCACAGCCCGCGAGCCCCTTGAAACCTGATCCCGTCCCTGCTGCCAAGGTCGAAGCCGAGGCGGATACCTCATCGCGGACCCCGGAGATCAAGGAAACCAAGCCAGTGGAAGAACCCAGCCCTCCGCCCGCCGAAGAGCCAGCACCACGTGCCGAAGTCCCTGAGGAGACATGGCGTACTCATAATACGATCGGACAGTGCATCGCCGATGCAGAGGCCACTGGAAGAAGTATTCAGGAGCTCGTGATGGAGCGACTGAGGCCTCTCCATGAGATCCTTGCAGACATGCACAAATGCGGTGAAATCAACTTGCACACTGCTGCGCTGTTCAATCCTCATAACATCTACGAACGCACCGACTTGAAGTGCACATCGAGCGACTACGACCATAACAAAGACCCCATCGAGTTGACTGAAGAACACCGTCAAATGCTCCTCCGTGGAGAGCACATAATTCTTGGGGATCAAATAAAAAACCAAGTGCTCATCACCTCCAATGGAACAGTGCTGCGTCATCTGAAGCCCGAGGAAATTGAGCAGGTGCTAGATCGAGAGCGCAGGGGAGTTTGCCGTGATTACCCTCTGCTCATTGAAAACACGGCCACGAACATTGGCCTGGAGGCGCTTTTCGCCAACTCCGAGCAGCTGCGAATCCGCTGGGTTGATGACCTGCCCACCAACCCGAGCGCGACTTCCTCTACCGCCCCCGAAATCGATGAGTCTGCCCTTCCTCCAAACGTATTCTCTGCCATGGAAGCCGACATCACTCGCAACCATGACTGGGCCGTTACAAATTCCGCCGAGCTGCTCAACACCACCCCTGATGCCGTCCGCTCGTTTGCCGCAGCCACGGCCCAGCAAATGCTTGGCAATCCCAGCATGCTCGGCACTAATCTTACCCTTGATGACCTGGCCAGCTTGACGAACGAAGAGCTCAAGGAACACGCTACCCGTGCCAAGATGGAGCAGGAAGCCGCTCGTAAGGATTCCGAGGCACTTGACAAGAAGTTCAATGCCTTGGTTCGTCGCAACAAGCGGCTCCAGCAGCAAGCCTTGGACTATCTCACCGACAAGGAGTTGAGGGAGAAGCAATGATTCTCTACTTCGGAGTTTTGTTTTGGTCTTCCATGGACACTGCACGTTTGGATGTGCGTAAATACGAATTGATACCCAAAATCGCCTGTATTTGGCTGCAAATGTAACATTTTATTTGTTGGATCGTATTGTTAGTGTAAACCATTTCCTCTGTCCCTCCAATTTCCCATTTCTCCGGTGTTTGCAGACTTCGCAGTTGAGTACGGTCTTTTTCTCAATTCTTGGCAATTCGCCCTTCGTGCCGTCCGTGTCGATTTGACAAAATCACCAGCGCAGTTTCACGCTGCTCTTTTGTCTGCAAGACCCTCTCATAAGATCTACCGCAGGCTTCCAATGTATCTTGAATTCAACGCGAACCGGAAGGGATCTCAAACATCCGGTCGCGTCAGGGGCAGACTCCTTGTGGCGTTCAATCCGACAAGTCGAACTCCCCTTGGCAAATGCGCGTCAACTCCACGCTCAGGTCTGACATCCATTCTCCCCATTTGGTTCGTATGAGAGGTGTCTCGCGAACCGCCGATGCATTCCTATAGGCGCCCCGAGTCTCAAGATCACATTCCTGCCATTTTAATCTCGACCAGCAATTTGAGTCCATTCCTCCGATGAGTCCGGCATTGGTCCATTCCGCTTGGCCTAATATTACACCTTATTCTTCCTGGGGGACGTGTATGGTGCTTCGGACGTGTGGCTGACTTCCTGGTAGTCCTTCGACCTGGCCTGGGCACAGAAATTAGACTGCTCTCGGACTTCCCTTCCGGAGTCTCGTCAGTACAAGTATAAAATGCTTCTGGTCCCCAAAAGAAATTCCAGCTTCTGGGTCTCGTCTCTCCACACTCGTTTCCTGGCTCTCGCTTTTGTGGCTAAAGTCTGTTAGCTTCCGTCTTGAGCCATGCTACATATACTTTCATTCCTATGCGCGATGCTAGCGCTGGCGCATAGAGCCCAATCAACAGGTGTCATTGTACCACTGTACGCCTGGCCAGGAACAGACGCATGGACGACTGTCTATGAATCAGTTGCCGCGCATCCATCCGTTCCATTCTACCTCATCATCAACCCGGACACTGGGCCTGGAACCACAGAGTATCCAGAGGAATCCTACATAACCGGAATTTCCAAGCTGAACAGCTATCCCAACGTCCACGTCTTGGGGTACACGTATACAAACCACGGCACACGCGCCAAGTCAGAAGTTGAGAAAGATATCGCCGCATACGCCAAATGGGCCAACTATGCCGGAAAAGACATCAGTCTCGCCGGAATCTTCTTCGACCTCACGCCCAATGGGGAAGATCAAAGCAAGCTCGATTACTTCCAGCAACTATCCGCAACAACCAAGGCAAGTGGTCTGGACATGATTATTTTCAACCCTGGGGCCAAGATCCTCGCCGATGTGCCGGACTGGTTCGCTGCGGCGGACTTCATCGTCGAGTATGAGAATACGTATGCTAATTGGGTGGCTTTGGCGCCAAGCGAGCACCTCTCGGCACAGGGGAATGATGCGAAGAAAGCGATCATCTTGAATCAGACGCCTGTTGATGCTAGCGTCGGTAACGTCGTCAAGCTGGCGAAGAATATGGGACTTGGTGCTGTCTATTTGACCTATGATGATAATTACATGGGCCTCAGTTCGGTGTCAAAGATTGCAGTTGCAGTCTCTCAGAGGAAGGCACGGCATATCGGTCACCATGGCCATTGAGCAATCTCAGAAGTTGATGGGATGGAGACTTGCTCTCAGCTGCGTGTAAGGCATTACTACCCCTGATTCAAGGTTAGAGAGCGTTAGACAGCCCACAAGAATGCATTTCTTTTTTCTACAATGCCCCCAACCGCATTATGTTCTCTACAGCCAACCCGTAAGATGGCCCGAAGCCGACGTCGCTGAAATTTATCATAATTCTCCCATGATATAGATAATGCTTTTGAGTTGGTAAACTGCTCAGTCCAGACCCTTAGCCCCGTCCTTGTATGGCCGCAAGTCGTATTCATCGGGGTATGTTTCCAAGATGCGCTTGAGCTCATTCATCTGCTCGCGCTGCTCCTCGGTGATTTCTTCATAGACATCCTTGAATGCCTCTCGAAGAGGTGGCTTCTTCTCACGTTCCGCTTCACCGAACTCCTTCAACACAGCCTTCCTCATCTGATCCCGCGTCTCCTTCTCCTTATCCTCATTCCACAATCCCTGGTTCTCCAGCCACTTGCGAAGTCGAATGATGGGATTATCTCTGCGCTTCCAATCCTCAACCTCGACGCGCGCACGGTAGGCAAAGCTGTCGTCACTGGTGCTGTGGTGGGAAACACGATAACTCATGGCTTCTATCAAGACAGGTCGTCCCCCGTCCGTAAGGGCAAGACGACGCGCTTCCTTCATAGCCTCGTTCACAGCGAAGACATCGTTGCCATCGACTCGGATGGTGTCAATGCCATAACCTACGCCACGACTGGCGATTCCGTCACCGCGGTACTGCTCCAGAGTCGGGGTCGAGATGGCATATCCGTTGTTGCGGCAGATGAATACAACGGGACATGATCGGGTCGCTGCAATGTTGAGTGCGGCGTGGAAATCGCCTTCACTTGCGGCTCCCTCGCCAAAGTAGCAGGCCACGATGCGCGGGTCACGGGTGGGGTTCTGCAAGTCTTGCATCTTCAGTGCATAGGCTGCACCAGCTGCCTGTGGGATCTGGGTTGCTAGTGGGGAGGAGATAGTATGCTATTTTGCAATCAGTCAAGGATCGAGCACTGGGACATGGGGCCATGGTCGTACCATTCGAGGATAGTTCTGTCCATAGTGCACTGGCATATTGCGACCCTTGCCTGCATCGTTGTCATTGGCAAACAGTTGGCTCATAAAGTTCTTCAAAGTAAACCCCCGCTGCTGAAACACGCCAGCTTCGCGATATTGGGCAAACACCACATCGTCCGGGGTTAACGCGGCGGCAGACCCGACCGTAATGCCTTCTTCACCAGCAGAAACCTGGAGAAAGGTATTAGACTCCTTGTACAGTAGGATAGAGATGTTCAATATAGCAGCGTACCATGTAGAAGCTCAGACGACCCTGTCTTTGTGCCTCAAACATGACCACGTCCATAACACTGACTAGACCCCAGTCAGCAAGGTACAGAGTACAGATGGCCCTGGAGCGTCAGAACCCACCAGACAGCATATTCTTGTACCAGGTCAAGACCTCCTCATCTGTCACATCGGGCGCTGTTCTTGTTCTGTCCACCATTTCGCCATCGGAGTCAATCACTCGGTATGTAGGGATCGCGGGAAGGTCAGATGCCTTCAGGAAGGACATGTCGGTTGTGAATTTGCTGTCTATGGCGCCAGGAAATCGCACACTAGAGTCATCGAAATGCCGTCAGCTGCTGTATTGCAATTATTTGTCTTTGGGCTTATTGCCAACCTGTCCGCGCCTGGCCGCTGGGAGATTGTACTGCTCCATCGCGTGGAGGAGGCAAGCACTGGCCGGACAATGGCTCGGCCATTTGCTTGTCTACTCAACAGGCTGAGTGTGGACCTGGCTTTTGTTAATAACATCTTGAGTAGATCTATGGTCAGTAGAAACGAGCCTGCGAGTGCGGGCAGAGTTAAGTCTGGGGAAGTGCGGAGTTCGGCTATTCGCGGGATGAGCCATGCCGGCTATAAGCGGGACTGTTTGCGATGACGTAGTTTTCATTGTGACGATAGGTTTAGATACAGACACATTGGATCCTTTTAAAACCATCCTTCCATTTCGATCTCAGAGAAACGTTGCCCACAGGGTCAAATAGGCACACTGTGGAGTATCCCAATGTAGCCTAGCGTGACTCAGGGGAAGAAAAGGTCCATGAGGTCGATGTCGTTCAGATCGATATCCGCGACATCGGGGTCCGTGCGCTCGAGGTCCGTGCGTTCGTGTTCCAGATCGAGACTAGCGTGGTTCGTTAATTTCGACTTCCAACTATACAACCTCGATCTCGGGAGTCTTCTTTGCTTACAGTCGGGCTTCATGACGGTTGTAAGTTGTACTCAGATCTGAAAAGGCCTCCCATGCAAGATCGCCAATCGAATCCTCCTCAGTGAAGCGGTAGTAGGCGCACTCTTCAAGCGTCACCCACTGGGCGCCATACCCATCAAGACCGGGGGAACGTGAGGGCACATTGAACTCATCAAGAACGACGCGAAAATTCAACTGCAAGGTCTTGGTCGGCGAGTCTGTACGGACAGCCGCGGTCGGAAGTTCATAAGGCGGGCTATAGTCCTGAGGGCCAACCGCGCATTGGATGATCTGGTCCACCTTGTCCTTGACCAGGACGTCTTCGCTCAGCACGGGCATGTTGGGCAGTTCCCAACGCTCATCCGGGTCTCTTGGATGCGAGGTCTTCCACAGCAGGAGTTGGAATCCATCAGGAGAGTGCCTGATAATTGCTACTCCGACCCAGACATAGAAGTCAGGCCGGTAACCGATGGTCGCGGAGTCAAAGCTCAAATCGATCATTTCGCTTGTTGTCATCCACCGGTAAAGGTCGGTGTGAGACATGTTGATTACGTCGAAAGAGGTTTAAACGGGATGGTTGTCTTGAATGAGGACAAAAAGACGAGAACGAAAAAGGTTGATCGAAACCGATGAGGAAGGGGAAGGATGCGAGCGCGTTCAAGAGTTCGACGATGTCAGGAGTACTAGCATCAACAAAAGCGTGCAAGCACCTTCCCATTTACTGAAAACCCTCGCCGGATTTCTCACTGGCTCTCGGAGCAAAACTTCCGAGCTACTAGCTTGGATGTCTCTTCAGGAACTACTGTTATTGTTTTCTAGCTCATCTTGAGGCCTTGTGCCTCATTGAGAGTGATTGAGCCTACATTACACAGTATCGAAATGGGGGCACCCCTTTCACCACCGCGTTTTGCTCATTGATCATGCCACGTGCGTGGACCGAAAACAACGGCACGGATGCTGAACACAAAGGGAAAGAAGCGATATCCCATTTCAATTCGAGCTTCAGGTTAATTGGCATGTCTTCAATGCCGCCCTCTGGTTAAGCACATGGACCGGAGCGGCAGAAACTATCCGACCATTGTTGCAGTAGGAACACCGGGCAGCTAAATCGGGATTCATTGCCCAGGTCAGTATATCTGGCACTACGGAATTCCGGTATTCATCGGTCGAGAAGCATTCCAGGAAAGCAAATATTTCTCCCTGACCGTCTCCCTTGTAACAAATCATCTATTGTCTAATTGATAAACCACTCAGCTTCTCCACCAGTGGCAGCTACCAGGCCACAGCATTGGCTGTGAAAGCAGCCATTCCGAACAAACCCCAAACCCGGCATCGCCTCAAACACTCAGGGAATTGTTAACATGACCGGAATAGAGTACAACGACTACGGAAGAGCCGCAAATATTACTCTGCAGATCTCTCAACCACTTCAAGGTTCATGGTCACCAAGCCCTAACCTTGGAATACTCTCGATCCTAAATTACCGCCATCGCAGCGCCACAGGGCTATCAAAAGATGCACAAATATGATAACACGCAGAATACCACTAAATATGCGCTTACATAGAAGGTATTCAACAAGAAAGACTGATCAAAGTTGAACCAGACCCTTTGACAACATGTAACAAGCATTGAATCATTCTGCATCCAGATAGGAGCTACCACTCATGTGTTGATTCTCCAGGCTAGTTTACAGTTTACACGTCAAACAGCAAATGACGGAATACACGATCTTCCTTCATCAAACCCTATTCAAGGGATTCTCTTCTGTCTGTTGGTTTCCAAGCTGGTGACAATATTCAGTCTGTTTCGACAGTCAACCTTGATCCGGTAATATCTCGTATACTCGGGTGATACATACTGCTGGATCTTTCTCTGAGTAACCATTTGGGGAGACCCCATTGCTATCTTCAAGTTTGTCCGATGACAAGATGCTATCCTCGAAATTGGTGGCCGAGGATGTCTCTTTCTCGGCAAGGGATGTATGCGGCTCCCGATCTTTGGACTGGAAGACTGGCCACTGGGGGACCTGTACCTGCCCACAGAGTAGCGGGGCAATGAAATTCATGTTTTCGAGTTTAAGTAGGCCCTTTTCTTCTTTCGTGCCTTGTAGGTTCTTCCAAGGTCCAAGGTTGATTTCACTGGACAAGACTCGCCTTTTCAAGCTTTTTGGATTTATATGCCTATTCAAGTACCCCGCACATATTTCCGTAAGAGCTAAAGTGACACTAGCAACGTCTCTCAACAATCTATTCTCGGAAGCAGAAAACGCGGAGTGTTCTGATATGCTCGAATCTGTCCCCGCTGTTGATCCAGTTTACGCCAAGCCAATTGCGGGTCCGAGTTGGGCGACCTGCCTCTTTGGGAATCGGAGTATCCGAAATCATCTCTCAGGGTCGAATTGGAATTCCAGAATAGAAAAATACAGACTGTGATAGCGGTTTGGAGAGAAATGGCTCTGTTAGGTACATCACAGTTAATATACTGAAAATGGTAATTGAGAACGCCAACACAAAGTGAGCAAGCTTCCTCTACATCCTCGTAATTCTCGGGCAGAGCGATCTCATTGCTTCCTTCGCGCATTAATGCGAAAGCAAAGAAAAAGAACCGATTTGCTTGGCAGCCGAAGGCGGAGCTTGAGACCTGGAGGCGATTCTGGCCACGAAGATCTAACCCTTCTTGGTGGCAAGTTTGCTGGATTTCCCTTTTCATTGCCGCTTTTCTCTCTTATCAACTCTCCCATATACACTCCAACATCTGGCCATAGGATTCCAGATGTCTCATCGAGGTTTGCGCATCATTTTACCGCTTCCATCATAAAACGCGGAGTCTAATATCTCACAACCCGCAGGACCAGCATGTACGACGTGTCGGGAAAAATGTCGCAAGTGCGACCGGACCAGGCCCACCTGCAATCGTTGTACCTCAAAGGGTCTCGTATGCAAAGGATACCCTGACAAGTTCCGCTTTTGTGGGCTAGCCACGAGGGGGAAATGGAAGAACAAATCAGCTCCTACGGTGACACGTCCATCTGGGCAGGACTGCCCGCCGCCACCGCAGCAGCAGCGGACAGAAGTGCCACAAATGTCGACCTTTGTGCCTTTTGACATTAGTACCCTGGTGGATGATCAACAGCAGATTCTTGACATCACCTTATCTGATCATGCCATGAGCCAAGATTCACCTTCAGACCTCTCGACGGTATGGCGATCCCCGGATCACAGGGCAGTGGAGCTTGATGATTTGTTGATGCTGGATCGAACTGAAACACTTCTCAGACACTGTATGTTCTATGAAATAAGTTCCAAGGTTTTCTTCACTGACCAATGATTACATGTGGATCTTATAGATGATGAGCAGATTTGTCCTCATCAAATTGCACTGGCAGCTGATGGAGCACAAAATCCATATAGGAAATTCATATTGCCATTGGCCTATGAGCAAATTGGATTATTGTATGCCGTGCTAGGCATCACCTCATTTCATCTGGGGACTGCCAATGAAGATAGTTACCTGCGAGATACGCTTGCCGTCGTATACCGAACTCGAGCTATACGGTCATTGGCTGATACCATTGAAGCCGGTATCTCCGGCAATATACACGAAAACGAGCGTGATGCACTATTTGCGACAATCCAGTTGCTTCTCCTCCAGGATGTGAGTACAGAGATGAAAGGCAATGGGGGAAAGAGCCCCCAGGAAGCTAACTGTGGGATTAGATCCATGAATCCGGGATATCCAGCCATGGCGTACATATCACCGGAGCAGTTTCCATCTGCAAGCAATTGAAATTATTTGACAACTTGACGAAGAATGACGAAAGAGCAATCTTCTTTTTGGGGAATCTCGCGTGGTGTGTATATTCTCGACGTAACAAGCGGCGCATCACTAACAATTCTGATTAGGCTAGATATCATCCGATCATTTGCAAATCCGAGCCGCCTGTGCTTTTCTCAAGAGCTCCGTGAGAAATTATCCTCCTTGAGCAGTATCGACTTCGAACAGGTCAATGGATGCCCGCGTAAACTGTTCTTACTCATGGGAACTATTCTTGAACACGGCAAAGCGCACTCTTCAGGGGGACTGGACGAGCTGAAATTCCAACAACTACTAGAAAGTGCCCGATTCGAACTATATGCATGCAATTTGGATAATGGAGAGTACCCGGATAACGACCAGCGATGGATCGCGGTTGCTGAAGCCTTTCGACATGCGTGTATACTGTACACCTCTCGCATTATAGACCTGACCCAGCCCGCAGAAGCAGCCGTGATCCAGCACTCAGTTACAGCAATTCTAGATCATGTGGCTGAGATCCCTGTCGATTGTTATCTGATTGAATTGCTCGTCATGCCACTGTTTATAGCGGGTGCAGATGCTCTATCAGCCCATGCTCGTCACTACATCTTAATGCGATTGGACAATATCAAGGCCTTGGCTGGGGTGGGGAATGAGCTGATAGGGAGTCTTCTGAAAAAGGTGTGGGATGCTCGGGGAAATCAGCAAAAGCATGACAGGAGCAATATTCCTTGGATGTGGTTTGTATGTGTTCAACACGTCTTGAGTGAAGTCTCGCTAACTGTAATAGGCGCGTGATACAATGTCGGAATGTGAAAACGACTATCTTATACTATGAGTATCATACGCCATATGGACTATTTGTCAAAAATACGCCGATGAAATCAATTACCTGTCTGCAGTGGGTTTAGAAGACAGAGGTCGGTCTCTACTCCTATCGACCCTCACACTCTCTCATTCCTCTCTTCCCCCACACCCAAATTCTCAAGCATATCGCATAACATATTGCCGCAAGTCACACTCCTCGCATCAGGGCCAAATGTCTTCGATTATCTACCAGAACCTCCCAGGTCCGGTGGGCGACTGCCTCAAGCCTTCCTCGCTCGCGACCACCGCTACAGTGCCGGTGTCTCCAACAACCTCCCTCGTCTATACCACCAGTCACTTGGGATTGGATCTCACAACCGGTGAACTGGTCAACAGCTCAATTGAGGCAGAGATGGAAGCTATCTTCAACTGTCTGGATGCAGCCTTGAAACATGCAGGTGTTTCGACTGGGCTGTTTCAGGCGTTCAGAATAGTGAGCTATCTTGTGAATCCCGCCCACGAGTCCGTCATGCAGGAAATATTCAAAAGGCGATTCCCTGGCCATACACCGACTTGGACGATGGTGATCGTGAAAGAGATCAATGTGCCGGGGATGAGCGCTGAATTGTCGGCGGAAGCTGCTCTGTTCCATCCTTGATCCATTCGCTGGTATGAAGAATCTCGAGTGCTGTGTTTACTATTGTCGTGATACGTGTGATATGCTTGACTAGTCTCGTGTGAAATTGAATCTATATGCGGTCGGAGGTCCTGTTGGGCTTCACAGAGATCGCACAATTTCAAAAATTCGTTCCAGCAGATACCTAGTTCGGAGGGATATATATTGAATGAAGGGATTCTTACACGCACGGATAGAAGCACCAGAACGCTCCCGTAGGAGGCAATAAAATGTTTGTCGATTCTGTAGGCCCAAGAGAGTGAGAAAAAGCGTTGATGTTGTCCGGCTATTTTCCCCCCCAATGTTCATGGTCTCAATTTGGAGATTGAAGCCCACCTCGGCACAGGGGATCGGCATGGCTAGGACCCAATAAGCACCTGGACATGTTCCCATTATTTCCCACAACAGAAAAACACACCGCAACACTGGGAATCGGAAGAATGAAACTTGCTCGAATATGCTAACATCTCACAGTGAGGGGGTTGCGGATGATCCGCGCGATCATTCCTATTAAGGCAGTTCAGCCAGCTGCTCTATCTCCATGGCACAGCGCAAACTGATAATCACTGACCGTCTCCAGGCTCCAGTGACTATATCTCGAGCTTGATTGCCATTGATCTGGATCTCATCCTTCATCTCAAGCTATCTCGACCTCATTTGAGCATGACGTACCAAGCCAAACTCTCCAGCGAAGGCCATGTCTATAACAAAAAAGACGGCTTGTCGGGCGGGCTACATACTATCAGCGTCATTGAGCCCGAGAGCAAGATCCATCAACCGGAGCTAGGATATGTCTGGGATGCCATTGTCGTCGGTGCTGGTTACGCCGGCTTGATCGCTGCCCGCGACCTGGTCAAGGCCGGTTAGTGAAGAGAGATGGAATGCGCCCGGCTGGAGAACTTTGCTAATGATGTCTAGGGAAAAGAACACTGCTTCTTGAAGCCCGCGACCGCGTCGGCGGTCGAACTTGGAGTGCCGAAGTTGACGGCACTACATACGACATGGGCGGCACCTGGGTGTCGCATGTCCACGGCCGCCTGTTCGCGGAAATGCAGCGATACGGCCTCAAGGACGAAGTGACCACGACTCGGACGGAAAATGGAGGTTGCTCCTACTTCACCCTCGACACCGGGTCCGGGTCGCGCAAGTTCTCCCTCGAAGAGGCAGCTGCAATGAGTGCCCGCGCCTGGACAGTCTTCATCAACATCGACGGCAACAATGGCCGCGACATATGTCCCCTTCCCTACTCTTCTCTGGGCAACTCCCGTGTCTCGTTTGAGCAAGTGAAAGCCGTCGATCAACTAACATGTCGCGACCGCATTGAGCAGGTCAGGCATCTCTTGACGGCCGATGAGCTAGCTCTCATCGAGTCCCTGGTCCCACACTGCGGTGGAGGGTCTGCCGAGGACATGGGATTCTTGGAGATGGTCCGCGCTCAAGCTCTCCAGGGATATAACCCCGAAACCTTTGAGGAAATCTGGACTCAATACAAGATTCGAGGAGGGCAGTCCGCGCTTGCGCGTCGCATCTTCGACGATGCAGTGCGTCTTGGCTTGCAATACTCGTTCAAGACTCCCATCAAGTCTATCTCGGATAGAGGGGGTATTGTACTTCTAACTCCCGTGACGAGCAGCAACCGCAACAGAGTCTATCGCACCAGACGCGTCATAAGCACCATCCCCGTGGCCGTGCTCCCCACCATCGAGTTCGATCCTCCCCTATCCCCCCTACGCCAAGAGGCTCTCCGCATCAACCAGTTGGACTACCTTACCAAAATCCACGCCGAAGTCGAGGGTGATCTCCGCGGTCTGAGAGGTTGTACTTGGCCCGGAGACTTCCTGTACGTCTACGGTGACGGTTTCTGTGCCGGGGGCAAGTCAACCCGCATTACCTCATTTGCCGGCGACAATAGAGGCATCCTCGACCCACTAAAGGAGCCCGAAAGACTCGAAGCCGCCCTCAAGCGCTTCCACCCCATGGATATCAAGAAAGTTGTGTTCCATGACTGGGTTTCCGATCCCTACGCCAGGGCAGGCGCTGCTTGGTATCCGGCCAACTTCCTCACCAAGTATCTTACCGAGCTTCAATCTCGTCATGGAAATGTCTTGATGGCGAGCGCTGACTGGGCTTCGGGCTGGAGGAGTTTCATCGAGGGTGCTATGGAGCAAGGCGCTTTGGCGGCGGATACTGTTTTGAGTGAGATTGGTGCGCTTGGAGCAAACCCTGGTCTCCGGTCTGCCCCTAGAATTTAGGATACGAAGGAGGTAGCTCTCCTTTATGTTGATCTGCCGGTGTATGTATCCTCACTCACAATAATATGCTGTTTGTGAATGACTATTGGATTTTCAAAGTGCTGTTATCAAGTGTAGATCTGAGGTCGTCTGGTAGCCCCGACTCTGCAAATGACTTCAAGCAATGATCCCCCACTGCTGGGATCTTACGGTAAAACATTTCATCGAGCTCTTTGCCCCCTTTGCTGTCTTCCTTCAACTTCTTTCACCCACTTCTCTCACTTCACTTACTTCTTCCAAGGGTACGAAATCATCATTGAATACTAGATTGCCTGGATTTTCGAACTCGAAAAGAGCCAACGATCGATTATCGATGATCTCCGACCTCTGATCCCGAGAGAAGCCCATCCATCCGGCTCTTCTCAGCCCACTCTACGCTGCACGCGAGACGTCAACTTCTGATCACCTATCCTCCGACAGGATTCCTTTGCAAGATACCCTTTCAAGAATTACTTTGCCTCTAGCAGCTCAGCCCGTCGCCGTCAGTACATGAGTCCTGCGATCAGCTCTGGAGCTACACGTTGAAGTGCCCTGGGGCTCCGCTTATTTATGCAAACAGTCACGGTCACCTTTTTATTCAAACACCGTCCCAACCTCATCCACTTGAGGAGCGTGGGTTACTTGAAAGGCGAGTACTTCCTTTCTTTGATCATACTGGACTCCCAGTCCTACCACTCCCTGTTCCTGCGAACCGGGATGTCGCTTCGCTCTCCTTCCCCGCCTGTTTTAGGCCCAGAGTCAAGTGTATCCACGAATGAGACACCTCTAATCGAGCATGGCGATTGGGCGATACCGCTTGATACCGTTGAGTCCCTGATGGGGATGGAAAACCACCGCCGTTGGGCCTCGGCTCTCAGAGGCGTTATCCAAGGAGTCTCCATGGACCATTGGTGGCTGATCGAAAGAAAGTGGACTCGACCAATCGAAACGACTGACAAGGAAGTCTCTCCGCAAACGACGGAATTTCAAGAAAATCGAAATGGCGTCGCCCTCGCCCTCCGACTGGCGTTGCCCGAGCGCCCCGACGCGTTCGGCGCAGTCCCACCCAGAGATTCGTACGGGCAACTGTCCCAAGAGACACTATCCAGATTCGAAATGCTGGCCACGGATTCTCAACGACGACACCATATGAGCCAGCTTTCATGGGATCAAGCTAATGCACAATGCCTGTCCTGGATAATGCAGACTATCTCACCTCAGATGAAAGCATATTTCAGGCCGGGTATGAATGCGGGAGAATTCTACATCACCTTACGGAAGATCTGTGAAATAACGCCCCGTGAGAAATGCCGACGGTTCAGAGACTGGGCTACGTTCGTCTACAGGGGTTCAAACCCCTCGAAATTTGTTCTAATATGGCATAAAAATCTGGAGAGATGCCGCGCTGCATTCCCGCCATCGCAATGGCCTTCGCCGGGACTTTGTTGTGAGATGTTCATTGATGCTGCCCGTTCACATCCGTCCGCCAATGTGTGGGTTGAAAGCCTTTCCCTCAATGATAACAAGACCGAGGAGGAGAAATTGGACGATCTTTACACCTCTTTCGTCGCTTTCGAAAGCCGTCGACTCTTTTCCATGCGCAGACATCGTCAATCTGGGCCAGGGCCGACATTTTCTTGGTAGATCAATTTCGCCGAAGCAGCTTATGGCTATTGTTCTCCCAATCGATACGATGATGGTAATGTCGATCACGATGAAAATAAGTCGACAGCCTTCGCTGAATGCGTGAGATGGATGATAACCGAACCTAAAAGGAGAGAAAAAGAGAATTTAGGAAGAAGGAATACCAAAAAAAGATGCCGTCCCCTGCCCCGAACAGTGATTTCGATATAGTTTCGCATGTACATTCCTCCGCGGAGCTGGTTTCTATATCAGGTAGCTAAATCCGTGATGTCCGCGGAGGCCTCCGCGGTGTCCGCATTAGCCGCAGACGCCAAACACACTCTGCAAATACATAAATAACCCAGAATCAACTTGGGCCATGTTAGATTTTAATTTCTTCGTTTCATATTCTGCACACTGACGGGATTCAAATATGGCCTCCACGAAAATTGCCCTGGTAATTTGCAGCACCAGACAAACACGAGTCAATCCTTCAATTGCTCGATACATCCACGAAGTCATTCTGCGTCAAAACTGCCAAGAAACCATCGAGATTCTGGATATTGGCCAACAAGGCTTACCGCTTTATGATGAGCCTGCAGTTCCATCGCAGCTCCCCGAGGTTGATCCGACGCCCCATTACGCTCGTCAACACACCCGATCCTGGTCCGCTACGGTTCGACAATATAGTGCGTTCATTTTCGTGACACCCCAGTACAATTGGAGTATCCCAGCCAGTTTGAAGAATGCATTGGACTACCTGTTCTATGAATGGAAAGGTAAGCCTGCTGCTATCGTGACGTATGGAGGCAGAGGGGGCGGGAAGGCCGCGGACCACTTGCGGGCCATTTTGCACGGTCTGAGGATGAAGCCAGTTCCAACTGCGCCTGGCCTTATTGTTAAGGCAAAGTTTTCTGAATCAGAAATCAGGACGGAGGAAGAGGAGACTTGGCGTGGAAGTGAGGTCGAAGAAAAAATCACTTCAATGTTTTTTGAGTTGCTTGAGGAGTTGCGTTGATGGGCTTCACCCTAAGGACTTCGTACATTGTGAAAAGCAACTTGTCATGTCTAGGAAAGAAATTTTAGGTGAGTATATATCATAAGGAATCATGCCCGAACGCGTACCTTGACATACGAGATAAATTTTAGAGAAAGCCCGGTCCTCGGGACCAGTCGTGGGCTGCGGGCTCAGGGTCAGGCCCAGTGGGCCCTTCCGGGCGGCATTGGGCCCCAAACATTACAAATCCGGCAATTCGTGGGATGTCAGTATATACTAGGTAATGCAGATCACGGCGATGCTTTTGAGGATTGATATACTATAATTTCAAAAAGATAACCTTGATTTATCCTAGGAGAAGCTTACCGGGGGCCCAAATGGGCCCCCGCTACTGGGCTCTGGGCTGGGTTGGGCCTGGGATCCCGGCCGGGGGCCCAACCCAATGCAGAAAAATGCCCCTGCAAGTCTTAATTCTAAACGTTAAGTATGGTATCCCAGTCGATCTGGGGACCGTCAAACCTCTTCCTGCCGGAAACAATCCAAATGATGTTGATGATGGTGAAAATCCCAACGAGGATCACTGGGGTATAATTCATAGAGCCCAGAGATACCGGAAGGTTTGGTGGCATGCAAATCAGAACACCCAGCAGGATAATCCATAGCACCGAGAAGATGTTGCAGAAGTATCCTAGCCAGCCGAGCTTCAAATATCTATCGGGAAGGCATTTGCGACCTCGAACCAGCAATATACCCTGAGGCACCGTGTATGAGATGTTCAAGAAAAGCACGGCCGAAGTAACGATTGAGTTGAATGCTGTTGTCGAGACAAGGTAGAGAAGACCTTAGATCCAGGTGAATATGAAGGCGGCGATGGTTGCGTTGACTGGGAACTGTAGTTTGGGATGGATCTTGGAGAAATATTCGCCGAATGGTACACCATGCTGTTTGTAGGGAAAGATTAGCATTTGATACTTCGTATAGATCGACTTCCAGATAGAACTTACATCCCGCGCTAATGCCCAAGCAATCCGGCCACAGGTTACCCATTGGGCCGGTAGGGCAACTGGATCAGAGTTAGTAGGAAGAATACCACGATCAAATATCCAACCTACCGCAGTAAATGACAAGCAACATGACGAAGAGCCCTAGCGTAACCTCACGATTCCCGATACTACCAATGGATTTGTTAGCATTTCGTTGAAGAAGAGTTGGTCGAGCACCTACACTTGATATATGAGCTCAAGGCTAGGCAGCGGTGAGTTCTTCACAGCATCCATGTCAATAGAAAACAGCATCAGGACGATAAAGAGCGAAAGTGCGGTGACAAGGCCGATGATCATCGTCAAAAGCATGACTTGGGGAATACGCCTTCGAGGTTGTGGCATTTCCTCCGAGATATGCACCACTGCTGGACGTTAGACCGAGCCATCGAAAGTTTTCGGCAGTACCTACCTCCAGCAACACCGCCGTACGCATACATGGCGTTGCTGATACTCAACAACAACCCAGTGCCATCTGACCACCCGCTGGTACCGAGGCCTGACTGTACAAGGAATTCAGCAGGTTGGCGATGCTTGTGCATCGCGAGTGCAACGATGAAGACAATCAAGTATCCCGCTATGCTGAGGTATAGTGATGCTTGCGAGATGGCGAACACCTTTGAGGAGTAAAGCAAAGGCAGAACTGAGAGGTAAAGGAGAGAAGTCAATGTGGATGCTCAAAGTTCCGGGCCAACGCTTTTGAAATCGACTCACTTGTGACCACAGATACAGCCAGGTAGATGAGATATGTCTGCCACTGGTTTCCAACGTATTCCGGGTGACAGAAGTTAACGATTCCATTGAGCACAAGAGCTGCAAGTGAAATTCCCGAGCAACTTGAATTTTGTCAATTTCGGGTCGGCGAGTCGAAGAGAGCAAGTAACTCACGTCACAATCCACCAGGCAATCATCGTGATCCAACCCACAAGATAAGCCGCATACTTCCTGGAACCTGGTGGACTCAGAATGAAACAGAAATGATACTGTCCTCCACTTGACTGATAACTTGTGAGAATTGATCCCATTCATCAACATATTCAAACACTTACTGGTTACGCCGAGGACAACTCTGCCAGCCCAAGGGTGACGACGCTCTGGGTAAAGAAAGCAACCACCAAACTGAAGATGCAAGTTTGCGCTCCTCCATAAATCAGATTTTGACCGAAGCAGCTCTATTGATGGAGGAAGGTCAGCGTGGCTCTATATCCACTGTCCTATCTCCAGACATACCAGGTACCCAATCCAGGAATTGATGATCGAGAAAGCGAGTCCAAGTGCTGAGACCCAAGTGAATTGGCGAGGCATTGCAGCCTCATGACCATTTGCACGAAGGACAGCATCATCGTCATCTCCTTTCAATATGTCTTCACAAGCGCCAGCCTCAACACTTGGGGCATAAGTTTGGATCTTCATCTTATCGAGGCTTTCATCCGGGTCTGAAAAGGGTTTCGACATCGTGGCAACAAATGGCTTTAGGATTTGCGTTCAGGAGAAAAATTATGGATACCAGGAGGCCGGCTTGACACCTAAATACCTTGCAGTCTCACCTGAAAGAGGGAATCCGGTCATATAAAACCAAGACCCGGAGAAGGACAGATATCAGAACGACCAATAGGAATCAAGCGCTGGCGATCTTGTCTATCTATACGAGTATTGTATCCGGGGACCACCCCCGCACTCAGCATTGTTAGCCCTCCAGGTTGGTGTACGCGAGGGGAGTAGCACGTCCAGAGTGGATCTGTTCGGTTCATCGTTCTGGTTTGGACTTTTCTCTTTTGTAATTCGAATTGACGTCTTTACGCCCCTCGCACTACCAAGTTGGAGGAACTACCTGTTCATCTTGTGTGGCGGGATTTGAAGTATCTGATGGCATGTAAGGGATTCATGCGAGAGTCATTCTAAGAACGAAAAAATGAAGGGAAGCATTGGCGCCATCCTGGGAAACGGCGCGAACCTTGGAAGTATCGAGGTGGGCTCTGCATTGGATTACCTGAAATTCTTAGTACTTCGATGTCAATCACGCCCCAAGCCCATGCACACGTTTTTTCTACGATATCTTGTTCATTCCAAGATTTCCTTAAACGTCTCATCCGGGAAATATATCATCAATCATTCTCTGTTTCAGTATTTCTTACGAGGCTCCAATCAATCATCCATCTTAGCAGCCGTAACCTTGGAACTTATGCCTAAATGACCATTGCCACACCAATCCTGTGAGTCTAGCCTACACCATTCTCCACGGTTATCGTTTGGAACGTGGGATACGTGCTCAGACCGAAAACCATGAATGACGATACATAGCTGCTTATCTCGTAGACAACCCGGTATCGTACCTAGGCAAATACCAGAAAGTCGTAGTGCCTTAAGCCGACCGCACGAACGCTGAAGATGATACGCCGTTCAGAGTAAATAGTCCTAACGAATTAGCCTTGCTTCCCTCTGCGATGTGTTAGGTCTTGTAAGTCCCTTTGTCTCACTAGATTTGATCTTACAGTCATTCTCTCTGCCATTCGCACCAACCCCTTGAATCCCTTCCGCAAGGGGTCCGGATCGTCCCCCCGCACACCAGGAAGTATACAGGCCCCTAGTGCGCGACTTCGGCTTTTGTCAATAAGTTGAATCATCTACCCTTTTAGGCAAGTCTACCAGCTCAAATTAGTAGTACCAGGTGATAGTTATCGGGTGTGAATGATCAAGATAATATCCCTTCCAAAGTTGTTCATGAGCCCGGAGGCCTTAGAATATCATCCGTACAACGCCACGGAGGTGCCAAGTGGATAATTGGGACCCAATGATAGTCAATTGTTGAAAGCAAGAGCAGCTAGAAACATCCAGCTGAAGTCACAGCTTCCACGACAGTCAGTGACGAAGTCCTTTCAACGGTCACCACGAAACGCGGATTGATGACTACATTCTATTCTAATATGCAAGACCGAGACAGAGTTGGTACCAAAACAATGCCTTCTGAGGGGAATTCCACATCGGATAAATGCCCAGTCCACGCGATAGAATTGGACGGGATCTCAAATTCCAACGATGGGCAAATATGCAGTCGCTACACACACTTCCTGGCCCAAAGAGGGCTCAGGATGATAAAGGGCATCAAAGGTATCATGGATCGACTTCACAGGTAAGTGATTTTCCTTAAACCGTCCAATGTGCAGAATTTTGTTGTTGAACATGATTGCAGGCTCCTCGAAACATCTGCGGGGCAGGATTGCGGCCTAGCAAGTCTCGAATATCTGCTACATGCACTCCATCACACTCTTTACGTTCGCAAATCGCTTCGAGGTTTTATATGCGCAAGAATGAAGTCGCCGAATCCCATCCCATCGTCGACATCACAACCCTGGACGGCCAGAGATCGTCAGCATGCTCCTTCCGCTCTCTTGTCGCTATCTTCAATGATCCAAGAAACTCGCTGCACACTGCGTCTTTTTGGTCTGATTGGCATCATCAAGAAATGGGCAGATCTTGCGAAATCTACGAACCAAAGTCACACTTTGAAATGTATCAGCATCGCGCAGATGCTTTCCATCACCGCATACCAAGCGCTTGAAAACTACGCGTTTCTTGCTTCCAAACGCGCATTGCCCGCAAGATGGATTACAAGGGAGCAAGGCGTCAATAGATGTTTTGGTTGGAGCGTGCGAGCCTTGGTCTTTTATCTGGGGTTGGAGCTGGTCAAATTAGGGCGGGAGGTCCAGCTTAGTAGAAACCTACGACCTGTCCGATTAATCAATGATGACAAGGAAACAAGCGGAGATGAAGCAATACTGCTGGAAGAGCATTTGGCTTGGAGGAAGCGTTTATTTTCAACCTCCATCTGGACGATTCTCTGTGTTCATTGGAGTTTTCCACCTGGTGTGAAAATGTTGGATATGTCATCTGGTGGCCTCAGCTTTGCTGCTGACTTCTTTTCATTCAAAGAATTATGGCTTGGAACGTTTAAATAAACATTGGAATTGACATATGATGGTTGCATTAGTTCTACTTTCCCAAGCCGCATCTTGCCTTAAAGATTCCTGAAATCATCCCTCTACTACAACCCATCCCATTTTTCCATAGCCGGGGATTGTTTCAGGTATTCAACGAAAAGAATGTTTTCATTCACATTGACCTTGCAAAGAGGTACCATTGAGATACATTGAAGCCATGTGGCGTCATTTCATCATCATCAGCACAATCTTTGCTAATGGTTTGGGGTTTAGTATCCGACGTCAAACACCTGGGCATCAGATGAAACGCTGTGCTTCATTCATGTATATCTTTTGCTCTCAAGCCCATTTAAGCACATACGACCACAGGGTGTGGAAAACAGGGCTTCCCGTCCGCTCAGCCGTACTTAAGCCACACGCCGGTGAGTTAGTAGTTGGGTGGGTGACCACCAGCGAATCCTCACTGTTGTATGTTTTTGTTTTTTTTTTCCACTACGTTATTGCTATGAATGCTTCGATTGATGAACTCTCCTCCCTCAGCGTTGTTCCGCAATTTCACGTTCAATATGATTCAGGGATCTTTCAATCAACCTGCATCCCTATTTTCTCCCTCAATGCGTCAAAATCATTCACACCTTGGAGCGCAGAAGTGGTTCGTATTTCTTCAAGCGGCAGTTGGCCCAGCACCACCCGTGGACTTCGCAACGATCTTCCACATCCTCGGGATCCGGCGCATTACCGGGCTGGACTGGGTGCGGAAGCCTCGGCGAAATCATGAATACCACCACTGCACCAAACCGCATCGATAGGTCCTAGCTCTCTGTCTCCAGGGTTACTTGTTCTCTTTTTCTCCTATTTTGATCCTCACTCTTCTTTCATCCTGTTCATGTTGCCGAAGTCTAGATAGGAAATCTCTTCCCATGAGTGCATACTGAAATTACCCAACTAATATTTTGGCTTCCATCAGACTAGCGATCAGCCCAAGTGAGGAGAGGTCACATATTCGGAGGGGTTGATAGAACCTCAGCCAAAAGGGGAAATTGCCCCAACCAGAAGCATCAGAAGGCTACCTCGGAAGCTCGATTGTGCGGGACCGCCTGGAGACGACTGATATAGCACCAAAAATCTACATAATCCATTTTCTGTCTTGCATCGCGATACAGTGCAGCTAAGGCTTTATTTTGTTAACCTTCTGTGCGAGATACACACTGCACTAATTCACAATGGCAGCCGTGGAAGCCACCCTGCCCCTGCCACCCTATGATGCCGAAATCACGAAACTCGAAGATACGCAACATCGACCACTGCCTACCAGTTTCGAAGAGCTTCTTGCTCTGCGCGCCGAGGAGCCACACAAAGATGAGACAATATTGAGTGATCCCGATCTGATCATCGAGGATCTTGAGATTCTCGCCCCGGATAGAGTGATAAACGCTATATCCATGTCCAGCTGCCATGACTCTGATTCTACCAGTCTGCGTCCAGGTATTCTGTTCTGTCACGGGGGCGGACGTGTGATGGGCAATGTTTACGTTGGTCTCAAGAGTCTGGTTGAAACCGTCAAGGCAGTCAACGCTCTGGTAATCAGTATTGACTACCGATTATCGCCAGAGTATGCTGGAATCTGCGCCGTCGACGACTGCTACAACTCGCTACTCTGGGTATCTCGGAATTTTGAGCGATTCAACATCGACCCCGACCGGTTCATGATTGCAGGCGTATCAGCCGGCGCAGGCCTGGCAGCAGGCACGGTTCTTCTCTCGAGAGACCGCTGCGGTCCCAAGCTATGTGCACAATTACTCATGTGTCCCATGCTGGACGATAGATGCAACACTGCGTCTTGTTTGCAGTTCGAGAATGGATATGGATTTTACACAGCTTGGGACCGTTACGCGTGGTCCTGTATACTTGGTGCCCAGGCCGGTGCTGCCGACGTGAGCTTATACGTAGCGCCGGCTCGTGCCTCGGATCTTTCAAATTTGCCTTTGGCTTATATTGATGTTGGCTCTGGAGAACCATTTCGTGATGAATGTATCGCGTACGCTACCAGGCTTTGGGCGTGTGGGGTTCAGGCCCATTTGCATGTTTGGGGAGGAGGTCCGCATGGTTTCGATTTATTCTATGAAGCCGATCTTGCATTCCAGGCCAGAGCAACGAGGAATAGGTGGTTGAGGAATTTCTTGCACAAATAAATGCATAACAAAAATTGGAGTCAAGCACATAATATTGATTAAACTATCTCTATCAGCATACAAATCTTAGAGCCTGATGTGTCAAGGATTTCACATCGATAACCCGTGAGAACATGCCTCAGTTATCAGGGCTTGAATGACACTCCGATATGCCGCGAGTCGTAATCCAGACTAAAATTAATGTTCTGACGTTCACACGGAGAATGTTGCTACTACAAAAGAGGTGGAAATGCCAACTCCAGGGGCTTAAATCAACCTCCGCACTGCCAGGATTAACGGAAGCAAGGGTCTGAGCACTGGCGCATCTTCGTCAAGGCATCAATTGCCCGTGCGTAGGATTTGAAAGTACGCTCTATCTTTCCAGCCTTCATCTACCCCTCACAAAGACGTTGAACCGAGATCAAACAGTAAGCTTATCTTCATGGAAAAGTTTCTGTCCCAAAGAGGAAAGGCGTGGTTGACTGTACTACCCGTTTGGGCAATTGTGGGTCTTCCTCGCGCAAGGTTCCGAGATTTCCCCTTCCTAAATCGACACATCCGATATGCATCTTTTGACTTCACTGGTTACTCAATACGCGAGTTTACTCGAATAAGTGGCTACGCGCCCAGATCCAGCTGCATCTCACCAGCTGGTGTAGCGAAACAAGACCCTGGATTGCGTCCATGACTTTGCGGAAAGCCTCCGACAACACCATATCCCGTTTTCGCTCAGATGAGCAACCATGAGGAGAAATGGAAAAAGAAGGAGGAAATAAATATGAGTGTATGAAGAACATTTGTTCCCTCTCACTCAACTTGATCTGGCTATGCCCCACAGTGGTCAACTTCCAACGTTGCTTGACCAATTTCACCTTTGAGCATTCCATATCTCGACCCCACCACACCGCGCTCGTATACTCGTTCTAGCAAAACTCGCGCTATCCCCGCATTCTGGTACCAGAGACTCTGAGACTTGGGAGGGTGGGTGCCGTAGCCTACCTATTCGGGTAAGGAGCCAAACGAATCTCATGAGGTAGCAGGCAACCTCAGACAACCTGCGAATCTATATAGATGTCTACTCCAGTCCACCAAAGTCTGAAAACATCCTGATCTGCTCACTACCAGTCACCAACATGGCACTTCAAGCCCCAGTCTCAGCCTCGCACCCGCTTGACCCATTGCACGCCGGGGAGGTCAAGGCCGCTTCACAGCTGCTACTGCGACACTTGGGCTGCAAGTCGAATGAAATTCGATTCAAGGTCGTTGACCTTGCCGAGCCTCCAAAGGCCTTGACTCTTCCCTATCTCCACCACGGCGGCCCCGCACCTGACCGCAAATGCCGGGTTTACTACCATCGCTTGAAGAGTCCGATCCTCTCCATCGCTATCGTCAATGTTACACAAGGAAAGGTGGAGCAGAGCTATGACGCACCAGACTCACAAGGCCCTGTGGACTGGGTCGAATATGATCTGGTCCATAAAGCCTGCTTATCACACCCTGAAGTTCTCGCTGAAGTCGCGAAGCTGAAACTACCCCCCAAGTAAGAATTCCTGATTCCTTTTGATGATCTGTGTTGAATTGTCCTACAGTGCGAGAATCGAAAATGACCCTTGGAGCTTTGGCACGGATAATCACCACGAGCGACGTCGCCTCTTCCAGTGCTATATGTACCTTGCTCTCAACGATGATCCACAGGCAAACCATTACTCGATTCCCCTACCCCTCGCTCCCATCTTTGACGCAGATACTTACGAACTCGTTGATTTGCAACGCCTACCCACCGGGGCAACCGATGAACTTGACTCAGAGACACAGCCTTGGGACCCGGTCAGTGCAGTGGAATACAGCTCCGACCTGCTAGGCCCCAACGCTTTCCGGAAGGACTTGAAGCCATTGCAAGTGCTCCAGCCTCAGGGACCCTCGTTCAGCGTTCAGGGGCGTCACATCGAATGGCAGAAGTGGTCTTTCCAGCTCGGTTGGAATATGCGCGAAGGACCCGTGCTCCACGATGTTCGGTATGAGGGACGGTCTCTCTTCTATCGAGTCTCAATGAGCGAAATGACAGTCCCTTACGGAGATCCCCGCTCGCCCTACCACCGCAAACAGGCCTTTGATCTTGGTGATTCTGGCTTCGGTTTAACTTCCAACTCTTTGAGCCTGGGATGCGACTGCCTCGGTCACATTGCTTATTTCAATGGGATCAGAGTGACGAGTGGTGGCGAGCCCGTCATCATGCCAAACGTTGTATGCATGCACGAGGTAGATGACGGGATCGGATGGAAACATACCAACTTCCGGAATGGTAAGTCGTCCGTCGTGCGAGACCGCCAGCTTGTCATCCAGTGCACTGCCACAGTAGCGAACTACGAGTACATCCTCGCTTTTGTACTTGATCAGGCTGCCAACTTGCACGTTGATGTTCGCGCGACTGGCATTGTCTCCACAATGCCTATCCGCAAGGGCGTCCAGGTCCCATGGGGTACAGTCGTGGCTCCAGGTGTTCTCGCCGTGAACCATCAGCATCTATTCTGTCTGCGGGTTGATCCGTCACTTGACGGACCAAAGAACACCATTGTTTACGATGACTGCGTACCCGTGGAACACGAGCCCCAGCTCAATCCATCCGGTTGCGCCTTCAAGATTCAAACAACAGCGATTGAAAAGCCTGGTGGATACGATCTTGACCTCAACAAGGGTCGCGTGTTCAAAATTCTGAATGAAACGAAGATCAACTCTATCGCCGGCAAGCCCATCGGCTACAAACTCCATCCTGTGCCTAGTCAGATGTTGATGGCGGGGCCTGACACCTTCAATTACCAACGCGGTGTGTTTGGCACGAAACCCATCTGGGTCACGAAGTATCGCGACGATGAGCTGTGGGCCTCCGGAGAGTTCACGAACCAGAGTCGGGAGGATACCGGAATAGCCAAATGGGCTGTGCGAGACGAATCTGTCAAAAATGAAGACGTTGTTCTCTGGCATAGCTTCGGTACAACGCATGTGACAAGAACAGAAGGTATGTTATAGGTTTCTTGGTCCTGGTTCCAGTTCATGAGATACCCATTCTGACCTCTATAGATTTCCCCGTCATGCCGAAGGAGAGAATGATGGTTTCTCTGAAGCCTGTCAACTTTTTCAACCTCAACCCCTCGAACGACGTGCCCCGATCTTCCCAGAACGACAACAAATCCACCCTGCATCAGAATGACTCAATTTGTTGCTCTACAAAGCCCTCTCGGATGTGAGAAACTCGATGAATGACTAGAAATATATGTGAAATTGAAATCGAAATCAACTTTTCGAAATGAGATCCAAGTGCTTCCATCGAAGTCCCATTTGAATGGCTGTGGCGACTTGCGGATAATTCACCCACATAGGATCTATCGGACTAATGTTATTCAACAACAAGATCCCATCGTCATATATGATGACATTGTGCCTGCAAGATTCCCGAGGTCGGCCCCACTATAGAGAATGACATAGTTGGAACGGACGCTTTTGATCTGGCTTTGCTTTTGTTTTCACGCATCTTCATATATTCAAAATGCTGGAATCCGATCAATTTCGCGAGGTCTTAAACACCGACATTCGAAGCCCCATCCCCGAGGCCTTGGCGTCGAAAATCACGTCTCTACCGCCGTTCATCCCCATACCAGGAGTATCCAACTTCCGCGATCTGAGCCATGACGACAACAAGTTGCGCCCGGGGTATGTATATCGCTCCGGGAACTTGTCGGACATCATGGACTCCGGCAAATCGATCATCGCGACCGAATTAGGCATTACCGCCATTTTTGACCTTCGGAATGAAGCCGAAAGACAAAAGGCAGCATCGCCATCAATCCCCGGAGTCGACACGATATGGATGCCGTACGCAGGCCGACCGGCGACATTGAATCTCCGGGATTTTGCGGGCGAAGACAAGGGCGCAGCAGGGTTCGTGAAGATGTACTCGGGGATTCTTGACGCGGCTAAACCGGGCTTCACCGAGGTATTCACCCACATCAGGGATAACCCCGATGACCCATTCATCTTCCATTGTTCTGGTGAGTTTTGCATTGCCCCTTGCACATTATAAACTGCGAAATCCGACACTTCGACCTCGGGTCGGTTTTTGGTAACAGACGCTAACCGTTCATCCTCTTTAGCCGGCAAGGACCGAACAGGCGTTTTAGCTGCTCTTATTCTCCTTCTCATTGGCCGGCCCCAGGAGGAGATCATTAACGACTATATTTTGACCCGTGTTGGCTTGGAAAGTGCCCGCGCAAATCTTTTGGAGGCTTTTGCTATGAATATGGAAACTGACGAGATTGATGTCAGTCAACTCAGTCCAGAGGCATTGGGAATGCTCGAACTGTGTGGCGTTCGCGCGACCGCAATGGCCGCATTCTTGAACCACTTTGAAAGTACTTTTGAGAACGGGATTGAGGGCTATTTGACTGATGGGCTTGGGTTCTCGTCAACCCATGTCGAAATCATGCGCAAGAATCTGATTTAGACCGCGTTGAGCCATCTGTGTAAATAGTGCATACATGTATATATCGGATAGATTTTGGCATTCAAGACTTTTTTGATCTCATTCCTGGCTTGAAAGTAGAGCCCAGCACCTCTGTGTCTCCAGCTTATTCCAAGGTTCTTCTCCACTCCGGGTTTTGATTCGAAAAGTGGATAACTCTTCGTGTTGATCGCAGGGCTTAAATGGCAAATAGGTAAAACATTGGAGATCCCGAACGACCTCATTTGGACCTTTGTTAAGGTTATTGCAATTCTAGGATATCCCGCAAACAACCTTGGAACTATCCATTAACAACCACTCCGCCGTTAAGGTGGAGACTTTGCCCGGAAATGAAGCTAGTACTGTCCTGACTTGCAAGGAAGACAAAACATGTTGCGACGTCACTCGGCTGTCCTGGTCGGCCCATCGGTGTGCCACTGAACTGCCTCCTGGGCAGACGTGTTCATAGTTGCCGGGATAAGGGGTGTCCAAGCTATATCAAAATGAGATTTGAAAATATCTTGCTATTCAGTGCTTCATTTTACCTGGTCCAGGACAAACGCAGTTTACTCGAATGCCGATTTTGACTTGTTGATTCGACAGTACCCCAGTAAAGACGATGATTGCACTCTTTGTTGACGTGTGATCGAGCAGATCAGGGCGACTAATATGATGGTTGACAGATGCACAGTTGATAATGGTCGACCCGCTCTTCATATGGATTTCGAAAGATAGAAAATATGATGGATCTTAGTGTCGAATGTGCTCTCCCGTTGGAAACTGTGGATGCAAGTTAATACAGTGCTCCCAGGCTGTGATCGACGCCCTCCAGGGAATCCCCTTCTCTTAGAGGTATGATGTAAGGATTTTCGGTGGTAATACACCACTAGAGCTGAGGAAAAGCTATTTATCAGTAGTAAAAACGCATTTTAGCAATGAAACTCGGCCTGATTCGACGCTAATTCGATCATTCCCCTGTCTGTCATCGTTTCAAGATAGCACTCATTATGGCAGGGACCGGACCTCCATCCCACACAATGACATTAGGCAGCTTGCTACATTCTCAGAAATGATTTGATCAGCTTTAATTCCAGAGCAGAGACAACCACAAAGGCGAAGAAGTGAAGGGAAAGAGAGAGAGAAAGAGAGAGCCAGTCATCCCCTGGGGAAATAGGTCACGTGACAGGGCCTGGAGTGCAATGCAGATCATCGCCTTTCTCCCCGGAATCGCAGGCTCGCGACATCGGGGATCATCGTTTCACAGCTCTGCGCTGCTACCGTTGCTTTTCCCCGCACATACCGATGATCTCTTCTCCAGGCCCCAACCCTCTCGTGTCCCATTCAATTTAACCGGCTTTGGGGGGAAGCTTGGTCGTGCATCGAGTGGGTCCGCGTTCACGATGTAACCGGTGAAGCGGGGGGGGGGGGGGGGGGGGGGTGGGTATATGTATGGGGGATGTCCCCGGTGGGACAAAAAAAAAAAGATTTCTCTTCCCCCAACTATGCATCCTTGGAAGCAACTTTTGCTCGGGGGGC